TAGCTTGTGCTCCAAGTCACGAGATGCAATGTTCATCTGCCACTTTCAGAACTTTTTGTTGTGGTTCCTTGGTTCCTTGAATGCTACAGTCCAACAACAGATTTTAGTACAAGTGTTGTAAAGAAATGAAGAAAATATCGCATGGGCTACGGCAAAGGTTGAACGGTGATGGGGGCAAGGGAAAATTAAAAACCCATAACAAAAGACTTTGAAGCTCCATTGTTTTACAAAAAAGTGGGGGACATGGTCCCCTGCCCCTCCCCCACTTTGTCGGAGGCCCTGTATCAATGGATGTCACCAACCACACCTGTTTTCTTCACCTGTGATTTCTAGGAAAACACATGACAGTTCAAAGTGCACTCAGTGGATATAGTAATAGTGGCTTTGAAGTCAAACCGCTTCGATCTGTAGGTGTCTGATGAGTTGCTAGCCTTGCTGTGAGTACAACTCTGTTGATCTCAGGCGATAAAGCGTCGATTTTTCCGGGGGTTTGTCTCTGAACCAGAGCACACTTCAGTTGAAACTCTCGAAGTGGTTCGACTTTTCATAAAAAAGTTGGGATTGGTAACTTCAACACAACGCTCCATTACCAAAACCGGGGGTCTTGTTGAAATGTATAATTATCATCAGTAAAAGTGTTCGTATTCGGAACTTTCAATTAAGAAAATGAAATGATATCTTCTTAATAATAATGGTTCTTAAAAATAGAAAACAGTTTTTTATATTAAGTCAGGGTATTCAGGCCGAGCTTTTGCGAGAAATCTTCAAACAAATTTTGGAATTTTTGAGCTGATATGAATTTTTCATTGAAATAAGAGTTTAGTTTTTCCAAGATAGAATTACAGCTGCTTTTTTGCATAAAACGACACACTCCAAATTATTTCCTCTTTTTTGATTGCACATTTTTACGATAAATATATAAAAAACTCATAAAAAGATTTTTTAGCACAAATATTAAGAAATTTTGTCAAAGTTCTAAAATCCAAGTCTTTTTCATAATGGTATCCCCACTATCACAATCACTGCACACTGTATGGTACCACAAATGGTCGTCTCCTCTCTCTCGTTGGAATCAAGTCTCTTCCTTCTATAAAGCCCCAAATCGTACACAAGAAAGTCGTTAAAGACAAATGCAGGGCCGGGGAAACAGGGGGGTGGGGGCGGAGGGCCATGGCCCCTCCAATTTACTGCAGATCAAAATAATTGGTTTAGGCAAAGTGGAAAGAAATCTAATCTACCATTCTGAAAGTAACTGTGCGTAGTAATATCTAAAATATGACCTTAGATTAAGCTTGGTGACTGCGTATTTGCCAAAGAAGACAAGAAAAATTGAAATTAGGAATTTGGTCAACAAAGTCGGTAATTGTCCAGGTTGTACAGCGAGTAGCAGCTTGGCTAAGGAAATAGATCAGAATAACCTGATTCAGAATAACTTGGTGCCTGCACCAAAAGATGGAGTTTTGTTTTTCCTATGGCCTAAACTTAGCTCCAAAGGTCCATTTGTTGACGGAAGTTTCTCAAAAACGTTAAAAAAGAGAGAGATCAGCCATTGAAGGAAAATAAACTGCTGGAGAGAAATTTTTTGAGAATATGAGAAATGAAAAATTGGCAGATCATGGAGAAAGCTTCAAAATTTCACTCCTACTAAGAAAGAGAAAATCTAGACGTAATTATATATTCTCGCAAAACTCGTTTTAACCAGTCCAGTTTGAATGTTTTCAAATCCAATCTTTATTTTGCATAATCTTTCATTTTTAGTTAACAGTGCTTCTGTTGATATTTCAATGTTAATGTTTTTGTTAAAGCCAAAAGCTTGGTTTATTTATCTTTCTCCTTCGTTTCATTTTGGCTCCTTTTTAAATCTTAAAAGCTTCATTTATTACGAGTTACAATTAAAAGGTTATTCTAAAAATTTGACCTTTCCTATTACATGTCAACATTACAATAGACGAAATTATGCGACACAATGATAAAAAAGCTTGAAAATATTTCCTCGGATTTTCCTTCAGTCAAAATCCATTTTAAATACAGTTTCTGGCTATCCCTTAGATACCATATTTCTGAAATTTTTCTTGCCGCCAACCATGATGGCGGCCTTTCCTAGAGCCTTTCGTAACCTTGATTTCTTGGCCTCTCCATTTTCAAATACGTTTCGCCCGCCCTAAAATGCAATAACCTAATGGAAGATTTTTAATCTTAATCTGCCTTTTTTTTTACATTTGTAAGCATCCTGTTTCAAGTAAAGAATATCTTGGTCCGTATGGTGCAAACCTTAGGACATTCACGCTCGCGAAATTCGCAATACAAAAATGCTGTTGTTGCGATTGCAAGTAACCAACTAGGTTTGTGGCGCAATATTGAAAACCGTGGATCTCTTTCCTTATTGGAAAGAAATTTTGTCTCTCTAAAACTGTTGAAAGAAGCCCTCTATTTGCCCCAGGGTCTCGAAGTTAAGGGGTTCTCATAAAGTAAAGAACCCATTTTAAGAATGGAATTGTTCAAACACAGCAAATTATGCCTTAAAATAATAAAGAATTTTGAACGATTACCAAAAATGACTGCAAAAAATATTTTGAAATACCTTTTAAATTAATCTGAAAGGCATGGTCACAAATTTTTTTGGTTTTCTCATCTTTCGGTTTTGCCCCAGGGCCTCTGGAACCTTTCGGTGACCCTGTCTTGAGCCCCTAGAATTGGCTTAAACAAGCACGTGGCTAAAAATCGTTGGAGGAAAGAAGTATCCCCCAGACACATCGCTGTTGGGAGGTTCAAAAAAATGAAAGAGAGAGCTAAAGATTACAATGCCGCACTGTTTTCCATTGAGAGGTTGTCTCAGTTTTCTCAATGGTAATTTTTCATGATAAGATATGATACTCTTGAGGTTTCACCTCGGTTTAGAGTAACAATTCTTTTATCTCCATCTCGCATTGTTAAGATTTTAGAGAATGAAAGAAAATGGGATGGACCATAGGAAGATACATCTGGGAGACCAATTGATATATTTTCTGCGATAATCCGCCCTACATTTGTCCAGTTTGAAGTCTAAAAGGCAAAGTCAATTTTCGTCCTACACTTTTTATGCTATAAGAACCTGAACAGTTTTTTGATGTTCGCTGTTCTTATCTTTAGGATAATCTTAGGCCAGGGTGTTACTAATATTTGGGTCTCATTTCAACATTTGTTTCTCTACAACTACATAATAAGTTATTTTGTATGGCACTTTTATTGGTACGGTGTATGAGGCCTCTTAGACTTGCCCCATTGCCCCCCTCTCGGTTGCCCTGTTCTTCACTACTTAATGTTGGTATTTAGCTGAATGTTATTCATTGAGTCATAAATAGATTGAGGTACACAATCAAGTTTTTTCAAAATACCATCCTTTTATTTTACTTGTTTCTTTTTCCCTTAATATCTTTATCCTCTTGCCAAATTTCATTGACTCATCTTAAAATTATTTATAATGTGATGTATTTTTCATTGACCATCAATCTTTATTTGACGTCACTTTGTACCAAGTGTAGAGTCTCTTTAACTTAATAGCTACTTATTCAAATTTCCCATAGTGAAATGTATATGATTCATTTAAAAAACTTGAAAAACTATTTAATCAGCCAGAAAAATTCATATATGAATCACCCTCGCTAACTTATTCTTGCCTAGGCCTTTAGGATAAGAGAGGACATTCTATGTTTAGCTCAAAAGCTCTCAGACTACCAAATTGTGAACGTCTATGACTGCCAATATGACGTGAACGTCTAAAGAGCAATTACATAACAAATTCGTTTATCCCAATCAAAGATAACGTCTTTATAAAGATAATTTTTTCACTTGTTGATTTTCAACAAAACTTCTTTTTTTAGGGTAACCAAGAGGTTTCCTAAACTTCTGAAATAGCCAAACACTGCCATTATTTTTGTTATGGCAGCAAAACCTGAAGATTTTTCTATGTTGATTGTTTTGATCTGGTCAAAGAATTGAGAGGAAGCGATAAATTTGGTTGTTTAAATAATTGTGTACATTTATAACAACATAAGGTGATCTGTTAATCTACGTTGAATGTCAGTTTGAATGAAAGACGACATCAAGGATCTCCTAACAGTTTTTTATTTCATTTGCCCCAATATAGGGGCACCTCCGTGAGCTGCAAATTGGGCTGCGAAATCGGCACTTCATCTTGTTTCACGAAAAAAAGGTGGTGCACGAGCCCCTTATAACCCCGGCTCCTACGTCTCTCGGTATCCTGCGTAAACCATGAAAACACGATCAAAATTTTCGCAGTGATTTTCTTGAAATCAAGGAACTTTCTAGAAGAAGTGAGAGTGGGGAGGGTTCTAAGACGGTATTTCAACTATGCTGACTCAGCATTAATTTTGGACGCAATGAAATGCAGTGTTTAGAGATTTGTAAGGAAAACACCATTATCATTCCCTCCCCCGGTTGGAAGTATCCATAAGTTCCTCTTTTTAGAGTTAGAATGGTTTCGTTGTAAAGGCTTCGTCTAGTTGAAATTTTTAACAGCTTTGCGCTGGTTTGTTAACAACATTCTGTGGTTTTAAATTCATTTTGTATCCAACGATTATTATGTTTTGATCGAATGTTTAAAAACGCAAAGAGATACAAGACGATTAAGTCTTCAATACTGCGAAACCTAAAAGAGACAGAAGCGTAACACAATAACCAAAGAAAAAAAATTAACATAATAAAGAATTAAGACTTCAAAATATTACGGCCTTTGACGTCAGTTGCAAAGCTATGATATTTATAATCACAATCATGCATGCATCTCTTGAGGTATTTTTGCCCCCTAGAGACGCCCTAATGCCTGTAGTTGTTTCTATTAATACCCCGAGAGAAGAGCGCTGCATACTACCCCCGTGGTCCCAACGGAATTCTATTTCACGTGCGACTTTCGAACAATGCTTTGAGAAGCTGAGCTATGAATGAAATTTTGGCGGGCAGCAAATGCTGTTATCTGATTGGTTAATATTAATTCGATTTGATTGTCCTCCTTGAAATATTATCGAGCGTTCTTTGGAAATTCTTTGATCAGCTGCCCGTTGCCGTGTGTGTTCTCGTGGGCTTAAGGCTCAATCCAACTGCGAGTTGCTTGCAAGTGAATGATCGCCACCAGCATTCACTCCTGCATCAAGTCAACAGTAAAGCTAGGTGAGTTTTCTTCTACTTCATTCTCGATTTCGTCGTTTCTAGGCTTAGGGTTATCTCGCATCGGTGCAGAATCTGTACTGACGCTACCCCATTACATAATTATATAAAAGAATCTTGATTTACATTCTTCCATTTAAGTTAAATTCTTATCAGTCATTATTTTACAAAAATGTGTTCAACAACAGCTCTTTTCTGAAAGTGCGGACTTAATCAAATCTTGATTTTGCAATATGTTATTCGTTGTGTTTGTCGCAACCATGATTTAAAATTGAAGTTGCTACACCTTGTGCCCATTAAGTTTGAACAGTTTGTTCAAATCCTGTCCGATCGATGACTTTCATTCATCTGATCGCTGCTACTCCATTTGATTCCATTTACTCATATGACTGGTCCTTACATGTTTGGAATTGAAACCTTATATTTACTCTGCCAAAAGTCCAAATCATTTACTTCGTTTCGTTATAATCGCCCTCTATTTAAACCGGTACAATTTACAGCCAGTATTAAGAAATTGTTATGGAACATTTGCTGCTGTGTCTGCGTAAAGACATTTTGGGTTAAGTGTTCCGGTACACTGCCAACAGCGTAGAGAGTGCGACAGTTTCATATTTCAATTTGGTATTTTCTGGTTGACCTTTCACTGGACTGGAGTAAACGATAGGATGGAATCCGATAGTAGTTATAAGAGACCTATCCATCATTTGTGAATTGAAATGTTGGATAAATACGAGTTTTTTGCTCAGAATCCTGGAAGATTGCAGTTGGTAAATTTATTTCATGGACACTTGGTTTTTCGGAGTTTTCCCTACGATGTGGGCGTTCCTGGAAGTGAATTTACTTTCGATATACTATAGCGGCTGTAATAGATTTCTATGCTAATTGATAATTTAAATTAGTTGAAAACGAGCTTAGATCCTAAATTCCTAGTTCCTTTGTTTACTTATTTTGTTAGTATTTCGCAATACCATCTTTGTGAGTGTTTTATCCCAGCGGCGTCACATTGGTCAACTATCGCTGTGATATATTCGTCATTGTTCGTAGAGAAGCTCCAAGTATGTTCCGGTTCGGATTTAACAATGAAGATCTAAATGTCTGTTTATTGAAAGCAAGACGACTTTAAAAGCCCAGGCTCGCAGTTGTTTGCTATTTTGAAACTTATGAACTTTGGGCCAAAGTGATTGTTCTCTTAATTGTCCACATTTTAACACTGGGAAGCGAGGTCCTCAAACTGAAATAAAAGTGGTTCGGTGTAAAACTCAAGTTACCCGAAGGCCTGGTTTTTTAGAGCTATGTATTAGTGGGCAGAGGTCAACCACCAAGGAATTTATCAGCCGGTATTACAGTTTAAGCTGCGAATGTTTAGGCAAATGACGATGCGATGGGTGTTATGATAGGCTAAGTTGTCTTGGAATCATCATTCTATGCCCACTTAAAATTCTTGTGCTTAAAAGTTTTCACGTTTGTCCTTAGCAGTCTCTTGATTGTTTTCATTTGTCCTCTCGAAAAAGTTCAGCGACACAGTTTGTTCATTAGCGTTAATTTATTGACACTTTGAAAGCTGACCTGGGCCGGTGTCCTTGTGCACGGATATTCTTTTGACCGAAGCTTGCCATTTATTACTCATGCAAGTTTTTTCAACAATGCTGTGATTACCTGAGGGAATATCGACGCTTTTGTCCATTAATCGCTGTCTGTGCCGAGACGATTGGATGTGCCATGTTTGCGTAATGTTACTGACACCTTTAGTCATTGGACCCTCCACATTCCAGGGGGATAAGCGACGCCTTGTACTCACAATAGTTTTATAACAGTTTTGGGACAGCAGTTTGTTGACGTTTGCACGATGTGTGTTGACGAGACATATAATTTATCAATTCGCAAATCAATATTTCCAGCAGCTAGAAATCACCCACGTAAATTCCATTTGTGATTGAGAAAATTAATATTTGTGATATCACCCCCCTTTAAATGTCCAGGTTTCCTACAAAGAAACTCCGATAAAATCAACAAAGAGTTATTAGCTTTTAATCGCATACGTAATTGTTTACAGTATAGACAAACTTGTCCAGTTTACCTCAGTTAATTCATATTTCCTGGTTGGCCATGACTGTATTTCCTGATTCGAATATAGGATTTGAAAACTGCATTATAATATTTTTCTTTAAGTTTTATAAGTTTTAAGTTTTCTTTAAGTTATAATCCGAGAATGTCAATACTTCGTTCCTTCATTACGTAGCATTTGGAAAATGGCCGCAGTGGAGACCCGACCAATGTGTGCATGGTCTAATGATACTTATCATCTAGACGAACTTGAAAATGTCGACGAACAAATGATGTTGAATAATTCAAAGCACTTGAGAGTTCACACGGCAGCAGCACCTGGGGAGGATGTCTGGTTAAGGCTAGGCCTGCCCCCAACACCTCCCCGCTCCCCAACAAAGTCCATAGGAGAACCTACCCAAAATGACACTACCGTTGCAGAGCGCCTTCAGTTGGTTTCCGAAAGCCTGGACGGTTTCCTCGAAGTGGCTGAACGTCAACACCAATCTGATGCGTGCAGCTTGGGCTCAAAGCTCATACAAGACTGTATGTGGAATGGAAAAGTATCAGAAAGGGAAAAGGGTGGCACTTGCATCGAGATTTTTTACGAGACCCCATGTGCCACGCCCCCTCCGTTGGACTACTCTAGTACCGAATGTGTCGATCCATCAGCGGTTTTTCCATACCCGCTAAATGAAACCGGACCGTGTCTACAAGAAGATACAGGTGAGTTTTTATATTTTGCTTGATGTGTATCATCTCTACCATTGCTTTGCGTTCTTCCGTGTTATTTTTCAATCGAATCACAGTTCTGTGCTAAGCTCAAAACTCTCATTTCGATGCCCCGTTAACAAAGCCTCGTTCTGCCGCCATATTTTCAATTTATAACTCTTCAAAAGTCGTGAAATCTAAACCCAAAAGAACCTCGAAAAAGACTTTGCTGCCAACTTGGCCAAAAATACCTTAGTGCAGGGCCTCCGACGAAGGGGGCCGGGGGGCCCTGGCCCCTCCACTTTTTTGCTAAACAATAGAGCTTTTTAAAAATTCTTATGTTTTGATTGTTAAAATCTCCCTTGCCCCCCCCCCACTTTCCAACTTGCATCAGAGCCCATGTAGTGAATGCACAAGTTTTTAAACGAATTCGTAAATTTTTGCTGAGCTTCCATGCTCTTTAAAGTATGTGATTATGAGCTTGAAAATATAGTCAAATCGTTTCTAAGCAATTCGAAAAGGAATGAATTGTGTGGTGAGAATTGAGAATGAGTTTCGTAAGTTTCAATTCAAGCCTTTTTATCCTTGTTAAATTTTAAAATTTCGAAAACAATGTGTTTGCGTTAACGTTAACCGAGAGCCCCCATAAATAGGAAAGCTTTAAAAATGGTAGCCTGAAAAAGCCAATTGATAGAAATTTCAACCCACAACTAAAAATGTCAAATTATGAATTTTTTTACCGTCAACCACCTTGAATACAAAATCGGTTACTCGTTGCCTTCAAGTTGGATGAAACTTATGCAAGGATGGTGATGTTTAACCAATTTCTTAATGTAAAAAGCCCTTTGATGAAAGAGGATTTCCAAGTATTTGTGGCGGATTTGTCGAAACACCCAAAGTCAATTTGTAGGCTGTGACGTGTGCAGTTGAAAGGTTGTGATACAAGGTTTTGAAAGAGAATCTTCTGTGTCAAGTTTCGAGTTCACGGCTGTGGCATTTCTAGGAAGCTAATGCACATTTGTGGAATTTCAAGGTTCCCAGACATCATATATCTGATGTAATTAGAGACAAATGAATTAAGGAGATAAAACAGTATAGCACTTAATTGCATCAATAGAACTACGTAAATGCGATTATTCCAGATTCCTTGCTTTAAAATCTTTGGTTATTTCCAGGCCCTCGATATTAGACTGACGTGGAAAATTATTTTTTTTATTGAATGCTGGATCAAGTATGACGCTTGGTTGCGCAATGTTTCTATGGATAATTTCTTGTCTTTGGGGTTTTCTTCTCTGAACAATACGTGCAATTATCACTGCTGGGTTCTGGAACCGGTACGTCTCGGCATTTCGAGATAAGGACTATTTATTCAGGTTATACAATCTAAAAGTGGAAAGGGTCGAGTTCGCTGGTGTTTCAGCCTAGGCGGCACTGTTCTGCTTTGCAAATTAACTTTACAAAAATTTGAAGCCTAGATAAAGTAACTGCCCTGTGAAATTCAAAACGGACTAATCTGGGAGGGGGGAGGTGTGTTAATCTGTGGTGCAGCTCAGCGTTAGTGTTACAAAAACAATTTGGCGCAAATTTTACCCAGTGCTATTTGCAAGTTTTTTTTAGAAAAGTCTAAGGCGCAGGGATGTCAAACAACACATTCTTCCACTGGTGCAAGCAAGGACAAATCGTTACATGAAAATCTCGTACACCTTTGAAATCCTATATTTTTATCTGAAAAACATTTGAGAACCTATTGTTTGATGGAAATCCCGGTGTAAGTTTGCGTGTACTGAATCTGTACCAGTAGCATGCCTCTGCGGGATGTAATTTGGCCTGAATCAAGCAAATCAAATCACACGACAACAAAATTCCTGACAGCATTCATAACGATCGGGCATACATTGCAGTAATCACCAAGATGGGACACACAGGTTGCCTTTAAATTGGAAAGGGGAGAGGGAATTACAAAAAATTTGCAACCTTTACTTGGATTTCGAGATCTGGTTGTATTGGCAGCTTTCCAAAAACCTTTCTTGCAATTTTATTGCTTTGTAAATTGCTATTTATGCCAACAATCTGAATAAACGTTTGAAAGGTCTTGTTGTCCCAAACTTTAGGTACACGTTTTGTATAATCGTAAAGGCACCTGGCGTGTGGCCTTCGGCGAAGTGTATTCAATGATTACAGATGAATTCTTATCAATAATTATGCATAATCCACTTAAATTAATGTTTTTGATTATGACCGGAGTCAGCTCCATGGAATGTAAATGACACACAATTTGTCTCATAATTTTAGTCTTCAAATTCGAATTTGGAAGGTTGAGAATATTTTTTTTCAAATGCCAGTGGTTTTCATCAATTATGAGGCTGCCCACATTGGTTAGCTTCTGGACGAAGCCACATCCAGCCCCGTCTTTTCGCAAATTTGTGGACCCCAATAGGTTACGGAATCTTCCAGAAGCGTCCGAACAGAACTTGAATTAATAAATGTGTTCGTTTTGTTATTTGAAGTTCTATTTTCAAAAAAATTGTTTTCGTGTGGGGTTTTTTATGATCCATAAAAGAATATGACCTTTTTCTTTATTAAGGCTGTGTGTAGGCTTTGCTAAACCGAGTTCAGAGACTTATTGGTCAAAATATTGTAAGATGCCGGGGTCAAAGCGCTCCATGGAAATCTCGTAGAAAGAAATCCTATTGTTGTGCCTGAAAATTGTTTTGTTGGAATTCGCTAACTCTGTTTGTGCCTATATTTTATGAAACCACCCCTTGCAAATTTTCGTATTATAGCAATATTATTTTAGTTGCTTTTAAAAACTTATTTATTCATTTTTGTTTATATGAAATGGGGTTTCTGTCTTGTCGAGTGATTTGGCCTTGAGCACGAATGAGTCGAGGCCTTCGTTAACGTTCTTACTAGAAGGGGGAATTGCCCTCCTGCCCCTTGGAACTTTGCTTAAAAAAGATCATCTTTTTCCTTCAAATGCCATCCTTCAAATAAAAAAGGAGTAACCCCCAGCTCCCGCTGAAGTTCCCTAAAATGGTTTTGGAATGGGTCGCCTTACTTTGCGTGCAATTGAATTTCCTGTCCCTCAAATAAAGGTATTAGAATTTGTATGCAATTGCCTTTTCGGTTGACAAACAAGGCATCAAAATGTCGTTAGCTTTGCTGCAAAGTAAACAGCGAAGACCTCCTCTGGCTGGCGGTGACGCACCCATTGCAAAAAGAAAGCCTGTTGGATAAAGTTGGTCAAAGATCTAAAACCCTTTCAAATTTCACTAAAGGCTGATTTCCACGAGGCGAAATTTGCAGCGAATTCGCGGCGAATTCGCTTCGAAATGGTCTTTGATTTCCACGAGACTGCGAATTCGCTGCGAAATTATATAATAATTTCCTCCAAAACTCAACTTTAAGGCGCCTATTTTAAGAACTGCAAGCATGACGAATGTTCCTAGATTATTTTTTAACAAATCAAGCAAATTTACCATGCTTTGACTGGTTATTAGGTGCTGCGAAATATTTCGCCGAGAAAAAGTAGAACTCTTTTCTACTTTCTTGCGAATTCGCTGCGAGATCAAAAATCAAAACTGCGCATGCCTTAATGCCTTCATCAGCGATTTCGCCGCGAATTCGCTGCGAAATTCGCCTCGTGGAAATCAGCCTTAAAGCTAAGTACTTTTCTCAAAACACATTTCACAGTTACATTTCCTGTGATTTTGCAGAGGTCAATGCAGGAGGCAAAATGGTAGATAAAATCTGAGGGCCTCCTGAAGAGTCGCCCAAAATGCAAACGTAGTCAAAATGAGTGGTTAATGTGGAATTCTGCGTATTCGTAGTTCCTGTTTGCCCGCTTTGTTGTCAAGGGTAGCAGGTCGCCGGGTCGCCACAGAACTATCTCATTAATCTATTGTTATCATAATTTGTTACGTCACGTAGATTTCAATGAATGTATGAATGGAAGTGCGTGGATTCGATGAGCGTATGGATAAAAGGAAAATATTTTTGCATTTGTTTCTGCGAAACAAAACTGGTATGGTCACCAGAAGCCGTAGGCATGGGTCACACGACACTGACTCAAAGTTGCGGTCAGGGGGTGTCGTCCTAAAACGTAAGGTTGGAGAGCCGTAAGGAACTTCTTAAAGCCACACCCTTTATACTTTATTTCTGTTTAAGAATCTCTGTCATTAATACTCTTTTTTATAAGAACAATTTTATAAGAACACGAGCCTCAAAACTGGTCAAAAGTTCAGAATAAATTAAGAACAAGCTGAGGCTGAGCTTCTGCAAAATGCAATTTTGAACAACGTTTTATCTCATAAACGAGGATTTTTAGCGATGTGTGGGTGCTTTTTCGGTGAATATTCAAATTTGTCAGCAAATTAAGGCTGTCTCACTCACTTTGTTGGCAAATGAGTCCTGAACACCTTCTTAGAGCGAAAAAGCTAGCAATAGCACTGCTTACACCCTCTTAATTTAAGAACAAATTAAGAACAATCCAGCCTCAGATTTTCGAAAAAACTAAAAACAGTCAGCCTGAACTTGAATTTACTGTTTCTTATAAAAAAAGAGTGTATATGAAATCATGACCAAGTATTCAATGACTCTAAAAGGCTGTTGTTTTAAATTAGTCATTCATAGAAAGTCTATACCACCATTAAGGGTTCATTCCTATTGCCAAATATGGAATTCGCCCAACCAAACATAAACTGGACGAATTCCTTAAACGTATAAAGTTAAGCGGGACTGAGTTCACCCTCTCAACATTGCCTCTTGAATTCAACAAGGGTGCTGAACCCCCGAGCCCTTTTCAATGGCATCACAGAGTTGGAACCCGTGCTTCTAAAAATGGGGGTAATGCAAAAGATTTGGAAAAAAATTCGTCGGAGGCCCTTCGTCGGAGGCCCTTCGTCGGAGGCCCTGTAACGGGGTACTCAGTAAGGAACCGCGCGGCTTTTGCACCGTATAACTTCATACCTTATTCGTTTGTTCCATTAAAAGAATTACCAGCTAGTAAAATGTTATACCAAGGGGTTTGCTGCGAGTGTTTGCTGACTTTTCTGTCACAGTGTTGCGGCTTCTTAACGCACACTATTCTTAACGCACGATATTCTTAACGCGTATGACGATAGACAAGTAAGTTTTCTTCCCACCCTGAAAAATCTCTCTTTTCTTTGCAGATGAAGAAATTGATGTCGTTTCGCTGGACAAACCAGAATTGAAAAGGAAGAACTCCGAGCCTATCGTGAAAGAAAGTAAGCCGCTGAAATTACTGAAAAGAACGAAAAGTTTGCCCGTCAAATCATGTAGCCGCGCGGCAAAACGAACTTACGACGACTCATCTTCTGACTCGTCGACTTGTGATCATAACAGAAATAACGATGACTCGGATTCGGATAAGCGTGCATCGCACAATGTTTTGGAAAGGAAGCGACGGAACGATTTAAAGTCAAGTTTTCATACGCTTCGAAGTTACGTCCCGTCGCTGTCTGGAAACGAAAAGGCCGCAAAAGTTATCATTTTGAAGAAAGCCACCGACTATATCCACGAACTGCGAAGTAGTGAGGAGGACCTTGCGAAAGAGAAAGAAGAACTAAAGATTAGACAAAGAGAACTCCTGGAGAGATTCATCAAATTGAAGCCTAAGGCAAAGTAAACGCTTGTTGAGAGACTTTCTCAGCGTCAAGTCGCGAACTAGAATTCAGCTCTGCCTGGACAGAGCGCGTGTTAATTAAGTTTTGTTGATTAAACCATTAGAAAATGGACTAAAACTGAGCCCTCGTAGAAGCATTAAAAATTCGCTTTAATGCTGAGATAATTGTTTCACTTTTTGGTCACAACTACCTAGTGCTCACTTTTAGCCCATAGTTCACAAACGCATTTGCATTCATTTCATCGTTTTTCGCATGGACCTCTTTCTTCAAATTCGACGTGATGATGCTTCACCCCCTGATTTTCCCAAAGCGACTTTTTCTCTGCTTAGTTGCAATAGTATATTCACTTAAGATACCTTTAGCTAGTAGCTAGAATTTTTTATTTGGAGTTAATAAATGCGGGGGCAAGCATCTTATTTCGTGGAATTTTTCTACCAAGAGTGAATTTGTAGAAGAGCTCTCCATTAGAAAAATTAAACTAATTGGATAATTTTGAGTTATTATTATTCTTTTCATTGTAGATTGTAGCTTTTAACTTTCTTCTCTTGTGTTTAGTTCAGACAGGTCAATATCCGAATCTTCTCGTGATCGTTTCTCCATTAAAAGTGATTAGAAAATTTCCCGCGCTTTTCTCATTTCCCGCGTTTTTTCATTCCCGCGTTTTTTGACATAGAATTTTGTAGGCGATTTTAGAGACATCAGTACTTTGTTTACTATATGTCTATCGTTCTCCATACCCCACAATTTAACTAATATTACAAACGGATGCTTTCAGAAATATTGTCGCCAACAGTTGGGAAAGAACGCCCGAATATCAGTTTGATAGGAAACATTTCTTTTCGTCTCGTTTAGAATTGACCGTTTGGTGAAGGAAACCAGTAGTTAGCACGGAAAGATTCGTGATATTTTGTCGCATTTGTTTACTGTTTATGTAAAGGGGAAAGGTTAGGCCCTGTCTTGTTTATAGTTAACAAGCGAGGGATTAGGAATCTTTGATTAGATCACACTATCTAGTCTTTGACTCGTAGGTAGGCATTCTATTTCACAATTTTTTGGTCTTAATGAAAACATAATTTTTGAAGGGGTTGGGATATATCATCATTGCCACTCCCCTTTGTAGCTGTTTAGCTTAAAGTGTTTGCAAAACATATAATCTAAAGTCTGGATTGAAAACAGAGCCTATGAACTTTTGTAAATGTAATGATTTTTCATGATTCCAAACAGAAAAATGGGATTTCGATACTGAGGTATGTGAAGTTTCGAGTTAGTTAAAACTAAGCAGGCCTCAACTACAAATTGCGTCATTTAGCTTTTCATGGGGTGTTAATGTTCCTGATTTTGAACAGTTAAACGAGGTTTTTTGAAGAAAATAATTTGTATTTGTTTGATTTTAAGACAGTTGTAATACATAATTTTGTGTTTATAAGAAGACGAAAGGAATCCAGCAAAACGTTGTTATGATGTTATTTCTTCCTGCTCGTATATTTTTAAATGATCTTTGCAATGAATTTTCCTCAACCTGCAACCGGGTTTTTGCGGATGTATTGAAGTCTGTAAGAGGTATGGTGCTAAACTGTAAGAAAGTTGAACCGTAAACTGCTAAACTATCCCTACTGGCAAAACTGTGCCACACAATGTTTACCCTGCAAAAATTTTCCCTGCTAAAAGTTGAAATAGTCTCAATAGAAAATGAAAATTATAGAGGGTTTTAATACTATATTATCTTCAAAGAACGATAAATTATGTTTTTTTATTCTAAGACTTGGCATTTTTGCTGTTGACCAATTTTTGATAATTTGTCTTATAACACTATCATGTGGTTCTACTACGGAAAAACTTTCATCATACCCTTTTAATTATCATGGGCTTTAGTAAAGAAAAGTGCTTCACATACAACAGACTCAGCTCATTTTTTACAACAAACTTTCGATATGCACACTAGCATCCCACTGAATTCGTGGCTTGCCACGCTAGATGAAAAAAAACCGCATCATGAAGGAATTATAATTCAGCAAGTTGACAAAGTCGTGAGACTATAGCAGTAACAACTGCTTAAATAAAAAAACGAAAGAATAATCTTGCAACGTCGAAGGGCCCCATTTTACCATTTATAATACCATGGGACAATTGCACCATCCACATCATTGTAGTCCTACCAAGGCACAATAATCTCAGTGGTGTAGTCGTAAATTTTTAGGAAGTATTTTGCAAACGTTAAAAAACAAAAGCAGCATTTCATTAGTTCTTTTTATAATATTTTTTATAATAATATTTTGTGCTTTTTAAAACATCTCTGCGTTGAACATTTTACTGCTTGCGTTATACTTACCTTCGTCCTAGTGGTATATGCAGATCATCTTTTTGTTCCCTTTTAGTCTTTCGCATCCACTCATGGGCGGCGCCAGAGGGAGGGGTTGGTGGACTTAAGCCCCCAACATATTTCCAAAAAAGGCTTTAAGAGAATAAGAAAAAAGAAAAGAAATAAGAGGGGAAAAATGCAATAAATCCTTTTATCGCTTAATTTTAAAGGAGTAAGCAGAGGTCTTTGGGGCCTCATAAAGTCATGATTTCAATTTTAAAATAGGAATTAATCAAACATAACAAAAGCAAAAGCAATATTTTAAACGATTGCAAGAAAAATTCTGGATTGTATTTTAAGCCAATCTAAAGGGCGTGGTCGCAACATTTTTCGATGGTATGGAAGTCTCTTCTTTCAAATATACCCAGGGCCTCAAACGACGTTTCGTCGGCCCTTCCAAGATATTGCTAGCATAACGAGTACCGCATAAAATCGTAGGCAGAACCGAACGTGAAGCATTTTAGTGCTTCTTTCAAGATTTGGTTTTTCAGTAAAATATTACTATCAACTCGAGCCCACCCCCACCCCTACTTTGAATTTCTTCTCAGTTGTAAAAGAGATCATAAGCCCCAAAATGCTCTACCTGGCGAGGACTCAAGTTTCAAAGCACAACATGCATGTTTATGTGACTATATATGAAGTTATAGATATAGGACAGCATAGTATGTCTGTTCTGACACACACGCCAGTTACTTAAGCACATTACTTTAACATAAAAATGGATCACAAATCCCTCCCGGTACAAGGCTGTGTGGCAACGCCCGGTTGGTATAACACTATTTTTTCTCAGTTTTCAGAAGAGCTGTGCTTGCCATTTTTGCACGGTTTAGAAAAACACAGATATCGAGCACAATTAATTCTGCAGTGAAAGAAAATCAGAATCAATTTTTAAATTTTATCTCTTCAGCTCAAACTATCGCTGACAATTCCTATTTCCAGGGGCGGCGCCAAGAAATTCAAAGTGAGGGGGCTCGAGTTGATAACATTATTAAACTAAAAAAACAACTTTTGAAAAATACACTGAAATGGTTCACGATATTTTTTACTTATGACTTTACGGAGCACTCGTTATGTGTAGCGGTACATTGGAAGGCCGACGATAGATTGTCGAGGGCCTTAGGTATAGCCAAAGGGGAGGCTTCCTTGCGAGCGAAGCGAGCAGAAATTTTTTGCAACCACGCCCTCTAGACTAGCTTAAAATACATTTCAGAATATTCCTTGCGGTCCTTTTTTGCAAAAGGTTTTTTGCTATTTTTAAGGCATGGTTTTTTTACGTTTGATTAATTCCAGTTCTATAATGGAATTCGCTATTTTATGGGGCACCATAGACCCCGGCTAATTCCTTTGAAATAAAACAATACTGTAAAAGAATTTATCGCATTATTCTTTCATTTCTATTTTTTTTCTATTCACTTTATTCTCTCAAAGACACTTTTCTGCAAGTGGGGGGCTGGAGCCCATGATTTCCAGTCTTTATCGTGTTACTTTTAGAACAGACAATTTAGCTTGATTAAATGAAATTTGACCACGTTTAATGTGTGACAGGGTACGCCTTTTCGGTGCCCCTTGGGCTTTTGTTTTTGGCACAGATTGCATGACTGTGGATCATTGTAGCCAGCAGCGGTTTTAGGGACTGCGGAGCCCGGGGCCAAAAACATCAATGGGGCCCTTGTTCTTTACAATTTCTATCTTTTTCTTAGGTGTAGGACTCCTTTTGGCTACCATAAGCGCGAGGCCTGGGGCCATGGCCCCCCTGGACTCCCCTTAAAACCGCCACTGATTGTAGCAGTGCTCGAGTAAGTGTCTTTTATACGGACAAAGCGACAAGCGTGCAAGTGTACATTGCCCTTTGGTTTCATCCTCACACGTTAAACGACAACCTGGAGTTCGACTGTGGAGAGCAAAGGTTTTTCTTTGCAATACCCATCTCTAGGTATTTTCAGGTTTTTATATGCATGTTAATTTTCTACTTTTTTCTTCGTGAATTAGTTAATGGCCGAATGCCTTGCGACTTTTGCATGAACAAGGTGTTGCTTGTCGGCGAAAGAAGGCCATTGTTTCTTCTTCTCAACCCCCTCAAAAGTGGTTGGAGTTTTATATATGGCATGGCCATCTTGGCGATTGGCCTACCGACCGCCCAAAAATGAATGGTCCAAATGACGAGAGAACGCCACCTTTAATCTTATGATTGATAATGGTAAAATATTCTGAGGACCATGTTCCCTTTATTTTTTTGTTCGGTAATCTGGAACTGATAATAACCAAGCAAAAACTACTTTCTCGCTACAGCGAGAAGCAGATCCATTTGTAGAAAATTTGCCTTTTCAAAATCAGTTTTGCGCTGCGAGAAGGCCCTATTTTCGTGGTTGGGGTATGAACCACCCTCATACTCCTCACCCCACAAGTGACGCTCCTGTGCCCAGCACAACAAAGTAGAATGTAGATTGATTTCAACTTTTCTGCCTAGCACAGAGCAGACCGTCAGTGACCTTCCAAGTCGCGGTTGCCTGCTAACAAAAAGAACATTCTACTTTAGGGCCGGAAAGAAATTTTTAGAAGACAATTCAAAAACCAGGTCCTAAAAAAGTTTTCATCGTAAGTGATGAAGTTCACTAAAATATTTATCCTAAGCATCTACCTCTAAAAAGGTCCTTGTTTTCTTTTACAGTGGCTTGTCACCAAGACAGTCTTTATTTTCGCTCTAATAGAAATAAGAAAGGACTATCTTTGGCATTGCCTGTTGATTACCATGTTTCACCATTTTAAGTGTGACCAGGTGCCAACAGAATGGCGCTGCCTCTTGATCGATAGTGAGCATCTTTTAAGTAAAGCGTCTTAATTACCAAGTTAACGAGATTTTCTAGATCGATCCTCCACTAAACAGAATACGAATTCTGGCATTAATTTATACCATAAACCACAAATTTAAACTCGTTTTATTTTGTTTTTAGATCAAAAAGAAATTATTACAAGAACAGTTGCTAGAAAAAAAACCATCTTACTTCCTAATGGAGGTCAGATTTTTGTGTTTCTGTGCGCTGTGACATTCTTTGGATTGATATTTCACCCTGTTTTTTATCTGCCAACAAAGACAGTATTCAGGCATCATATAGCAACTGTTACTAGAGCCAGTTTGAGAGTAAAAGGTCAAGGGTAAAATAAAGTGCCATGAAAAAGATTTCGTTAAAGAGCTCCATTCTTTTGCTATAAGTGGAAAAAGGCTGCCGAAGCTGTAAAAGTTTTTGCAAAATGATTTCAAAGCAAGAGACTTGCCCGTTATTGACAATTTCGAGGAAAGTAACCCAATCGGTATTTTTACTCTTTAAGGATTGTCCCACCCTTTTCATCTACCAGTAGTCCTTGAAGCAATGAGATGGAGAAGAACAGAACAAACCCCCTGACCGAATAACCTTCCCCTCTTTGTTATAACATGGCTTTCATGGAAGAGATCAGGTATTTCGTTTTCAACCAAAATTCATTCTCTGGTTAAAGTAGTCCCCTATTTCTACTAAGCGCATTGTAACCATTGCCTTTCACAATTCTACTTCCTATTTTATTTGCAAATATTTATGTTTGTTCCGTTGAGTGTATCTGAATTCAAATAGCTGCTTCTTTCCATCAATTTGAATTTCCATACCTCCTCTATTCTCCCCAGTCTTTCTGTTCATCCCATATGCCCGCTGCAATGACGCATTGTTTATGTACCATGTCTTGCTTTATTAGCAACAAATCTGACTTATGTATTGGTTAAACGATCGATTGTGACCCTCTTGGCTACCACCAGCCTCTTTTCCTATAAACTTTCTGCGTTAAACAGCAATGGTGAAAATTAGCATCCTTGGCGTACTACCCTCCCGGATGCCCATTCACTCCCTGCTACTCTTATTCTGCTCTGTTGTATCATAAACATTGTTTGGCCTATCTTAAAAGCATTTTAGGGTTCTTCTTATAGTTTTGTCCTTTTTGCTTAACAAACCTCATACAGTGTCCTGCATCGAATTGCACTGATCCCCTGGGTGTTCTGTAACGCTAAACACAATACAGTTTCTCTTTCAGCAAATTAAAGCAACAACTATAAGAAAATCTATACAGTTAAGGTATTGTCCTGAAAGGTATTCAGGAAATGATTTTTTGCTCCTGTTTTCCCGGTATTTCTTTATCCCTAAATCCACTCTAATTTGTCAATAAACCATCTATAACATATCTATAAATACTGTTATACAGATCTTTGTTATCCACAAGTTATCCCCAGATTGTCCCTATTTTTATCCATACATTCCCTTAAAGTCTGTGGACGCAACGATCTATTTTCGGAGTATTCGATATTAATATTTATGGATATGCACCAATATTTTCATTTGGCAACTTTGCACAAAAAAAGATAATGTAAAATAGAATACAAGTTAAATGAATGAATATATGAATGTTTCTATCAAATATGCCATAACAGATGCAAAGGTTATATATTTTAAATTACATCCACTATGTTAGGAAGGGGAGTAATTTTTTTCCAAACAACCATATCATTTGCATTATGGCAGCTCCATGCGGAGTTTGAGCTTCACTCTCTTTTCCACTGGACACAGGCGCGCACCTTGCATTGAAAGTTGATGTCCATCTCTGTCTACTTTTCTCATGAATTTCATTAAAAGGATGTTAATTTACCAGTTTTCATTCCCTTTTTCAATAATAATGTAAGGGTTTATTTTCCCTGTTTATTCACACATCATATTTACTTCCCTTTCGCCCTATTGGCAAAATTTGTTTCCCTGCATTGACATAACACCGCTTGCAAGGAAAAATATAACATTTTGATAAATTATGCAGCTATAAGTTAACAGTACTTTCAGCAACGATCATCAAAAGGGCAGCAGAAGGCCTAAACATAAGCACTCCAGCAAACGATTTTATTACCAAACATTCAAAGACTGGGGCACAAGATAGAAAATGCCAATGAACTTTCAAGAAAAGACTGTAAAAAATTATGTTATGTTATATAGTATGGCAGGATACAGCGACGCAAATCTGATTCTCTATTTCAATGCTTTTTTTAGACAAGCGTTTTTCCTGTAGCGTAATACCATGCTTAACACGACGAATTTAATGGAAGGATCCTTTTACAAGCTTGCCCCAGATAGAACAAAGCAGGTACAGGGGCGTCCCTAAACACTTTCTCTTGGTTGGGGATGAGGGTGGAGGTGTGCCAGTCAATTGATTATAGACAATATATGATCAATCTCCTAATCATAGGCCAACGTTTTACAATGTTTTGCAATGCTCAGACGACAGTAATCACAATCTTTGCTCTACCACAACAAACTTGTAGATAACTCTGTCGAGAGCAGGCCTTTTCTTTTTGTGGAGCAAAATTTTGGAATAAGCCCAGCAGTTAGACTAAACTAATACCCTCTTTCACTATCTTCAAAAAACACATCAGGTAGCAATTTTATTTCATTTTAGGTTTTGTTATCATGTAAATCGTGTATAAAACTAGAAATTATAACAAAAGAAGCATTGCTACGATTAATTTTTTCTTCTTAACGGGTCAGTTTGTGTAAAATTTATTAAAACAGTTCCAAAAAATAGTTTTTGGATTGGTTATTTTAACGTTGTGCACATAATTGGTCAAATTCAAAATTGCCTGTTGTCTTAATAATAAATGTAAGTGATCTAGAGCAAACTGAACTTTTTGTGCAGAAATCGTAAGCATTAAAACAGAAAATTATGTTTTCAAAAAGATTATGAAATTAGAAGTGTAACGGTTGCGTTTAGTTTCGGCAAGAAGAGAAACAACAGACTGCACTTCAACTGGATACTCAAAGACTGATCACTTCAGAAAACACTCAATATAATAAACGAGTTTAATCGTAAGTTTTTATAACACATGACTCGCTGCATCATTCGTTAGAGAAGAAAAGCTCTTGGACGGTCGATTTTCCAACTTGAAATATCTACCATCGTTTAAACAGTGACCCATGTACAGCAGCTGGCCTTTCTAAAAAAAGCAAGCTAATTTTTAAACATAGTCCACTTGAGCAAAAACAACTGTGTAAAAATCGTGCTCTCAGTTTTTTAAATTAAATTACTTTAGGCTAGCGAATTTTTAAAAAGAAACTTTAACCAAACTGTAGAATAGAAAATGTCATCAGATATGAATGCATAGTTGATGGCATTATGCACCATTCGAAGAGTTGGTACAAGGGTGATCGTACGAATAAACCACGCTTGCCAGACGATCTGTTTAAGTTTCATTTAATTTACTCTGTCTTGCATCTATGAAGTTTAACTTAAATTAAATTTAAGAGAAATAAATTTAAGTTTCTCACATACAGGCAGAGTGGACTTGCAAGTGACGCAGGGACGGCTAGTTTACGTCCGAATGAGGAAAACTAGTTACCAGTCCCCAAATACCTCTACGATGAGACTGCCAGCAAAGGAGGGTGAGGTTTTTGGAGTCTCGCCGACTGATAAAACCGATGGCAAAGAAAGCGTATGATTACCTGTTCAAACTGCTTCTCATTGGAGACAGTGGAGTAGGAAAAACATGTCTCCTCTTCAGATTTTCTGATGATGCCTTCAATACAACCTTTATATCCACTATTGGTAAGTGAAAAGAACAATCAAAATAGAATGCGATAGGCCTATCGTAAAGTTGCCTCTAGTTTCGTTTTGTGTTGCCCAATGTGTATTATCATTTTTTTGGCTATACGTTTTTGACAAGGAACATTTATTATTTGCCATAACATTATGTATTAGCAGTATTGCAGTAAGAATCCGATTCGCCGTAATAAAAAGCATTTCCTTTGCGCCAGACGTACCACAGTCGGATCCTGCGAGGGAAATAAAACAGTGTATCTGGAAGTCACCAGATCATCCATGTTAATGAGACAGTAGTGCGTCACAGCCTACTTTCTGCAAAGATTAGCAAGGCGGCTCGATGAACATCGGTTTTGAATTGTTGGCTGTGTTTCTTAGTCATCTATTAACGGTTGTAGCACGGCTGTGCTCAAGTATTTAGTTCCTTTTTAGGCCATTAATATCGAAGGTGTTGCATGTTTTGGCGGAAAGACCACTTGTCAAATTTTCTTACCTCCACAACTTCTTCATCACCAGCGCAAAAATTACCAACAGTATAAATATGGTTTTTCTAATTGTTCCATGAAAGCACTTCTATGTTGATTATAACAATGAGGTGCGAGGACAACTTCAAATAAAGTATTTTATAGGTGAAGTTTCATGCTTTCAGTTTCGATTCTTGTCTAGTCTCTTACAATTTTCACATAAAAGAGTTTGTTAAAAGTGCTCAGAAATCAGTTCTCTTATTTAAAACTGTGAAATTTGAATTTAAATGCAAAATAATATTTTTCATCTTTGGGTTAAGTGAAACAGAAAGTGCTTCTCTAGAGATTTATATATTTTGTTTTTTTCGTGCCAACTCCATAAATTGTCCAAAGGTCAGATAAATTGTAGAGCTGGGATGAATTGGGAGATTGATTTTCGATGGCTAAAAATAAAAGTTTCTAGGTAGCAGTATTTCCAATGTTTCTGTAGAATTGGTTGTTCTAGGGTTCTTGGTCCCAAAAGCCTAAGCTCCCATCTTGTGTAGATGGATATCGTGTTAGACATAAATGTCATATAGAGAAACTGGACTAATATTGCATCAGTCTGGGTTTACAAGCGATGTTAAAATATCATATGAAGGTGCCCAAACATTTGAGTTCAGAGCACCCATAACAGGTTAAATAGGTAAGATATGAGCATTATTCCTGTGAGGAAATTTTCAGATTATTGTACAAAAAAGAGTCACATATTACACAATTTTATGACAGTTTAATGCCCGCAGTTTTCTCAATAGCTAAAACATTGTTGTTTGCAAAAAGACAAAAGGTTCCTTGCCATGTTTGAAAATAAAGCAGTTCTTGATTTCTGTTAGCTTTTGTTACTTCATGGCTTATTTATATTTTCCTCTAGAAACCATGGATAACATATATATCTTATTAAATTATTGTTGTTAGCAAGGGAGAATACTGAAATATTATTTTACTGACTCTTGACCATATTAAATATGTATTATAAAATTACTGTTTTACCTGTCTGTCATAAAGTGTTTGGTTCCATATAAGCAGTGCTGTAGAACAGGAAGGTTCTAAGTGCTAGTCTCTGTTTCATGCTTAGTCTGTAGCATAAAATATGTTCTACATATGTTTAATGGTTTCCTTGTTTGCCTTTTGTGTTTAATGTAACAACCTGAAAGAAAGATGCAAGTTTGCCCATGAATTGTGTTATTGCATCCATGTTTGGACCGGACAAGTCAGCCTGATGTGATTCAGTATTCATATAAGAGATGTAATGGTAGATGTAGTTTACTGAAATGTTGTTGTCCTAAGACCTCAAACCAGCTGTTAACTATATATAAATAGCAAGGAATTTTATTATTAACAAGTATGCTTAATGTTAGTTACCGTAAATCCTCTAATCATTGCTCATTAGTTCATGTCAGCTCATTTATTTTTAATTTCTAATACATATTGATGCTCAAATGCTCAGGCATGTAACTTACCATAATGAATAATTACAGGCATACAAGTTAGAAATATAAGCATATATACAGAATAAGATAAAAAAGAAATATATAAAAAGCTATAAATGACTGGAAAGTTTTTATTTCAATGAATTTTTAAGGAGCAGCTCTTTAGTAAATAAACTAGTCCAGGGGAGAGCACCCGCTTGAATAATTTTATATGTATATATATAAATAAGAAAATTATAGGCAAATATTATTAATAGCTATCTGTCATCTACTTTTGTATTTGTTTTCAAAAAGCATGGCATTGATTCTGTGGCAAGAGATAGATACCATCCCTTTATTAAAATGTTTGCTACTGTTCAACATTATTACTTTATTGTATTACAATTGTTGGCTTGTGAACTGTTAGAAATGATTTGTCTGCAGACATCATCACTATAAATTACACATCTAGGACTCCATATTTTAATTTAGACAAGAAACACCTTCAAGGAATGCTATCTACTTTTGAAGTGGTTTTATTCCAAAATTTGTGTGTAGAAAAATATATATACCATTCAAATTAGGATGTTTACCTCTGACTCTTGTGTTTTTGTTTCTAGTTTTGTTTTCATGTTTTGCATATATCCTTACACATTTTTTTATTTCTTGACCTGTTCTTGCTTTCTTCATAAATTATCATACTTCTTGCCTTTGGTCGGCAGTTCAGGCCTGGCCATAAAACTTTTACCAGGGGAGCAGAAAACAGCCTCTTATTAGTATTCTTTGTAATATTAGAACAATTTAGGAGAGCAATCTGTAGTTCCCCTCCAGTGAACATTTGAGGAGAGTGTTGAGGGGAGGAAGAGCATTTGCTCTCCTCAAATGACCAGGTTTGCAGTTGGAATAGAATGAAAAATTATGTTGTCTTTTCTTTCCTTATCCAGTTATTTCTATCTTTTTTACTGTTTGCTGAATTTCTTATAAATGCTGGGTTTTCAGATCGCCCTTGTATATAACCATTTTGTGTTTGTGCTATTTGTAGTGCTTCCTGGCATTTTAAACTGGTTCGAGTACAAAATAATTTGGACATCAAAATTCCTTATTTAAATATTGGTTCATAAACTTGACATGACAAATTAGGTTTATAGTTGGTTTAGTTTTAGTTAAACACTGTTGATAATTTAAGAAAGAAGAAATAATTCATCCTTTTTAGAAAACAATTTTTAATAGTTTTGTTTGCAGTAAATACAGAAAGTAGATGTGTTATTCAATGCAGACATGATTAACAGAGCAAATCGTTTATAGTATATTTGGCATTTATAATTGATCCTGTTAGATTTGTGAGACTTTTCTTTTTACTTTGCGATTAATCTTGGTCATTTGTGATTATATTTTATTTTTTTCAATATCATTTATTTTCCAAGATAGTGCAGCTATTTAATACAACCACAGCTGTGAATGCCAATAATAACCTTTCCAACAATATATTATTCATGTGTCTCGTGAATTGCATATTTGTCAGACAGACTTTGAATTTTGATCTCCTTGATTCTTTTGTTTTCCAAAGAAAAGATAGAAACAGAAATTCGCCTGCTATGTTAAGTCCTTTTTTAAGAGAAAATATTCATTTATTGGGTAAACTCATGAATTTGGTAATCCTTGTTGATTCCTAATCGTTGTTATTATTTTGTTTGTTCAAAGTGGTAAATTTTCTGTGCCAGAGGCTTCGTAAATCTGAATTTATCCCTGGAATTTAGAAAACATTGCTTTTTATCTGTCTGAAGCCTGTATTGTAGTATCAAATTCTCAGCAAGCTCTTAACCGTTTCTCGTCGTTCAAGGCTTCTCATTTTCACCTGAAGCTTTTGAAGTTTTGTTTTCATCGAATTGGAATCGTTATTTGATCTGCAAAGAAACGAAATAACTGATTACCAAACGGGGAAGCAAACATGATATAAATTTAAATTTATATAATGTTTGCGTGACAGTTTTCACCTTGTTTATACATGTCTCCTTGACAATTCGTATGTGCAGTCAGTTGAATTGACAGGTTGTTTCTTCCCATCAAGCCATTTGAACAAAGCAGGTCAATTAATAGATAGGCATTTGTCAACATGAAAGGGGGAGTCTCTTACTCCCATTAAGACCGTCTTTTTGTATTATTTCTTGTATTCCTTTAAAAAAATATGAGTTTTAAAGCATATATTCCGGCTCAATATTTCAAGTAAGAAAAAGTCATTTCTGTTCCTGGAAGTTCTACGGAAACCGTAAAGGAAATTTCTGTTCAAAGTTACCCTTAAGTGCACTTATAAAGAGGTGTCCAGTTTACGAAGGAGCAACCTACATCTTCACCCCCGAACAAGATCACAAAGCCTGGCGATTGCTAAATTTATTCACTGTTTGAGTGGTCAACAGCCTTTGCACACTTGCTCTTGAGTGGTCAGTCTGCTCGAAATTCCGTTCCAAAAATATCAGGGTCCATAATTTTCATTCACTTAAAATGGAATGGACAGAATCTATGATCTCAGTGTCCTTCCGAACCAGGAGATATTTTTATGCCCCCTTATAAAGAGGTGTCCAATTTACGAAGGAGCAACCGACATCTTCACCCCTAAACAAGACAATATAACCTGTCGATTGCTAAATTTATGCACTGTTTGAATGGTCAGCAGCCTTTGCACACTTGCTTTTGAGTGGTCCAATCAATCCCTCTTAGCATTGAAACCATAATTTCCGTTTAAATCCAAGATGTTAAATTTAGCTTGTACAAAAATGCAAGAAATTAAGTATGTCGCACTTCTGCGGTAGCACTTTGCCATTTGCTCCCCTTGTGGGTTTTCTTTGTTTCCTAAGCTTCATTCATGGCTAGAGAACAGAACTGGGGTCTTTCATTCTTCTGATACACCCTTTCATCTTAAAACCTTGTACGAATATGGAATTAGAGAATGGAAAAGATGAACAAGGGAGCATTGATAAAATGAAATGAAGTGAAACAGGAAAGGTTGCGATTGAAAGCCAAGAAATGAAAACTCTGGACATTGTATTTTCGGCCGTTTGATCAAACATTTTAAAATAGAAATATATCATTAGTATTAAGTGTCGAGGGAAAGGTACTTCAGTTTATGTTTCCGCTTTCTGTATTTTTTTTTATTTTTGTGGTAAGAAAGGCATATTAGAAGATATATTTTAATCATACCAGGAAAGAAACTGTTTTTTTATTACTGATTGTGGTTTTTTCCATTCATTACTTCCTCGTTCCGTCAAGCCCTATTCTTTCTCACTTTTTTCTGTATGCGTAGAACTAAAATGGGAATCAAATTATTACGGAATAACACTTAAACTGATAAGAAATGTCGTTATTTGTTTATTATATATTTTATTTTTTATCAAATTTTCTAACATATACAGTTGTAGAGCAGGTACTAACACTTCCTCCATCGTATAAATGTTCCGGGGTGTTACAGATCCAAAATTTTTACATTTAGTAAAAAAGCAATTACTCTCCTTTTCATTTATCTTCGCTTAATTTTTGAAGGAATTGATTTCAAAATCAAAACTGTTGAAGTAGATGGAAAAAAAGTGAAGCTTCAGATTTGGTGAGTCTCTTAATTTCATTGTGTTATTTATGTATCATATTACATTTCGGAATATCGTGACGTCAGAATATTGTGTAGAAAATTGCATCAAGATAATACTGACAAGTTGCATCCTATTTTCTTTGACTTTCTTAAGCGAGAAATTATCTGGAAGAGAATGCTAGGAGCCTTGTAAAGGGATATTATCATCAGCGCAAGATTGGTAACTTCAAGGAACAGATCTCAAAGGGCCACTGCTAGCTCAGATCCTTTGCGCGCTTCTGACATTCTAATCTTGAAAGATTCAAAATTGTGACTAACTTTCGGATCATTCATCCAGACGAACATGTTGCTATCGTTTAGGCCAAAAAATTCAGACACCCTGAAGATGTCTTAATGCGCGCAGTGGATGTGAAAAATGGCTTTTTTAGGCAGTGGCGTAGCTTGTCCTTCCAGACTAGGGGGGGGGGGGCGGGGGCCATCAGTAGTAAATTTTACCAACGACAATAAAGATGTAGAAACAATTTGGTGGTATTTCGTCTACCGAGAGACGGTTTACCGACAAACTAAGGTTTGAACAAAGACAAGCTAGCTACGCCCCTTTGTTTAGGAATAGTGTAAGGTTTCTATAAAACGCGGTTATACAGAGGTCACCAAGGTCTGGGAAGTTTTAGTGTTGCTGGATAAATTAGCTACTAGTCTCTTCCATTTTCAATGGTACCCTTTATGAACCTTTGAACCAAAGGCTAGCGTGATGAAATCTGGAGATAGCAATACGAATGGTGATCATAAGCATTCGAACGGAGCCATTCACGGATTTCGTGGTTCATAGATTCATCGAATTTTGTCTACTGTTGCGATTATAATTTAATAGCTATGAATCCTTTTTAAAATGTTATTTCATTGGCCAAACCAGCTTCTGATGCGCAGAAAATTTATCCTAATAGGGTTATTTTGATGTTTAATTTTCGACAGGCCTTCCTGCGTTGCTTTAGAACCCTTAATATCTTCTTACTTCACCAAAGCCGAGGAAGTTTTAAAATAACCTTGCTTTTGGTTGAGAGATAACTTTTTGATGATTTCATATATAAGCCATTGTCTGAGAATCAATGCTTTTGCGGAGAATTTACAGCAACAAAAGAAAACAACGGACTTCTTACTACGCTTAATTGGATAAGTCCTCGAGCTTTTGTGTCCTATGCGATTTGAGGCTGATATGCACACGTCAGCATTTGTCATCGTTATGGAAAAATTTTGATTAAATTGTGCTTCTTCAAACCCGGAAAATGTTTGCTCTCGATGCTTGGGAATTTGAGGGGGATTGTCAAAGTAGTTATAATTTATCTAGTAATTGGGCTTGCTGTTTGGGCCAAAAATGTTGATGCATGCCCCCTCCTTGTCACTGCAAGACAAGGGGAAAGGAGCAGCTGTCGATTTTCCACTACAAAAAGGACCTATTCAGTTATAAAAATTAACGTTTTTTCAGGACTTGAACAATCGTGGCTTTAAAAGTCATACAATTTCCATTAATTTGTATTTATCTTCTTAAGATTGTTTTGAATATATTTTTGTTTCAGGGACACGGCTGGTCAAGAGCGATTCCACACGATAACCACCTCGTATTATAGGGGAGCTATGGTATGTAATGTAGACTATGTTGTGTTCTTATGCCACAACTTTCAGGGCTTTTTTCAAAATTCTGGCTAAAAGGTTAAATTTGATCTCATTACAAGAAACCCCCTTTCCACTTAAACTGGCTAGAAAAGGAGATTTTATCTCATTACAAGAAACCCCACCTTCCCCTAAGACTGGCTAGAAGAGTAGATTTTGTCCCATTACAAGAAACCCCCCTTCCACTAAGACTGGCTAGAAGGGTAGATTTTATCTCATTACAAGAAACCCTCCCCCCTCCAACTAAGACTGGCTAGAAGGGGATATTTTATCTCATTACAAGAAACCCCCTTTCCACTCAGACTGAAATCTCTATCTAGAACATTACCCGTGTTTTAATCTCATAAATGGGATTGATTAAATTGCCGGATTAAATGACATCGTGTTTAAAGTAGTTGAGTTTGTTTGGGGATTTGGCTGATAAAGAAATCATGCTTAATTTACCTTAGACACGAACGTGGAAACAATCGAATTTTTCTCCATTACTCTTACTACACCGTCTTACAATCCATTCATTATTGTAATTGATTAAATTCCTGTCCTTTTACTTGAGTCTATCGTGATCCTTTGTTTTTACTGACAGAAACAGGGAAAAAACTTGACTTCAAACTCGATACAAAGCTAATCACCAGATGGATATACTGATAGCTGCTGCAAATTGCTCCAGGACACGCGGCCTCGTCTTTCGGCTTTGCCACCGGGCCTCTAAAGCCTTCCTACGGTGGCCCTGGATATACTAGCTAATTTATGGAACCTGGAATACCATATCAAATATTCTTCTTCGCACTAATGCTGCTTTGTGTTTTCTTTTCAGGGCATTATGTTAGTGTATGAAATAACAGATGAAAAAAGCTTCGATAATATTGCAAAATGGCTCCGGAATATAGACGAAGTATGTCAATTATACATCTATATATCAACATAAAGGGTGGACCTGTTGTAAAAGCGGCACACATGTCGTATGTGGCACTTGCGCCACGGTGACGTCAGTATTCGTCGTTTTAGGATTTATTTAAACAGCGTTTGCACATAGTGAGACAGGGTATTTGGGAATCAAGCATGGCGAAAAAGTTGTCCCATTCTATTGGTTTCCGCTGCACAATTATTGCTATTTTATCTGTTCCATGTTATTTGTGCCAAACCAAATGGTGCTTAAGATGAAAAGTGATAAAAGTGGAAAGCTACATTAATGCAACAGTCATTGCAGTAACAGTGAGGTCCAACAAGTTTCATTTCTGGGCGCATTTATAGTTAATGATTTTTCTTGTACCGCAGCTCAAGAAATTAAAGGAATTGTGGTCGAAACGGTTTCTTGAATGTTATGCTTCAAAAATCTGGCACGAGAAAATATACATTTTCACCATATGTGATAAAAATGGCTTTGAAAGAAGCAAGCATTTTGAGCATAATCAAGCTTTTCGTTTGTCATTTTTCAGAGTGTAAAACGTTACCAGTGTTACAAAAGGGAATCCTTAATGTGATAGATCATAAACATTTCAACTAGACTAGAATTTGATCACAGCCCAATCTATTATATTTTGACGACCGTTTGGCATAAACAACTTTTAAGAATAAAGTAACAATGTCCATTTTTGTCTTTTTTCTAAGCATCAAGAGTATCTAGTTATCTTGGTGTTTGGAACTGTACCTATTTATTTATTTTTTCTCCAAATTTATTTCAGCATGCAAGTGAAGGTGTAGAACGAATGATTCTGGGAAATAAGTGCGATATGGAAAACAAAAGAATGGTTTCAAAGACTAGAGGCGAAAATGTAAGTAAGAACCAACTTTCTTTTGAAGCATTCGACCTGAAAATGTTAAAATTTTTGTGAATTTTTCAGAGCTAATATCCCAAATAGCACAAAGTTTGTTATATACAATCTTTCTGCTCTTCAGCGCAAACTTTCCTTTATTTTTCATAAAACGAGGTGGATAATCGTTTTTGTATACAATTTTTCTGCTCTTCAAGGATAATCTACTTTTCGTTTAAGACACAGATTACGAGGTCGATTTCTTTACAAGTATAGTAATTTGTTGCCTGGTTTAAAGATAACTTAGCTGAGAAAATCGTGGATGTTCGCAGATTAATGTTCAGGATAGCAATAAAGTTTGAAATTGTTCCAAGAAACAAATAAAATTTTGGCAAGGAGACTGGTTGTCTACGGTTCAATGCTTTATGGTATTGTAACGAAGCATGCAAGAAGGAAAACAAATATTAATAATATTTCAGTTTCTCTTCTTCTTCAATATTCTCTAACTTAACTTTACAACATCTTCTGCTACCTATCCAACCTTTATCTCCACTTCAATTTCCGTCTTTTTCTCTCTCGCTCACTAGTCACAACAACAATAACTTTCGTTCCAGTCTCTCATTACTCACATCCTCACAGTATCATTCTGGTATAGTGATTTTTACACTGACATTGTTATTGTTTAATGTTTTCAGTCTTGGAATTGATGCGTTTCCAATGCTGCCTTTATCACTGCCCTATCTCTTGGCCAGCTATAATTTTATCCTTCTTTCTTTTAGATTGCAAGAGAACATAACATAAAATTCTTTGAGACTAGTGCGAAGGACAACATCAACGTGGAACATGCCTTCATGGAACTGACACAAGACATACTAAGAAAACAACTGTCTGATAGTTCGGATACCCCGTCACGAGCGGCAGGAACAGTGGACCCAACTAGGAGACCCCAAAAACAAGCCGGGTGTTGCTCATCCTAATTATCAATTTTTGATTGAACGTGAAGGTTTCTCTATACATAAATATAGAATTCTTAAATGATGACAGTGAAGGTAGGAGAATTTTTTAGGGAAGGATCCTTCCCCCCCACCCTGCTCGCTATTCCCCCCACCCTGTTCGCTAACAGCAAACTGTAGTAACAAGTTTTTGCCTCCTCGCATTCACGTGCTGACGCCATCTCAATGAAACAAATCTCAATTTTGAATAAGCCCTAATACGAGATAATTCTCATTTTGTGCCTGTTCTCCCATCTAAGTCCTGTTTGCGGCTGGAAAACAGAATGATTTGAAAACAGAAACGAATAACCCGTTCAAATTTATTTCTACAGATATTTTATTATTTATTACTAAGAAAACACAAGGCAAATACCTGTCTGCATGAATTCTAAACTCAGTTTCATATTTCTCCATTAGGCCACATTCAATTTCGCTCTCTTTTAAAAGCCCTGTTAGGCCATTTCCTCTTAATGTTTTGTATCGTAGTCATCGATGGTTATCCCTGAGTAATTTTCCAGTCGGTTTATGTTTGGAGACTATTCGTTTCATATGTTCTCGCATCTTAACTCCAGTAAAAGAAATTTCCTTTATTTTATCAAATATATCTCATTGTTGATGTAGTATCACTCGCAAAAGTCCAAGTTAGATTTTTCTACTCACTGGTTGAAGAGCGACATCTATTTATAAAATTTTCTGACTATCTTCTTCCTCCATATTAAAGAAGAGAATTTCTTTCAACCTTAGGAGTTTCTGTACAGAAGATGTTTTCACTTATTAAATTAATAACTTTTTCTTAGTTTGATGTATGTCTTCATAATTGATACCTGCACATTTCTGAACTTTCATTTTTCTATAGTCATTGCTGCCTTTTTACACCGTATCTGTATTTCGCTGCCACCTCACAATTTCATAGCCTTAGTTCTCCTTCGTTTTTGTTCATGTTTGTTATCATGTGCTCAAACAGTTTTTCAATTTTCAATACCTCTTATCTTGTTTACGTCATCCATTGTCTACGAAGTTATATAATGATTTCATAATAGCCCAAGATTCAATGTTTAACATCATTTTATGGTTTGTAATTTTTCCGACATTTACTAGTCTAAAAATTATATACCTTCGTAAGGAGCTCGCAATATCTTGTATGGATAAATGCGGTAATTAAATGGCACAATTCAAACAGACAGTTTTATTTGTCTTGTAACCTCGATGAGCACTAGTCACTTAGTTCTGTGGCACTTAGTTCTGTGGCACTTAGATCTGTGGCACTTAGTTCTGTTCTGTGGGTTGTAGAATAAAAATTTGTGTGAGTATTTTGCTTGCAATTTCCTCTTTCAAGGGTTATCTCTTACTAATGTAGAGTCTGGCTGCTATCAGGTATAAACGGTTTCGTGGTACCCATTTGAGTAGTTGTGAGAGCGAAGAGCTAAACAGATGTAGCGTCCAGCTGGTAGTGAGATAATCAACTGAATTATAAATGGCTTTGAAAAAAGAAAACATTTATCAAACTAAATCTTTTCGTCTGACACTCTTCAGAGTTTAAAACGTCAGAACATAGATCGAAAACTCTACGCTAAGAAATATACTTCAAATATACATCAACTGAATTATCTTCAAAACATAATTTCAATGAATTATCTTCATAGATTAACGTAAATTAGTACGTTAGGTTCTAGTCCTATTACATAAGGGTATTGGAAGGGAACTTTAACCATGTTAGTCCACCCGTTCAGATGAGCGTTGGTTATAGGAGGACAGGGTCATTTTTCATGAAATCTATTTCATTTTTCGAACAACAAATCTTAAAAGAAATGAGTAGCGAATATGCAAATACAGCTTATGCTTTGCTGGGATCGTTTGGCACACTGATAACAATGCATAAAGGAGCTTGAATTACTTTTACTGTCACAAAATTGTAAATTTTCGTAGTCCACATCATTTTTTTCAAGAAGGACTAGCCTCTGTTTGAGCCGACAATGAGAGGCCATTCCAATGTGGAAGTCACCTTCAATATACCTGAAATTGAAGTGACATAGACTTGAGAAGACAGCTCACAAATTGTTCGCAAAATGCCAGAATTCAAAGGTATGGTACTAGATACTAGATATATAAAGCCTTCTTTATTGCCTTTATTCATAACCTTCAATCAATTGAAAATGACGGGTGTGCTACACGGCCGTCTCTTTCCCAAAAAAGATATGCCATGCATACCGCGCCAAGGTCATCCATCTTTCAGTAAACAGAATTGGGTCAATGCACACCCAACATTTTTTCCAAAAATGAGGCTGCACATTTGAGGTTTGGTGTTTCATCATGGTACATTTGATTTTATAGGGGCATAACCTAAAAATTTGAATATTGCTTTGCCATGAACATTTTCCATACTTTAGAAATCTTTTGCACATGTGAAGAGCCCAGTTTAGTGATAGGAAAAGTCATTTAACATCGCTGATTCTACATCTTCAAATATTTTTTCAAAATAAAGGGCTATAAGCTCATTTTTTGAGGGTTTGAGTCAGAAGAGTTTTTTGGAGAACTGTTCTGGTGAGAGTGATGCATTCTGGTACATGTTATTCTCTGGTTGACTGTCACAAAACTCCAGCATAGAGCCTAAAAAATATCCAGCAATCTAAGGTCCGTTTTCATGTTTTGTGCAAATATCTGAAACACCCCTTGTTTTAGCTCCATACCTAAACCTTATGACAGTGATTTCAAGTCTCTCAAAATAGCTTTTGAAAATTGTTTCGAATCAATTGAAACTTGTAGCTTTGCTTTTTTGAAAGGCTTTTTTTTCAAAAACTCTATGCTTGGAAAAATAAACAACTAAACAACTAAAAAATAATTTTTTGGCTAACGGCTATCTAGAGGATGTCAATCAGTTTACATTAAGGAGAAAATTTCTCCGCTGAAATAAAATTTGCTTTGCAAAAGTGCCTGTTTATCTAAAACTACCCTTGTGATTCAGATAAAACAGGCTATTACAAATTGTTTCTTTGCTTTTGATTCACGTATTGTTTACAGTACAAAAAAGGCCCTTCCATCCACTCAAAAGGGTCCTGTTCCTACCATCCAAACGAGTTCTGTTATTTATGAGTTCATGTGCCGATGTGATTCTGGCTACGTAGGATGTACCACCCAAAGATTGGAGGAAAGAATAAAACAGCATTTACCTTCTAGTGTTAGAAACAAAACTCACCACCAAGAGAACAACCACCTCAGTCTTGCAGATCTAAAACTACAACTAAAACATGTGACATGTTTCGTATTATTGGAAAAGCTCTATCTAGCAGTTTTGGAATCTATCTTCAGAAACACGAAAAAACCACTATTATGTAAACAGATAGAGTTCGCTTTCGCATTAGTAACATTCGTTATAGGCAAGCCGCACTGATTGGGCAACCTCAATAGTTGTATGCTCTTGTTTGTGATTGGCCTATTTGGACCCACAACCAGGCCTCAAAATTGTGATTGCTGTTAATGGTCCAAATATTAAAAAGACTGAAAGAATCCTTAATTCAAGTATCAAACAATAAAACTGACTGCAGGCTTTCGTGGGAAAAATATAGCAGGCGTGCTAACCACCGCACCCCTGAAAACATCCAGGCGTGTGATGGCGTGTGACATTTTTTCACAAAACTCTTTGGTAATTATGATAGATCTACGGAGTAATTGCCAACACGAAAATGATGAAAGCAAAAATTTGATGAAATTTATTTCGCTGAATTCTTACCATGACTACTTACATTATAGCAACTAAGCAATTTTCTAAACAAGTATAAACTGAGCTTATTTAATATATCAACAAAAAATGGCACTACAAGCACAGAAATATGTTTGCTATTTCGTAAGCAGGTTTCATCCGTGGGAACCAAATTCATATTGGGGGGCTGCCCATTGTATCCCTTCTTATTCAGTACACTGTTATAAAGGAAACATACAACAGTTTGACAATTATTGGGGGGGTCCAGCCCCCCAGTCCCCGGTTCCGACGGGCCTGTAGAGTCATTGATGCTGTGGCGTTCATCTGGTTCTAATGGCTGTTTTTGCGTGTAGATCCTTGCCCCGAGGGCCCTCTGTCATCAAGCATGACAGCTATTTTATGAACCTCACTGGCCAGATGCATAAAATATAATGATGGCCCATTTTTCATTAAACCAAATTTCGCTAAATCTAGATTTAAAGCATAGCGATATCTAAAGAGAGGGCAGTAGGGTGTAGCGAAATCCGCAAATAATCTGCTATTTTTTATCGCATCATTGGCAAATCGGCCAATTTTCATCGCATAATCGGCTGCTTTTGCTAAAATTGCGATCGAAAATGAAAATCTTGTTCAAAACATTAAATGTTCCTCTTAAAATTCGGGGACAAAAATGTCTGTTATAGTCTTCTGTGTTTGAATTTGTTCAATGAAATGCCATTTAGCCTTGAAAAGGTGCAAACGTTCGCACTAATCTCTTCTCCTTTTTTGCATCATTAAAAGTGCATGTTTGCCAATGTATGTTTTGTCGCTGGCAAAAATGATTCCACTGAGAAATAGCGATAAATACACAGGGAATAAGTAGACCAAAATAACAGTGAAAAGTTTTGGAAAAGGTCGTCATATTGAGGAAAATTATGATGAAGGGACTACAATTAGGTTTGTAATATACGAAAATTCGTTATATACGGGATTAGTTATACCGAGAGAAGTTGTGCAGAGGCAGAAATCAAGGGGCCAGATATCTCTTGTCATGCCGGAAAATTAATTATACTTGTAACCAGGTCAGGTCTCATAATATCGGGATTCCACTGTAGATTAGTCCCATGGTTATTTCAAATTTTTTTATTCAATCTGCAATCCTTATAAGGTGTTAAGCCTTTTTGAAGTGGCATGAAGTAATTGTAACAAGGAAGGATAAATATATTAACTAATCTCAAAAACCCACAAAACCAATAATTATGAATTTTGCTTCGATAATAAAAGAAGGCGTGCAATGTTTTGCACTCCTGGAAAGCGGTAGGTGTGTGCTAGGGCGCGCGCGTGCAATCGCACGCCTTTCCGACGAAAGCCTGTGACTGCCCTTTCGTTTGTTGCTCGGATAAAAAAAAAGTACATAATCACTGCAAATTTTCCCTTTTTGTCATAAGCTAAAGTTTGTTTAAACTCTATAATGGTATTTTTGTTGATAAAACCATTGTTATTCTAATATAATTTTCTGTTAAAGTAGTTCTTTGAAAATTTACTTGTCTTTGCATCTGTCCACAAGTGGGTATATATATTACCAAGTTTTCGATCTATGTTCTGATGTTTTATGCTCTCAAGAGTGCCAGACAAAAAGCTATGTATGTTCTAAAATAGTTGTTTTTTTCACGCATTTTTAAGTTTTGTAACACCAAAAGATTGTTTGCTATTTTTTTATCTTTCAAAAACTTCTGTGATTGATTTAAGGGAACAAGACTGTTATGCTAGTATCGGTTAATTCACTGGCACAGCAATATTTGCCATATTAAGGATGTTTGTTGCAATGCCTGATCTCTGCCATGTTTCAAATTTACGCAATAAACTGACCTTGCCAGTGCTCTGATACACAAGAATATGTCACAAATTGATGAAATTGCTCTTTGGCCACATTTTTAATTGAAATTTGTACAAAAGCCAGTACTTTGGAGCTTAAATAATTTTGTTACAGTAAAGTTGCACTTGAAATAATTACACCCTTTGATTCAGTACTGCCAAATCTATAATAAAATGTGATTGATGGATTTTATGAAGTTTTTTTATTCTCTATGTCAGTGGCATTTTAAGGCATTACATTTAAAACATTTCTTCTTTTTTGTTGGTAAAGCTTTTAAACCAGGAGTGATTATTGCTTCTTTGACAGTCAATGTAAAATGGGGAAAAGAAAAGTTTGAAGGAATAGAGGTGGATACTTCAGAGCCACCAGAAGTTTTCAAAGCACAGCTATTTGCTTTATCTGGAGTTCCACCTGAGAGGCAGAAGATTATGGCAAAGGGAATGGCTTTAAAGGTAAAGGTTTAGTTTTTTCTCCTATCTGTATAACCATGTGTCAAAAACAGACCAGACTTAAAAAGGATTAAGAATTTGTTTTCAATGCTGATACTTGTGTGGAACAACCATTCTGCAAAACAGCAGATTGATTACCATTTTTGAAGACCAGCATTGAAGATGCAAATAATCGCATACCCAAGCTTTTCCTGGTATCTTAGTACCGAGTAGGAAGTAAAGATTTCCAAAACAAAGTTAAGGCAATTTTTTAACAAAAAATTGAACTCATTTAAAAAATAACTGTTTCATAACAGATGAACAGTCCAAAATATCAGTTTCTTCATTGTGTTGTTACCAAAGCAGCATCAAAGCTTAGATTAAGGCCAAGACGAAATAGATTCGCATGATATCAATCTATTGCCACCAGGATCAATAGTGGCACCAGCCACTAGGCCATAGCCTGCACACAGACTCGACTGGTTTTCCCAGAGAATTTAGGGCCTGTTTTACTGGGAGAGAAACTCTGAATATCTAATCAACTAAATTTCCAATCAAATAGATTCATCTCTGGGAAAACCAGTTGAGTCTGCACACAAGCTACTAGGCCAGGGCAGCAGAAAGGTTTTATTAGGCCCTGAGGCAAACTGAAAAACAAGTCCCCCTGCAAGCAAAGCGAGAAGAAGTTTTTTGTGACCAAGCCTTTTAGTAGGCAATAATTACATTTCAGACTATTTCTTGCAGTCATTTACTTGCAATCATTCAAAACGTTCTGCTATTTCAGACATTATTTCAGACTTTAGTTAGGCTATGTGAGGGGCAAATTAGTCAAAGTCAAAGGGAATGCAGTTTTTCCAGTAGATGACAATGACTAACGTTTTGTTATGTAAAGGCAGTTGGATCACTCACAACCTCTCACTCATAATCACTCACCAAAATATTACAACCCCAATTTTTCTCTTTAAATTAAGGCAAAATGCAAAATCAATCCTGCTGATAACTAGGGGAGAAGAGATATTCTGCCAGTACCCCCCTCATCACTGGCTAGGCTTACTTTTACTTGGATATGGCAAACTTCACAAAAGGCTACTTGCTTGCAGCCTGCTTTTGCCTTCAAGTCAAACCTGACATATTATATTGGCATGTGTGGCATTCAATTAAACATAGAGATAATTTTGTTCATGCTAGTGTTGAGACAAAAGAAATACTGCCAATTGCCTAGCAAGAATGGTATTGTGTTGCTCAGTTTATCTTCACAAAATTTACATTTTCCAGCACATTTTTTTAGTTATAGAATCTTCTCAATTTTTAGAGAGACTTGATGTTTTCTGGGATAATTTGAAGCCAAAATGTTCTGAATTTTTTTCTTATTTCAACATTGATTTTTCTATAACTTCATTCTAAGAATTGTTTTGAAAACCACTAAACAACAGTCTTGCAAGACATCTTTAGTTGCACATTGATTTCGTGACGAAACATGTTCTGTTTGGTATTGTAGATTTTGAGCAGATTTTCAGAAACACATTGTTTTCTTTCCTAATTTTTCCTCTGAGACAGAATGTGTTGTTTTTGGCAAATCTAGTCTCTGTAGTGTAGGTCTTTATATTCCTAACTATTTTGCCTCTTTTTAGGATGATACTTGGGGATCATTTAAGATAAAAAATGTAAGTCATATTGTCATCTATTTTCTTTCTAATGATTATGTTGGTATATGTTGTATGTGAGTATTGCTTGCCAGTACTTAACAATGCAACCTTATTGTTGTACTGTAAAGAATTGTGTTTTTAGCAAAGTACTTTTGCAAGCCCTTGTCAAATCAAGTTCAATGAACAGATCAGTTTGGCACACCCTAATTGATATCAAACTCAAGAGGTTTGCACTTAGATTTGAAGAGTTGCCTAAAATACAACTGGACTACAGACAACAGCAATGGACGAGCAGCAATCATTCTAAGGACAACAGCAATCATGAAAAATTGCAACTGAAACATCAGTAAAAACATTTTTAAGAATGAAGTATTTTTTGTGGAAGGTGTCAACAATTTTTGTTTCCATCAGATGACAGGAGTTGAACTTCTTTAAATTTGTTGTTTAAAAGGGACTGACACTATTGATGATGGGAAGTGCTACAGAGTTGCCCAAAGCACCTGAGAAAAAGACTGTTTTCATTGAGGACATGTCAGAGGCAGAAAGAGCAACAGCAGTTAGTTTTTGTCTTTATTTCCTATCAATATTTTAATTGACTTCAATTAAGATAATCATGACTGTTATATCATATTCAAATTCGTAATTGCTGATAATCACGATAATCACAGATCATAATCATTGCAACAAATCAAAATCATTATATCTCATTGTTTAAGTGATCACAAATCATTACTTGACCATCCAGCCTATATGAATAGACAGACATCAACATAAATAGTTTCCAACGAATATATAGTCCAAGAAAAATTTATGTGCGTTGACCCACCGATAGGCAATTTTACCATCCAAAAAAATATTTTGCAAACAAGCTGAAGATTTACAGTTTAATTCATGAGAAATTTGCCCCCCCCCCCACTATACCCCCACAGATACCTACATCTCTGATCATCATCATAGTAAAAAATCACCATTACCCTTTTTGTTGGTGCTTTTCTGCTATTGCCCACTGAAATTAAATTTTCATCCTCTATTAGTCAAATTTACCTGCTGGTTTGAACAACCTTGGCAACACTTGTTACATGAACGCCACTGTGCAGTGTTTGAAAAATGTTCCAGAGCTGAAAAATGCCCTTCAAGAGTAAGTGTCAATTTTGAAACTTTTCCAACGACCACTGTTGGACGTTTCAGAATACGAAAGTTGCTTTGTTCCAGCTTCATTTTTTATTCCAGAGACCTCAAATTATTCAAATTCACAATAGCTCTTCTGATATCTAATTTAGCCCCAAAATTTATTCGAATCTCCAAAAGGAACACGTTAACATCAGATTGGAATATTTTTATAAAGTGAGGATGTCTCAAGAATCAGAACAAGTGTTGTATCGGTTTGTACTACGTAAACATGTATTTCCATCTGGAAAAATGTTTGTAATGGAAGTTTGAAAGTTTGCCTGATTAGAAATGATGTTTGAAAAAGTTTGCAATGATTTTTGCACCCTGGTTTTTCCCCTTTCGTTGAAGTTTTATTCGAAGATCTAAATTTGCAATCAAAACTGTATTTGACTGTGTTTAACAGTTTTTGAAGAATTTCAGCTAAGTATTAGGTATTATGTATTTAAGCATTTATTCTCAACGTAGAGACTATTCCAGGATCTAGCACCTCGTACAGAGCAACATTTTTGCCTATTCGCACTGATTTGTTGAAGAAGCGATCCTCCTTTTAGAAATTCTTGGCACCTAAACAGTAATTACATTAAATTGATAGATTTTTTACTGTTCCTGCTAGGTACAAAGGACATTTGAGCCTTGGAAACATCATGTCAAATCCCTCTGAAGCAGTAACGATAGGTAATGCTGATTTTAGTTTGTTTTAATCAATTCTTGGTTTTGTATGCAACGATACGTGATCATCTAAACTATATTTGATTGCTGTGTGTTTTGTTTACAAATGAAAATCGATTCCGATGACAAAAAAGGGAATTAATACTGGGGAGAGGGGACCGCAGGAATATCAAAAGATTTATTCATTTTTAACCCAATCTCAGTTATAGAATAAACTGAACTTTGTTGCGAGATTATCGAGGCAACGCTTTTGAAAACAACACTTAATACCATCTTTCTTGACTTTTTTCAACTTCTAATTGATGGCAAGTACTTGAAGTACCAAGCTTTTTTAAAATCAGCAAATAAGCAGGATTAGAATGTATATGCTAAATTTTTAACAGTGTTGGTCCTACCTACCCTGTTATTTGTAGAACCTTTCTATTTCTCATAAGGATTCAAAACTACGTTAGGAATTTAAATCCTCGTCTGTTTTAAATGGATATTGAATTTAATGTCTGTATTTTAAAGCATCGTCTACAGGTTTCGTGTCTGTATATTTATAATCATTTGATTTGATTTTAATTTGTATTTCAAGGTAAATATAAAAAGCTAAAAAGCTATCGAGTTACTAAACCCTCTTAAACTAAGCTTGAATTCAGTTTCCAGGTGGGTAGCTTTACAACCTACTGCTCGTCAGTTTTGTTAACCTGTGAGTTATGATTTGAACAGTACCTTGAAGCAGAAAAAACATTAGCTGGGAATTCTAAGGTTTCTAGAAACATTTTCAAATTTGAATTTTGTTTGAACTCCTTTACAGGATCCTCAGATACAGGATCTCAACACGCTAGATATTTTAACGTTAATTTTGTTGACGCTTTTCCAATCCTAATAATTTTCCTACTTTATTCGCAGCGTTGCGAGACCTTTTCAAAACGATGGAAAAAACAGCCGAAGGTTTTCCTCCAATAATTTTCCTTCAGGTAAGGCTCGTTGAGTTTTAAAGCGCAGAATCTTCGTAAGGAGCAAGATTCGATATTAGCTTCAAAATAGCGTGCCCTTGTAGCTACTTTTTTAAGTAATTCGTTATCCTCTGTCGAGAGAGATAGTCGACAGGAAATTACTTATCCAGTTATGTCCTTTTCTTATCAGTGAGGTAAACATGGCGGAGAGGTTTTCTTCTCCCATTGAAATAGGGCCTAACTTTGCGGTTTGTTGGTCGGTCGAGGGGAAATGGGGTGGCTCATGTTCGTATTATTGAAGGAATTTTGTTGTAGAAAGAGACAATTTGTATCAATAGCAACTGTTGATGTGTCGTGGCGGTTGCCAGCTTTGGAGAACTGGCAAGTCCTTCAACGACTGTCAGACTTTTTTGGGGTTTTTCCAACCACATCTATTGTTCGAAAGAGAATCACGCCGTTATATTTCTATTCCAACCTTTGATCGATCTGCTTATGGTTTTGATGTGCTGAAAAACCCTGAACCTTTCAAATGGGTTGAAATTAAAGATTTTTATACTACCGACGCTTCAGTCTCTCTGCTTGTGAAACCTATTTCTGATATAGACAATCAGTTCCTCATTTTGGTGTAGGTTTAAATGAACTTTAATTTATATTAAATATTATCCTTTAACCTATTTAGAATATGGGTTTTTCTACTTTAGCTGATGACCATTTTATAATAACATAATATTTTGAATTGATATCAAGATCATTGCTAATAGCACCTAGACATTGTTTGCCAATTCTTAATTCCCGCGGCCACAGTTCTCCATTGACAGCTAGCCTTAAGTTTTCATAACCAAAAATTGACTCAAGCAAATCAACTTGACTGATTTACAAAAAAATTACACTTATAAATGGAATTTTTTTCCACCACCCTAATTTCAATATATGAGTAATAGAAAATAGTACCATGTCCTTCCGCTAAGATATTTTGAAACTGAATTGAAACCGCAGCTTTATATGATCACACTAGATAACCACTCATTCCACATACTTTATGAATCGTGCTGTTTATTAAAGTTCTCTTAACTGTCCTTCACTAATTACTGTTTTATGTAGTGTTACAATGAAAAGGAAATTTGGTCATAGACAATCATTAGTTTTTATCTTCAAAGTTGATTAGAGTTTATTGCAAGAGGACAAACCAGTTCAGTGGGTGGGAATATGACTTACACGTGGGTCTAAAAGTCCCAGCTGTAGACGTTAACTAATTGCCAAGAAAATTTTCCTAGTTGGCAAAAACGTTTTACGCAATAAAAACGTTCGGAAAATTAAGTAGAAAAATCGAAAACTTCTGCCACAAAAAGAAGTTATGAAACTTATTTGCAATATCTTCCTAAACAAAAATAATGCTTAGTCTTTCAAAGAAATAATTAGCTGAGAATGTTGATTACATTTTATTGAACGTAAAATTTTATTGAACATAAGGGACGTGACCAAATTATGAAGATGATTTACTAAGCCCACTGTAACATAAAGAGCAAAAGGTGTTTGCGCTGTCAGAAGTTGAAATGGCCAAAAAACTGATCTAAACAAGTATAATAAAGAGGAACATATTTGTCACAATAAAGAAAATTCGAATAATTAATATGGATCTATGATTATAATTCCCTCGAAACTAAAGCAGTAAGCTTCTAGTCACTTTTTATCAATTCATCCTTTGAAGCTGAAATTTGTAAGATCAAAGAATGCTGTTCCATTTTCTTTTTTGAATAAAGATATATTTCTATTTGATTTTTAAGGTGATGCATTCCGTGTTTCCACAATTCGCTGAGAAAAATGAGCATGGTACATTTCAGCAACAGGTAAGAATATTAGAGAATCTTAGTTTTGCCTGATTATTAGCTACTTAGAAGTCTTTGCTAAAACAGCTGGTAATAACAGGCAAATGGTTCTGCTTTTTCAGTAGTTCAGCAAATGAGTTTTCATCTAATTACTGGGTGGATCATGTAATTATATTTGTTGTTCTTGTGTTTTTTTGTAATGAAAAAGAACAGGTCTTTGTGGAAGCACATTTACAGTCTGTTGCAAGAGAACGTCCGATGTCTAGAGCTTCATTCTACAGAGCTTTTACTTCAGGAAATAGGGACAAAAATGTATTGTGAACCATTTATTCTGGTGGTACAAAATTTGAAAATGCCTTTCAAAAAAGTAAAATTTTTACAACTTGCTAAAATATTTTTCGTCTGACAATCTTCAGAGTATAAAATGTCGGATTAAGGGTCTGAATGCACACAAGCGGTAATGATCGGACAGCTATACTCGCGTTTTTCTTAATGGCCTATTTCGTTCAACAACTGGGTGTATATTTTCCATCTTCTTGTGTGGAGATAACTTTCTGTTTTTTTTGGGAGGGGGTAGCTCAGAGCCCACGCCACGAATTTGAAAGTGGGGGCGAAGGCTAGCAAAAGTAGGGGCAAGGCTTCTCTCCCCTTTCATTGCAGCTTTAAAACTTTTTGCTTCGCACAAAGGGGGGGGCATGGCCATCCCGACACTCAGTTGGCGTGGGCCCTGGGGTTGTAATGGGGGCTAAATCCATCTACAATTGCACAGTTAATTTCTGTGCTTCGTTCAAGCCTAGTTCAAGCCTCGTTTCAGTGTTTCGTCAAAATACTTAGTTTACATATTGCATATACCAAATTCGATAGACAGTAAGGTATATTACGTTAATTAGGCTAAATTGCCCAATCACCCCTACAAAGCGTGAATTCGAAACAACGGCGAAAAACTGCCCTGTTTTAAATTCTCAAGCGTGTACTTTCACTATTCTCATATATTTATATATTCTATTCACAATACATATTACCTTTGCCTTTAATATGATTAAGGTATTTCTTGACATCTTAGAAATGAATTTCACGAAAAATGCTGATAAGTTCTTCGATATTGCCTCTGTTCTTTATTTGTGTATCTGCTACGTCACCAACTTTAACCACACAAGGGCCAAAACATTTACATCACCCTCGCTTTCATGTCACTCGTTTTCGGTCTTTTCAGGATGCTAACGAATGCTGGCTACAAATCGTGCGCATGCTCCAACAGCAGGTTAAGCTCAACTCTGATGCTCCGCAGTCATCAATAGCCGAGTCTTCTGCTCAAACTTCGCTCATTGAAAAATATTTTGGTAAGTGGTCAGTAATGGTTTAGTCTTTATGGGCAACCATATTAAAACAGAAACTGTCTGCCTTTTGCGTTAAGCTTGTCTGACATTGACGCAAAACGGTGAATGTATGACGTGTAAGTTTTTCCATTGAAGACACAAAGAGATTCCGCATGATCTTCGAGCTACCAAAATCCTTAGACAACTGATAGGGCAATTGTGACACGTGCCTCCTTCCGTTTTCATCATTCCTGTACACCCTGTGGTTACAGAACAACACGACTTGCGAAGGGCATCACACCAATGTATGGATTTTTGTCATCGATTTTCACGACACCAATCCTATTTAACTAAATTTATACTATTTTTCATTAAAAACTTTCGCTTCAGCATTTGTAATAGACAGACAAAAGGTAATTTGCTGTTTATTGAGTTATATATTTTCTCACATCCATAATAAGCACATGCGTACTTTTCTTTCCTTTCGTAGGCATTCACATGAAGGCAGCGTATCCCTTTTCCGATGCCAAAACTTGCACCATAAATTTAATGTTTGTTAATATTGATGGATATCCTAGTTTTCTGGATTTGCAAAGAAAGGATAGCTAGTTGAGAATTTATAGTTGATTATGAAGTTCAAGTATGGAATCAATTTGCTGATATTTGTAATTTGTAGTTTAAGTTATTTTTTTCTTAAATCATTCAGAGCGTTAAAAGAACATATAAGCGGAAGACTATCAGCAATTTTTGGACTTTTACACCTTAATCTGGTACTTCCTTCTTCACCTGGCTTTTTCTCCTTAACCCAGCACTTTGCCCTTGACCTAGCTCTTCCTCCTTAACTAAGCACTTCCCTCTTAACCAAGCACTTTGTCCTTAACCAAACACTATTCTCCCTAACCAAGGACTTCCCTTTTACCCTAGCACTTCACCCTTAACCTACAACTTTACCCTTTATCTTTGTCGGTCATTTTGTTCTATAATACACAGCTTCACAACTCCACTTTGCTCTCAACCTATCACTTTTCTCCTTAACCTGGAACTTCTCCCTTTTAACTTGAACTTCTCCTGCTCGGCGTTCACCAGTAAATATCCTTGACTCACTGCAAGTTTGAAATGTACTGAGGCCCCAGAAGAAGAGCCAACAGAGTCGAAAGAAACTCAACTACAACTTAGTTGCTTCATTTCTCAAGGTATCTAGCTCTTTGTTTGTATAAAAATACGGGCCAAGAAGCATAAGCCTCCATATCGTGAAATAAATAAAGATTGCTGTAATATGGTCATTTATAGAGAGCTCGATGCTGTGTAGAGAAAATTATGAATGGTTTGGTGTGTAGAGCAGGGCTGTTTTTAGTTGCAACTGTGATTTTGGCGCTTATTACCATCAGCAGGGAACTAGTGTGGTTTTCTTGGTGAACAGATTGTTGTAATGGCTGACATTCGTGATGATAACCGTCACATTTCATTACTTTTTGGAAATTTTATAGACATAATTTTGATTTAATGATGTATAGAGCTTGAAAGTTGCCAAATGTATTTCCGTCAGATACTAACGATATCTGGTTCTTTTGCCGGAATAATTTCTCCTTTTTACGCTGGAAAAGTTGGCTAATGAATGCAGGTTGTTCTGAGCGAGAAGAGTTTGTAGGATTTTGTTAAGCTCCTTAGACAGTTTGTATTTTCAAAATGACCTATCCAGGCATCATCAACGTAACATTACGTAAATTACCCCTTAGATAAGTGATAGATAGATTTTCAATCAGCTCAAAGTCAGTCCTTGATCCCAAGAAATATCACAATAATATCTCAGTCAGGTATTGATTCCTAGGTATCGTTGGTGGATGCCTGCCAAACAAGAGGGCCAATTTTGTTCTTTGCTCTCACTTGCTACTCAGATATGACCATAAACTTCGTTAATGTGATCAAAATTATTTTGTATCCTTAGGTGTCCACATTTTTTGATGCCTTAGTTTTTAAGGTTTAGCTTCTGTATAATACTGACTTCACGCTATAGTTTAATCTAGTGGATGTTGCGTCATTGCTATTCTAACTCCACTTTGAATTGTTGTATTGAATTCCTACATATCGTGAAGCTTGTTTTCTTCTTAGATGTGAAGTTTTTAAAGACAGGACTGAGTCTGGTACGTCTCTTTTTCGCTTATCATCTGTCAAATTTTTATTGACACGGAGAATTGATAAAATGCTTATGAAACGATCTTTTCTGATCTTTTCCCTAATACAAACCACTAAGAAATGGCACTTTTTGTTATAAAAACTGAATTTATAAACCGAATCGTTTATAAAAGTTTTTAAAAATAGTTTTTTTTAAATATTGTCACAAGCTTTTCTAGTCCTGCTGCTCTTAAAATTAGTATATTTCTATGCTACGTGACATATAATTTTTATGCTAAATGACACAGCTTCTATTATGACGTCATCTGTGTTTTTATTAAACATATTTCATATGTTGTTTATATACTTAATCTTAACCCTAGTCATAAAAGATTTCTGAATCTGTCTCTGTCAACCTTTCATTCCTTGAATTTAGCTTCTTTAAAATTTTTCACATTCAATGGTTCAAGAATATTTTCCTACAGAACACTTGGGCAAGCTATAAAACTTTCTTCCTCAAAAGAACGAGGTGTTTTATTTGAGTTTTTTTATAAAGATGTGAATTAAAAATTAATTAAACGAATATTCAATTTTTTAGCGTTTAAACGAAAAGCTGACCAAAAATTCACCAACATTAGGAAGAGACGCAGAATATACAAGAACCGTAAGTCTACTTCCATGTGACGTAGATATACTGTTACAAGTTGCTAATCTTATAGGTACAATACCATGATCGCTGGAGATTTGGAGAGTTGGAGGGCAATAAAGTTGTAATTCTGAGACTCACACCCAGTTAGGGCATTGAGATTATTGAAACGCTATTATGTAGCAAGAATTGCCGAGGTTCCTATCCTGTTTCTTGTAACTTTCCATCATTGCGGTTACATTGAGTCTTATTTAATGTTCAGAGAACACGGAGCCAGTGAGCGGGACATTATGTTGCTTGATTGACTCTGATCTGAACTGACTAAATAACAAAAATTAAAATGCATATATACAGAAATCAAATTGCTGACTAAGGGTGAGTTAGGGTGACGATAAAGAAAGAAAGATGCAATGTGATAAAGAAAGATCTAGGCATAGAACGGAAGAAGCAGAGTCAGCGTGACTTAAATAAAAGAAGCTGTGAACAATGATGAAGGGAATGTCCTGTAGTAAGGGATGCCGTGCATGACGTAAGTGGATGAAATGATGATGGCCTATTTTACAATATTAGATTAACTACAAGATCATTGTGCTTTTTAGACTAGACGGTTACTACAGATTATAACTACGAGTTCCATTTCAAACACAATGATTAAACAACCTTTTCAACACGTTGCTCATTAACCTTGGAGTTTTATATTGACACAATCGTTTAATCAAATGCTAATGGTTCTTTGGGAATTGCTCCTTAGAAGCATGTCATCATTTGTGGCCACAGCAAAGATCTGGTCGCTGCAAGATTTCGACATGGTCAATACATTTGAATTCCATTTATTACAGATGTCACATGCAGAAATTTTGTAAAAATATTTTAAATTGAAGAAGAAAAATTCAATTTTTGTAGTCAACGATGCATCAAAATTAAGACTGACTCGAAATTTTGCTCCTGTATGTTTCTTGGCTAATAGCAATTTATATTTTTAAGATATCCCTACTACCCGTTATTACTTTCCTGGCCATTTCCATTATTATGCAACATATATATTTTATCAATAAATGATTGTTTCTTTTGCAGTCAAAAATTAGTCGACTTCCATCGTACCTTACGGTGCAGTTTGTCAGATTTTATTATAAAGAGAAAGAAAAGGTCAATGCAAAGATATTGAAGGTTAGCAGAAAATTCTTGTGCATTTCTAAGCCACGTTGCCTTGTTAACGTGCAAGTTTGTCCTTTGTGAATTTGCTAGTTCATTGTAGCGTGCATTATGCCAATAGAGTGTTTTAGAAGAGACAACTTAACAATAGGTTGAATTTGTGACAAAGTCACTGAGACATTGCCATTTAAAAGATCTGAATTTCCTAAAGGAATGCTGTTTTTAGGCTTGGTTCCAAATTTCAGAACCAACACCAAATTACAATTATTTGATGGAGAAGAAATGCTCATTTGCTTATATTTCTGCCAATTTGGATCGGTTCAACATATTTTCACATGTAGGACTATTTGATAATGTTTTTTCAGATTATATTGTCAAATTTTCTAGAATTCCAGGAAATAGCGTTTCTCTTTGAAATTTGAGTTTTCCTTGTCATTGTAAGGCATGCAACTTATCTATATTTTCAGGACGTGAAGTTCCCACTCATGCTAGACGTTTTTGATCTCTGTACACCTGAGTTACAAACGAAGTTAGGCCCAATGAGAGATCGGTTTAAGGAAGAAGAAGACAGGCTTGCCGTCACAATGAAGGTGAATTATAACTGATCTTCTCTATTGCTTCAATATTTTACTTGAATTCTAAAATGAAGCTTGAAAATACGCCTGTTTGCTCTAAATGTTTGCTAGGTGAAACAAGGCTTGTTTGCTGGGTGCGTTTGCAAGGTGAAACTAAGCTTGTTTGCCCGATATGTTCGCTGGGTGTGTTTGCAAGGTGAAACTTAGCTTAGTTGCTGTATGTGTGTGCTGAACCTAACTAAGCTTGTTAACTGGATATGTTTGCTGAGTGTGTTTGCCAAATGAAACTAAACTTGTTTGCTGGATGCGTTAGTTTACGATATGGATACTGTGCTTGTTGCTGTTTGAGATTTTCGGAATATTAATTTCCAAGAAACAACTTTGTTCTTTTATGACACTTCAGTTACATCCCTTTGTAATATGTGCACAGTGCCCATCTACCCAGTGCCCACTACATATGTGAGCAAGTATGTGTACGCATATATGATCAACTTTTGTAAATTCCGTGTTTAATTGTAGGCAAATAAAGAGGCAAAGGCACGTGGAGAAGAAATGGAAGTAGACGAAAAAGACAAAAAGTCAAAAACTATGCCATTTTCTTTTGAGGATGGTGAGGTTTTCTTCCACAGCTAAATCAAAATATCGCTAAGAATATGATATTAAGATTAACAAACATGAAATTTTAGATTTTTATTTAAACAATTATTTTGCTGTTTGTTTGTATTTTGTTTCTACCGAGAATGCGAAGATAGTTTTTATGACACAGAGAAGCTAGTATGCTTATCGAGCAGTTTCATGGCCCTTCCTCTCGATGTAACCACACCTCGTGATCCCTACATGCAGTGCAGGGACTACTAAAAGGCCTCATTCTTTCTTCCCTGTTCTTTCTCAGCCCATTTATTTCTACCTTTGATACTGTTGTGTTTCGAGTGATAATTTCTTGAATAAATGAACGATGTTTATTATTTCTGCTTTTTCAAAACATTTTCACTGGCTTAATCTTAATTGTCTGGTAATTATTGATTTCAGACGTAGGATCAAATAACAGTGGTTACTACGAACTTACTGCAGTTTTGACCCACAGAGGGCGATCATCATCGTCAGGGCATTATGTTGGATGGGTGCGCAAGAAAGGAGGTATTTTAGAATATTGGTATTAATGTGAATTACTGTTTACCGGTCTGTCATTAATTGCTCGATGCCAGGCTCTATAGCAGAGCTCTACACGCTATATGGTGTATAGAACAGGACGGTTCTAAGTTGCTACTAAGAGTTTCACGCTTACTGCGATCATCAGGCACTATTCTAAATCTCCATAAGGAATACAAAATACTGTGTGCCGGTCTGTCATAAAGTTCTCAAAGGCGTACAGGCAGAGCTGTACACGCATTTAGTGTGCAGGACGGCTTTAAATTTCAACTATGAGTTTCACGTTTAATGTGATCGCCAGACTATTGTTAAACCACTGGTATATTATATTAGCATTACTCTATAGTGATCTTTAAAGTATAGATCTGTAAACCATGAAAATATAATCTTTAAAAGTATGGAACAATACTTTGTCAAGACAATTAGTATGAATATTACTGGAAGCTGTTATGTTGGAGAGTGCACGATGCCATGAAGAAAGACTTTACACACCTTAACACGTTAGAAAGAACGTTTCTAAGTTTCCTGCCTAATGCGATTCTATCAGAGCTATGTGTGGGTAATTAAAAGAGTTAGAACTTAGGGGTCTGTGCAACCAGCAGCCTTTGCGCGCTCGCATTTGTTTTGTTTTTCTATCTGTGTTCTTCTATGCAAGACAAAAATGGCGAGGAGAGTTCGAAGGGAAATTTCTGGTATTAATGTATCGCTTCTTTTGGTTTTATTTTGCGCGCAGCTTGTGCTAACAGCTTTCCACCATTTTCATGGACCACGAAAATGGCCGCCTTCCCAGCTTACGCCCGCAAAGGCTACTGGTTGCCCACGCCCCTTTAAAACTGAATCTTGAAAAGATACACAAATTGGAGTTTTACATAATGAAACACGGCTGTATGCGATGCATTAATAGTTGATAAATTCTTTACATCTTTACAGATGAATGGATAATGTGTGATGATGATAATATGTCTCCGGTTAGCTCACAAGATATTCTAAAACTTTCCGGTGGAGGTAGGTGAAACTTACAGCTTTGGAAGAATTTCTCTTCCGTCAAACTGGTTTCTGATTTCTTGCAATAAATTACTTCAATTTTTTCATCTGTTATTGTTTAATATTTAGTGAGACCAAATATTTATATTTTTATTTTAAACCCTATATATACGTTATCTCCATCCTAATTTAATTTCTGTATGCAAGGCTCTAATTGCCGTTACAAAGATTAACAGTATATTCTTAACAAATTCAGTATTTGAATAAAACTGTGATGCATTTTTGTTTATTTTCAGGTGATTGGCATATAGCCTACGTACTTCTCTATGGCCCAAGAAAACTGACAATCACAGAGGAGAGCTGAGTTTGTCTCACTTTTTAGGATTGTCCCGGGCATCTTGTTATGACCTCATTCCTTAGGAATACCAATACCAAAGTCAGGATCCGAAGTGAAGAACCAAAAGGTGCCCCTAAACAGACACCTCGCCGGAATGATTCACCAAACTGTTCACTAGACATTATAGGAATTTTCCTAATGTTCTGATTATACTAGAAAAGTTATTTTCATTACACTTTCCCAGCAAGCTACGTTTCTTTCTGAAACTGTACTTACCTTGTTCACGTTTTTGAAAGAACTTTAAAAGCAATAGTAGAGTATCCGGAATCAGGAATACTTGAGAATAAACATGACGAAGGTTTTGGAGAGAAGGAGAGAGAAATGCAAACACCCTTGTCGCACGAATTTCTTATTCTGGAAGTGAGGAACGTTCCACCAAATGCACGATTAGGTCTGACAGAACCTGTATATAAACTACTATGGTAGAATCTAGGAATATGTGCAGCCAGTATTCATGATTCGGATTTCTAGATTTGATGAGCAACAACAAGACAAGTTGCTGTGAAACCTCCATAAAGCGGACACTTACAGGGCCAGTGTCCATCCGTTCTATGGCATTGTCCGGTGCCAGTAGTGTCCGATGCCGGAGGGCTACTTCTACCACTTTTTGACTGATTGTTTCCACTTTGTTTGGTGATTTCCCTGTAATGGGAGGGTATCACTTTGAGATATTTCTCATCTACAACCAGTTTGCTACAGTGTAAAACCTGTTTCTTCTTTGCTCCAACTAGTTTTTAATGTCTACATTCAATGCGTTTTGCTAGAGACATATCCCTTCAAAGCGAATCTTAACAAACAAGTAACCCTGCCTGATGTGTCCTAAGGGTATCAAATATCTTAATTTCTTTCTACTTTGCGGTTTAGCTGGCACCCCGTTTCAAAATATTTGTTAGCTTTCCATATATTTTATCTTTCTAAACTATCGGCTTTCTGGATTTCTTGGTTTCCCTTATTGCTATCTTATTCAATAACTGATTAGAGCCTCAGGGCCTCTTTAAATGCTCTTTAAATAGAACTTCATTAAAGCCTTGTTTCTATCAAACGTACAGTCCTTAAGTAGCTAGTAAAATATTAGACCACACTGTGCCCCTTTAAAAATATATGCTTTGAGGTAAAGATATCGACGAAGAATGAATCCTAATTGTTATGTTTCCGCTTTTTGAGCGTTTTTGCTCCATGTCTCCGGCATAAACCTATCTGTCTAGTCGACGACTTGTGATTAATTGTATCCCAAGATCGGTCAAACTTATCTCGGTCCGGTTTGATATAATTCAGTCAGGTAATTATACAGTCAGGTTGTAGGTAAGTGTTATCCGTATTGACGCCTTCCCGCGTATTGAAGATCAGATTGCCAAACGCAGTCAGCGCAGGATACTTTGTCCAGTCGAAATATCTTTCAAAGGTAATCTAGATATATCAATGTCCGGATCTTGACATTTTTCAGATATACCACACTGTGTTCCCTAACTGGAAAGTATCAACGTTAGGACCGGGTCCCGTCGTGTCTGGGATCCTTCTTTATACACTTTTGACAAATTATTATTAGGTGATCCAAAAGGGTCCGTGGCCCTGTACGAGAAACATTCATCGGGCCTACAGGCGATCGTTTCGGGTTTCAAAAGTATTTGTTAAATCGTGTTTTTGCGTTGCTTATATTTCGCGAAGGTATTGATATGATAAGATATAATTTTTTGACATCAATAAAAAATTAAGACCTTGCATTAAAAAGTTAAATGCAGCCAAATCTTTGCTAGCGGTGCTTTTTTTAATGATTTCACCGCCATCGCAAAAATCGCTAAAATATATTTATTGCTCTGTTTTTTATCAAGCGATATCCTCGGGCCGGACTAAAGTCATGCAGGCCATGCATTTGTCGCTTTTACAGAGCTTTTGGACGAAATTAGAATCTGCAGGTACTTGAATGGGAAATCAGAAACCCGTTCAATGATTCTTGTGAGATTCGGTCAGGCATGTCAACTTCGTGCAACTCCATCGCAAGATTGCTCATTGTTTGTAAATATTATAATTACACTTAGTCCGTATATATAAAAAACATAATATTTTGTTAATGTTTTATCTTGAGTATATACTCTTCTGAAGGAAAAATTAAGAGTTTTGCACTCCCTTTCCAGAGGATGAGGTGAGGATTTAATTTTTCATTTTCTTTATGTTCGTCTACATTCGTCTTTTTTATGTGAAATTTGCTCATTGGGAACCAGTGATTTTTAAGAACGCGGCTTTACGGATAATAACTTTGGTGTTAAATTTTACGCTTTTGTTATTTTTGCTTAAATTTGTCCCAAGTTGTCTTGTTTTTTCTAGAAAATTCAACGTTCCCATTTGATTTCAGGCTTTTTTGGTAGAATTTCCCCCAGTTTTGCTACATATAACAAGAATCTGTCTCAGAGCCTAATCTGAAAAGTATTTTTTAATGGTACAAGATTTATAAATGGCTTTGAAATAGCAAAGTTTCAAGACACACTGTATGTCTAAAAGTAGCCTCTAAAAGCTTTGCTTTTTCAAAATCATTTTCATCCGAAAAAATTATCACTAAATTTTTCTTCCGTCTTGACAATTAGTGGATATAGTGGTTAGAAGACTTTGCCAGCTTGATTTCAAATATTCTCAAGGCGACCTTTTTTATATCTTTGTAAGATTCAAGCCCCCACCACCAGAAAACTTATGATTGGTACACAATTTTAATTCATGTCAAGAATGTTACAATAGGCAGTCTAATTTGAAACAATTCAATACATTTAAGTCCAAGAACAACTTGCTGACAGTTTTTGATAGAGTTTGGAAAATTTAGCAATAGAAAAAGGCAAAAACTTAGATACAAAAAACAACCAGACTGGTTTCTGTTACCACTCCTCAATTTATGTTATTACGATCAGGTTATGTAGAGCCTAACCTATTATTCTTCTTTGTGATTTGGGGAAATTTAACCGTGTGGCAGGCACCGCGCAGCCATTGGGCTGGCAGGGGCTATAGCCCCTCCACTTTTTTGCGATAATACGTTGTAAAACTATTTGGAAAGTTTACTCTAACATGGTCTAAGGCAACATTGAATAGTATACTCCTAAGAAGTAGCAGTTTTTCTTGACTGGGAACCCCCCTAATAATTTTCTAGCTGTTTTTTTATGTTTTATTATCCCCAATCTAATTTTATCTATTTTTATAACTATTGATATCTTCCCTGTACCAGATTGTTTATAAAACCCCAGTAGAAATAGGCCAGTATTTTCTAAAAGGGGCCTTTTTCCGGCGTTCTAGAGAGCGTGGCCTAAAAAATTTCGGTCACGCCCTTTTCGGCCCTTCCACATTTAGACTGGTGCACGGTCCCTGCCGTGTGGAACGCCTAGTTGCTTTTCTCCTTTTTTGTGATGTCAATAGCAATGTTTTCTAGCTATTAGTTAACATCTCGCAGCAGTTTCAAGCTACCTTTTATGATCTCCAACGAAATGCAAAGATTGTATACACTCCGTTTTAACCTTCATTCATACTTTCTGCAAGGAAACGGGGTTAAATGGAGGTCTGGGGACGTATTCTCCAGAAACGTTTCTGCAGACCATCCCTCTAGATGCTAGAAATGCTTTTATTTCTCATTAATATCGCGATGATATTTACCATTATCAACCAAAATGCGCAGGATATTTTGAACAAATGAACTATGATACACTGCTCCGTTCCTTGACTTTTGATACACCGCGATATCATTTAAACTTTAATCATTTTTGTCACTTTAATCATTGAAAACATTGAGCCAAGTTTTCCTAATCTCGAGGCTAGACTACTAAACTTTCGCAAAATTCTGCACTGTTTCGGCAATTGAAAAGTCTGATTAGTTGACAATCCCAAAATTTCGTCCTTTTCACGAATTTTTCCTAAAAGTGCTTGATAGAATGTTGGCAGTGATTGGAGTTAAGAATATTGTTAATCGCCAATGGTTAGCTTATCACCCAAGGCATGGAAATAGGGTCAGCATATAAATTATCAAAAAATTGTATTTGTGAAAATTCAAAATGATCTTCTTTGTCTTTTGTAGGCTCTTTCTCCTCGTTATTTCAACCGCCTTAGCGGCCGCATTGCATCATAAAGGTATGTCGTTAGAAGGAAACCCTTCGTTTGTTTAGAATTTGTCATTCCATTTTCGAACTTATAGCATCATATATACTGAATTTAAAACTTTTAGCCCGATCCGGGGGCTGCAGAGAACGATTAAGATGTCAGTAACAAAACACACCAATGGTTTTTATCCAAAGGCAATGTTTTGTTCGCTAATTTTTGATAAAATACTAAAGTCGACATCGAGTACATCAGTATTTTTAAAATAAAGGCATGTTCAGCACTTTTTGTTTCTTAATGGTTTATAATTTTTAATATCTTTTTTTTCAATATTCGGGTTTTGATTTTTAATGCTGGGAAAAGGTTTAGGGTGGTCATGGGTAATGTTGGGCATCCATGGGTAATGGCGGACAGGCATATTAAACACAGCACAGTTTTGGCGATCTAAATAAGAATACGATATAAGGCCAGGGATAATGCAAGAGTTTTATTCTAGGGTGAGAAATGGTGATATTTTCCCGCTAAATGTCTTTATTAAGCGACTGTCTATATATTCATAGTTATCGAAAACATGTATAATCAAAGGTTTGACAATAATGAGCTCTGACGGAGTCGAGATTCTATCCGAACTCGTGTTATTCATTGTTATCTTGCGAAAAACAACATTAAACTGGAAAACTGCCTTCTCTTGCCAGGAAAAGTGCTAATTTATCCCATGTTATCCAATCAAAATATATTTTTAAATCATGCAATCAATCATAGTAAGAAGTCAAAACAAAAACATTGAGCATTCCCTGATCACTGCAGCGAGAGACATCTCGATTTCGAAGAGTAAAAAATCAAGGGAATTTAGGCCCACTCATTTCACCGACATGCATTTAAAACACATTTATTTGTTAGCACGCACAGCAAAAGGGCTCAAAAAGAGAAACAAATAATCTTAAAAGGTACCCAAACATGCTTATAAAATCTTTTCATTAAATGTTCATGACAGATTCAAAAAAATATTCCTAAGCAGATTTGTCCGTGATTGTTGAGTAGTTTGCATTGTGGATCAGAAGTGCAAAAGGAAAACGTCTGTTTTGCAGCTTTAGCGTATATATTTTAGCATAATTATTCTCTACTGAATTATATGTCGGCTACCGCTGAATCACAACTACACTCTGATTCTGTCAACATATCGTGGCTAATACATAGCGAATACAATGTCACGTGACTACGCCCAGAATACTATCCTACGTCGTATTTTGATATTTCATTTCTCTGCGAAACGTAAGAGAGCTCTGGCTTTTCTTCCAAAGAACTAGTGGTATGTTTGAAACATTTTGTCACTTGAGTCTAGAATTTTATGCCAGTTTTTAGCTTCAGTTAACATCTGTCATGATTCCTCAATGTTTTCTTTTGAATACGAGGCTACCTATAGTTTTTTTTGATATGTAAACTCAATGCACTTCTTTATTGATTGGTCAAATTTGTTGTGCCTTGAGGTTTGTCCCTCGATGTCACATCCGTAGAGTTGGCACGAATGCTGTATTTACATTGGGGGACCAATTGCTCCTTTTATCCCCTTCTAGCTCCTTTTAGTTCTTTTTAAAGAAATTAGGCTCGGCTCGAGTTCCTAGCTGAAAACTCTGGGAAGTGCTCTAACAGTTTTCTCGACATTTTTCAAGGAACAGGTCACCCTTTTTCCATTTTTTCACCATTATATGACTGGCTTCTCTCGATGCAACGGGTTAATTACTGGCAACGGGTTTCTTTATTTTGTCATTTGTTATTTTAGACTTAAAGAGGGGCATTATCACTAGTGCATCTTTTGGAGATCCCTACGGGTCTATCGGTGCGGTAATTCCACCAGTTTCAGGTATTTTTTGTTTATTTTGACAGTTTCAAATTATTTTTGTCACCTTAGCAGCTATTTGATATTATTTCTATCAATTTACATTTAATATATTATTGCCTCATTTAATATATTATCTATCGTAATATAAAATATTACTTATTTTCTATAAATTCAGGATTTTTATAGTTCTTTATGTATTCACAATAGTATGTTTCATCATTATCTAAGTTGTTTATTTTGAATTTTTAATTAATAAAACTTCATCCTTCGCCCCTCATTTTCTTTTTGTCGCTGAATTTTAATTGGTTCACAGCAGGAAACTGTGTGGTATTTTCTCCGTATATAGCTTCTGAAAAGGAAGACTTATTTCTTGCCTAAAGGCAATCGTCAGATACTAAATGGGCTTAAGGTATCTTTCAATCAAGAATTGACCAACCAGCAAGCGTTATTCCACTAACACAGTCATTGATTGGCTATTCTTGATTGACAGGTGGTTTGTCGATTGCCTTTAACTATCTTTAGATTATGAATGACTAATCTTTCAATAACCTGGTAAGCGCTCTCTTCTTTCTATATCTTTCACTAACTTCTTCTACTACTGCCATTCAAGGCAATCGACAGATGCAAAACTGGCCTAAGCCACCTGTCTATCAAAAACTGGCCAATCATTTCGCGTAATGCCACTCACGTGTTTATCGGTTGATCAATCTACTTTAGTATGCTTCTACTAATGCCGCCTGCATGCATCTACATTCCCTGTCAGCCTTCGAGACTATAGTTTTACTACATTTCTACAATCCTGGCCAAAAATTATTTGACTCGCTGGCAAATTGCAGCATTTTTAAAAGAAATTTATTAGGGTAAAATGCCCATCTTGTCTGTTTTTTTCTCCAGTCCATAAACCTTTTGGTCGGGATTGTAGTACTGTTATAACTGATTTCTTTTGTGCTATAATGGTTTGTATCGTGAAAGATTAAATTTTGTGTTAATTGTATTTTACCGTATTTACATGTTAAGGTTGAATTGTAGTGTTATGTTGACAATAATATCGAGGCTACCTATCTCCCCTTTTGCAATATGGCATCATTGTAAGTAGCTTGTTTATTTTCTGAGTTTGAGAATGGTGATATTTCCCAATTTTCTTACGGTATGATTACAATTTAAGTCTGAGTGAAAGAAAATATTTAAATTAAGGTTTTGAAAGAAATTATAAACGATAAGATAATATCTAATAATAAAAATATACATACCAAGGAAAAACAACTTTTAATTGTAATTTACTAAGGAAAATAACAAAAATCGATAGCAATGAAAGTGGAATGTTTCGTCTTTCCATTAGATTATATTTTCAAATATTTTTATGGGAAAGGAATACATCTTTTGATCACAAATTTGGTCGTATTGTAATGAATAAGCCAATTCAGGTTGTCACCTTACTTGTGCCTCTTGAGACACGTATGTGAGACCCCATAATTTCTTTATCAGTACTTAGAGCGTTTCTTTACAATTTGATATCCCGGTCTATGCGATAAACTTTTTCTGTTTATCGTCTTTGCGATAAACCCTGTTCAAATTGCACCGTACTTTCAAACCAGACTATACTCTCTTCCAATATCTCTCTGCCCTCACACCCAAAAGCAATTGATATTTCATTAAACTCTTCAGAGGTAGCTATTTCTATTAATTTTGTTCAATACATACATTTAAGGTGCTCCAACACAAGCCGGAGTTTCAGAAGATGACATCATTCCAGCTGATCTGAGTGATCGATACAGCATTCCCGATGAAAGCTCGTACACCCACGCCGCTAAGCATTCGCACCATTTGTCACTTGATACGCACCCAATTCATTTGTCTGCCAGCCCGATACCTTACAATGGTAAGTATACACGATACCTGCCACTGCTCTATAACACCTCCTCTAATATACGTTTTTTGGCACCGCAAAGTCACTAAATATTTCCCCCCAAATGAACTTTCCTCCAATTTTTGTACCCGTCCGGTATATTTCCCCGGTTTTTTATACCCTTTTCCGCCCTTTAGTCTTAAGTTTTGTATTTTCTTAAAGCTTTTTTATAGAAAATTTCAAAAAAGGTTCAATTGGACAGAAACAAAGCTAAAGTGACGAAGCCATTGCCTGAAGGATAGGAATGGCTACCACGTTTTTGTGCCAAGGTTTGCTTAAATTAAAATATACTGTTGTTCTTCAGATCACGGCTTATACGAAGATCTTGGAGAGCATATCGGGCACAATTTCGGTTTGGAAGACGGCATGCATCCACGTCAGTATTACAACGGACACGGATCGTGGGCTGATAACGATCAACATTATAGTCTTGATGCATTTCCTCATTACGTCGGCAATGTGTTAACCAACAACGAGGCATTACGGCTTGGATTTGACAAGTCATACCTGAAGAAGTTAGGATACGATGGCAGTCATTGGCATCACGGTACTAGCTGGCCTGGTCTTCATGTTGGCATTGGTGGCCACGGTGTGAATCGTGGAGGTAGGCCTCGTCTGGAGTCAGTAATGACAGCGTATCCTCTTTTTGGTATTTTTTCATTTGGGCCACGTGCCTCACAGAGCATTATAAAACACCTTAAAATATATTTTATAGTTAGGGTTGCGGGTTACAGATCCAAAAGCCTGTGGTTGGAGTCCCTTGTAACGAAGCATGCAAGAAGGAAAGCAAATATAAACAATATTTCAATTTCTCTTCTTCTTCAATATTCTCCAACTTAACTTTACAACATCATCTGCTACCTATCCAACCTATATCTCCACTTCAACTTCCGTCTTTTTCTCTCTCGCTCACTACTCACAACAACAATAACTCTTGTTCCAGTCTCTCATTACTCACATCCTCTTACCTTTCATGACAAAATTTTCACTCAGAATGAGGACAGTTGCCAGCCCTCACTCCAGGCGTAGGATGGTCAAGGAGACTGCACGATAAGCATAGCTTCTCAGTGTCCTAAAAAAACTACAAACACCAATGCAAGGCTCTTTCCCCATCATATCTCTGTAATTTGGTATTTGTTCATTAATGTGTGAACCGGGTCAAAAGTACGGTAATCCGTTAGCAAACATCAAATCTTTTACTGACCATATCTCATCCATTGAACATGCTTCTAGCGATTCTGTCCTATGTAGAGATTTTTCATAGTAAGAAGATGTTTTATTTAACTGTTTATCTAAATCAAACCTTTCAAGTCATTTGGTCATCTTCTTGACTTTGATGCCAAGACATGTCACCATCATTTCTCTTCAGACCTTTCTTGTTTGATAGTTGCATGGCACAGATATCTATCATTTCTAAATTCATATCTTAAATATCTAAAACTAAGCTTATTCTTTGTAATTGTAAAACAGTAACAACTTTTATTTTATTCCAGTTTGTCGCCAGGCGATTGATATCGCATTTTTGGTTGATGGATCTACTGACAAAAACAATTTTGAAAAGTTCATCGACTTTATAAATGCTGTTCTGCATAAAATCCCGATTTCCGAAACTGGAAGCAGAATAGCTTTGGTGAAATTCGCAGAAAAGGGAGAACTTGTGTTTGGCTTTGATAAGTAAGTATCGATTGCATACAATAGTAGGCATTTACCTGATTATTTTTTAATATTTTAGATGGTATCATCATTGAATCAAAGTTCAACTGCTTCTGTGATTGAAAACCGAAACATCAGAACCTCCCCCCCCACCCCTGGGCTTAATAAGATATCTTATTCCTGTAAAAGTAAGGTTCTAGATTGAGAGAAGCAGTGTGCTTTGGATGTGTAGTGGTATTAAAAGAACAAGGAGGTCTTATCAGAAAATGTTTCAAAAGGTTTTACTGAAAGACAGAAAAAAGTTTCTTTTCAGGCCTCTTGTTTCACTGCTTATGTCCTCAGCTGGAACATGTTGCACAGGATGTTTACTTTGTACATTCTCAAATTCTCTTCAAGACTGGACTTTTCCTTTTGTTTTGCTTCACATAAGCTCTTCGCATATTTAAAATAAATTATACCTTTTGCACAAACATCCAGTCAGGCATAAAATATCATGATATTATTCAAAATACATCCTAATTATTGTTTGTTATATCAAGGTACCTTAGCAATCTAGCAGTGGCACATGCTCTCAAAGACGCTAAAAACAAATTCGAGAAAAAGGATGGACGAAAGCTCGGCGACGGCCTAAAAGTTGCCAAAACGGACCTGTTTGATGTATCGGGCAGAGACGAAAAGCACAAGATTTTGGTTGTTCTTTCAGATGGTGCTGCGGGGGATTCTTTCAATGAATATGCCCAGGCGCTTAGAGATGCAGCAGTCTCAATCTACTTTGTCGGTTAGTTCATGTCTTTATTCGGGTCTAGTATTTCTTTAATAGTTTCAACACTGTTGTGTATTTGCATATCTTCTATCTACTTCACAGACACTTCACAGGTGTCTTACTTTTAAATTTCTGTTGAGAAATTTATGGACCAAGCATCAATGCAAAAATTGATGAAGACTCTGGCATTCTTCCACTCCCATATCCATAAGTGCAAACTCTAAAATTCACCGATTTTTCCAGAAACCATTGCAACTTGTTTTTACAGGGCCAAAGCCAAATTTGAAGATGGAACAAATAAAGGGAATCGTCTCTGACAAGGATGAATGGTTCTCGTATATCACAGAGGATTATGAGAAGATGATCAAAGATGTTGCTCCAGTTTTCCCTCCCATCAGTTGCAACGGTAAGAAATAAACTTCTATCCCATAATCCCCCTGCATTTTTAGCTCATTGATTATCAAACTGAGAACTGAGTGTTGATTTTGATTTCATGATTCTAATGATGAAAGGGAGGCTCTTCAACAAATCATTTGCTGCTAATGATTAATGAATTCTGTACCCCACTTTGGCAATAGTATTCTATCATTTTTGCTTGATATTCTTCAGAGACTGAGTTACTCATCGCGTTTAGAACTTGTTTGTTATTTTCATAAATAGCCGTCACAATTATGACATCATCTGATCCTGTCTATATGCAGCAATAAAGAAGCTTTGTATCTACAGTCTCCAGGGGCGTAGCTAGCGGGGTTGAGGAAGGGGGTGGTGTCGAGGCTGTGACACCCCCAGTTCTTCATGAGTAGGTCCGTAATTCTAAAGTTGGAGTGCATGCAACTAAAAATATACTAAGTTAGTGTACCAAAACAATCATTGTACACAATTTGCAGGGCGTGTTAAATAGAAATCTTAGCATGTCAAATTTATGAAAATTATGTAGAAATTTAGGCTTCAATACCCACTTTCAAGATGAACTTTTTTCGCCTAAGCATATTTACCTTTGGCCAGTCCGGCACACATGAAGATTTTTGGTTAAATGAAAGAACGTTATCATCAAGGATATTTCTTTCACGACATCAGTTAAAATTAATTCATGCACTTAGCACATCAAATGCTTTTCGCAGATAAATTTTGACTCAACTCTGAATTGTCTGAATTGATTGTCTTTTTTCATGTCTAAATTTGTTTGTCATGCGAGAAAGATAATGAAAGATAGAACCCCGAAAAATATAGCAGTTTGCTACAGATTACACTCTCTACCGTCATCAATATACGTAGCTTTTTTGTTGCATCCACTCTGAATGACCTGTCAATTTCTATTGCAGTTGATGTTGTATTTGTGGTGGACTGCACTCAAGGAGAGAAGACAAAACTAAATGCAATCAAAGCACTTATAAGACGTGCTATAAGCGGCCTCAGCATCGGAACGAGGGGTGACCACGTAGCTGTTGTTACCTACGGTGGAAAGAGTGTAGTGAAATTTAACCTAAACAAGTGAGTTTTATTTTGCTTCAGACAACCTTTGAGAAATTGAGAACAGTGGCGAGTGACGTTTTTGAAGGAAACTACAGCCCTCACAGCCTAAGAGGCAAAAAAGTGCCATATTAGGTTAGCACAAGGTTAATAAGTAGGGAGAAATACAGGCGTAAACGATGTTATATAGTTGTAACAAAAGTATGGCTAGCTATCCTCTGCTAACGTTGAATTGAATACATCCTCTATTTCAGTAAAACATTTCGTATCCAGGAACATATCAGCTTATCAAATTTATTAATGCTATTTGCCCACATTGACAATGTTCTGATAAAAGAAGAAAAGACCACGAGACTTGACCATCCTTGGAGAGACACTACCGAATATCCTTCATTGTCACTGCCCAATTGATTTGTTGAAATTTAAAGGCTCTTTTTTGTTTTATCAAGAAAATCCCAGCCTGGCAAAGTTCAGGCAGCCCTTCAAGAACTAGAATGCGGAAAAGGTGGAGCTGCGGATGGTGCCCCTGCACTGGCACAAGTTAGAGGTAAGCGCTGGGATGAGTCATTCAGAGCTATCCTATTATGTATTGGCACACAAAACCTAAGAAACAATTGTCTCTTATTACAGCCTTGTATTTTTTGACACATACTAGGTGATCGAGAGTTGAATGAATTAACAACCATTCTGTAGTTTTCCAGAAGATTTAACTGGACTACAAAGATATTGCTGTTCTGAAAATTGGATATCACAGAGCAGCTCACATGATATGTCCTGTTCTTAAACGATTCGATGCCTGTATTTTGCTGCCTAAATGAAGTACGGTAGCTTTTTGAATCGTTGATTAAATCATTGAGAAAAATTTCTTGATTTTGAGATAGGATCAACCCCCCCCCCCCTCAAGATATGGAAGTACCACCATTAAGAATGACACAAGAAGCTCAAAATCCTCCCTCCAATTGCACGTTAGTATTGTCTTGCAGACATTTCATAGAACTATATAGAAAATTGTTTTTTTGCCTCTCTCACAGATGTTTTCCAGAAATCTGGGCATCAAGGTTCCATAAACATCACTGTCTATATATCTGGAAGCAAGACTGCTAGTAGCATTGCAGAGCCGGCAAAAACATTGCGTAATATGGGTGTCAGATTGTATGCGGTTGGGTACGGAAAAGACGTGAGTCCAGTTTATCTAGAGTCATTATGTATTTGTTAAAAAATATAGCCCCTTTAGATAACTGCATCCTTTTCAGGCGGTAATGTTAGGAAATTGTTAGCAACATATACAATGACGTAAGTGTCAGCAACATATACGATATAGATATAGAAGCATCAAGGAATTGAGTCCTTCATCTTTGTTTTTGATTAAAGGAATTTCTTATCAATTTTCAGAGGGCCAAATGCCCTTTCGTTTTTTACAAATGAATTGGGTGATTTGAGAGCAAGTGCATATGCCCGATTCGTAAGATGAAACACTCTTCTTGGATCAAATTCTTCTGCTGCAGCTTCTGTAATGTTTTCTGCCTTCACAGCAGCATTATCATAGCAATTTATGATAAGGAGTTAAAGACACAGGCACAAAGTTCACAAGCAACAGGGGCAGCGTAGCATACACTCGTTTTTTATAAGAAGCGTTGAACATTTCTAGTACTGAAATATTCTTAATTTTTTATCAACTAACTAATTAATTAACTAACTAACAATCTACTTGTAGTTTCTTAAAAAGTTCCTACTTTAAATTTTCCAGATCAGTACAGGATATTAATTTTTCAAAACTGTAGGCTAAGTACTGATTGTAAAGTTTCAATTTTCTTATCCGAAAATTCACCTTGCCTGTTAAAAATGATTTAATTCAACTTAAATCCCATCAAAAGAAATAACGGTGAAATGGTGCAATTTAAGATCCAGTTGATACAGGGCTTCACGATAGAAAACGATTACTGGATGGGTCCGCAACACCCTGTGAATTTTTATAAGATAAATGCATCTACATTTAAAATTCCAAAATTCCTAACATATAAAATTCACAAGTTTGGTCTTGAGGAAAAAATCCAATTAATCTGTTGAGTTTTCCAACTGTAATTGTATTTTCCAAACTTTGAGGGGGGCACCATGCCCCCACATGCCCCTATTATTTACGTTTCTGATAATGGTATTTCTTCTTGGTTACCATGTTTTTAATGTATAATATATCTGCCGGTAAGTATGTAATCTGTCCTACATAAAATCACATGAAAAGCAATTATGGTTTCTCAGACCTTTGATATGAATTGTTTACTTCTACCAGGCCAGTGAAGATGACTTGAAGAAGATCGCATCTCTGCCAAGTGATTACTTTGTCCACGTCAAAGATGACGAGTTGAAGCTAGAAGCTATGGTCGGGCCGATCTTACAAAGTCATATCGGTATGTTATTTCAACATAAGTATAGTATTGTCCGCGGTGTTATCAACATTATCTTTGAAAAGCAAACATTTTAAAACATAATCAATGTTTATTCTGTCACTCGTCATGGTTTATTATAAAACGTCAGAACAGTGATCAGAAATTTTAAGTTAGGAAATATCTACACCTCATTGTGGGTCAAAATAAGCCAATCATTAAGCTTAACGATGCTTTAAAATTTTTTTCTTTTTAAAGGTCATTCAAAATTCTGTGCCACTAAAAATTGTTTCACTTACAGTCTTTCACTTATAGCAAAAATTGGACTAGTCATTTTTGACATAACAATCATTTGCTTATTTGAAACTTTGTATCCACGATAGACACACAATTTGAGGTCTGTTTATGCTCCTCTATGCTGCAGATAGTAGCAGCTCCAATTTTCAGGCAACTTAACGTGGCAATCAGGCAACTGTTAAAGGCAATCTGTCACGACGTTGATTGGTTATAAGAACAAAGGGATTTTTATTGTTTCCAGCCCCCCTTCAATTTATCGCATTGTAAAAAGTATGGTGGAGCGCTGGAATCGTGTTTAGGCTATTGTTCCAGCTATTGTTCTCGTTAACCAATCCATAGCGACAGATTGCCTTTAAGTTACTGTCTTTAGAGGTGATTTTGTTTTTGTGCCTTGGGATATCAGGAATTTCAGTCATATTCAACGTTGAACCCATAACTGGTTAACTTACGAGTAATGAACATGTTTCGTACGAGGTACTTGAGGCTAATTGAGGTTAACGTGACGCTTTTTCTTTAACATAGCTTCTATACCTACAGAACGTTTTACAATATGATTTAGTCGAAGTTAACTGTCAGAAACTTTCAATCTACATACCTGTTGCCAAAGGGTTATTAGTTGTGAAAAACCCTCCCCAGCTGAACAAGGACAGTTAACTTAGAACAAGGAGACGTTTAGATGCGCAATGGGAGTCGAGTTTTTGGGGGCTAAGAATTGTTCATTTTACAAATTCCGACAAAGCACCAAAATCGCCAAAGTTTTTCGGAAGATTTGATGTATTAAGGGGGCTAGAGCGCTTCAGGGAATGCCCCCTCCCTCCTGGGGAAACCTCGGTTACCACTGATGCTGTTGCAGGCTTAACAAACTTCCATAATCTGACTTCTATAATGTTCTTTCATGTTTTGCATGTTCTTGATCTAAATTATTGATGAAGTTTATCTGATTCCACACTTTTGTCAGAATTCATCGTTAACAAACCACAGATTATTCATCTTATAATGTTCTACAGAAAATAAATGTGTCAAAGTAGTTTTATCAAGTATATTCAACAGACTGAATTATCGTCTCAATGGCTGATATGATAAAGACGGAATCATTGTCAATAAGCATTATGCGTAACAGTATGGTGTCCGATCAGTTTGTCATTGGCTAGACAATAGTGTGCTCTGTTCAATGAAGTAACTGTCTGGGCGATTTTCTTTCTCGCCTATCTTATCTCCCATGAATCATATCCGTTAGCAGCATGACTTGTAATTGATCATTTCCGATTTAACAGCTGACGTCAAAGGAATGGGAGGTTTCGGTGGAGGTTCAATAGGAGGTCACGGCTGGTTGAATTCGTTGAGCGGACTTGGTGGCATCGGTGAGTACGGTGGATGGGGTGGATCGTATCTCCGATCTGACGTCGAAACTCAGTACGACTATCCGAGCATACAAAACATTCAAGACGACACAGCAAAACTTTTAAAGGATGTATCAGGTAACAATGTTGATCAAGATGGATTTTCAACATCAATGAGCCCTAAAGAACCCGAGCTGGATTTCCATCGTCCCACTGGATCTGAAGAGTCTGCCTTGTATCAAGACGACATCGAAGAATCAATCAAGGATGCAAGCGGAGTTGATCGAGCAACAATCGAGAGCGAATCACTGTCAGTCCCGACTTTTGATGCGTCGCACGGGGATTCTCTCATTGCAAGGAGTAAGGCGAAGAAGGATTCGAAACAGCGAAAACGAACAGTTAGCGGAAAACGAGCAAAGAAAATGTCTGTTTCTAAAATGAACACACACAAGAAAGTTGCTGCAAGCAGAGATAATATCGAGGCTAAAAATGAAACCTCGACTGCTGATAATGCTACTGCAAGTGAAGGTTCAAATGTGAAAGAGGCAGTTCCTGATAACACGTCTGCTAATACAACGGATACGTCCGCTGGAAACAATATCGCAGACAATGCAACTGTTACAGAAGATCAGAGTAAGAGCAACAAAACATTGTCTGCAAGAGGAAAGGTTGATCCATACTCAAGCATCGGTACAGATACGTCCTCAGAGGAGTCAGCCTCGAACGTGAATGTAAATATAAACAAAGATTCCAGCAGTGAAAGCAAATCAAATGACGCTACGCAGGAGAAGAAGACCCAGATCAAAGATTCTAAAGCTGAAACAAATGATGTACACAATGACGTCATCAACACGGGGTATGAGTACAACGAAGCTACAAAAAGTAACGTCCCTTCAAAAGTTAAAGAAGGAGCTGCTGTTAAAAAACACACGACGAAAGCAGATGCCGATTTGGAGCAACCAGTACACATGTTAGTAAAATCTATTTTTCACAAAGCGGCCAAAAATGTTATGAAAGATTTTGCCAAGTCAAATGGGCTTAAAAATGTGGCTCAAATGCTTGTAAAAGCTGCAATTCATAATGCCATGTTAAAAAGACCCTCGATGACGAGTGCTTTGAAAGCAATGTCAAAGCAAACGAAGAAAGCAAACAAAAAGAAGAAAAAGTTTCACGCAGAAAGGCGAAGCAAGCTTCAAAATAAAAAAGATGCCAAACCGGAAACACGATCAATGAAATCAACGACCACTGATGATCTGATGGCAATCGGAGGAAAGAAAGCGGAAAAATCGACGGCTGAGGAGGAGTTTTCTATTGTAGAGGATTCCAAGAAGAGATCGAACATAGCAAACAATTAAGGAAGTAGCATGCAACTCGCAAGTTGTCTGTTTATGTTGTAGTTTCTGCTTTCTGGAGGGACAATGCTGGCATAGCGATTAAATATGTGCTCTGGCCTTGTTTCGAGACAAGAATCCAAGTGATTTCTTCTGTAGAGTACTTAGATTTACCGCATGGAGTAACGCGAACTTGGAATGTTGTTGCTGCTGTAATGCTATGTGTGGACAACACAGACATATATATGTTTTTGTTCAAAATGAAAATTGTACAATATTGTGTAAAATTTTTAAAATTTTGTCCTATTCCTTAAGTTTTTTATGATCAATTAATTTCTCTCGTCAAGCTTGGGTTTACTTTGATAGAGATCTTATCCACAATGCTCGTCAGCATCGTCTTTCAATTTCAGTTGATGATATCTATTGTAAGATAATGAAATAACGCACGAGAAAAAATCATTCTAGCTCATTAATTTATATTCCCTGATTAGAAAAGAGAGAGGCATTCTCTCCTAAAGTCCAAGATTTCTCTGCTGCATATTTTGAAGGAAATTGCAAAAAGAGCGATTAGTAAATAAAATACTGGGAAGAAATGAGGAGCTAAAGAATATTGGAAGCTAGAGGTTTGGAACGAGCTAGAGAATAGGCAATGAATGACATCAGTTGCGGAAAATGAAAAAGAAGACAGTGATCAGAGTATTTGGTGGAGATATATAGTTATCAGTTAGCAAAAAACTGAGATCCCAAGTAGTCAAAATAAAGGATAAGCACTTCTTAATGCAGTGCTTATTGCTATGCAAAGCTCCATAGGTACCTAAAAGATTACCATTGCTTTCAAATAAACAGCCCCCCTTCAGCAGAATTGTGATAGTATGCTCAAAATAATCTGATTTGTGATAGTAATCTGATTTGCACAAAGAGAACATTCGCTCTGGACCATCCACATGACGTGGTACGTTTGGCACAAGGGCATCGTGGTGATCGAATTTTAATGAGAGTCAAAGAGACCTTTTCGAAAAATTTCCCATTAGCAATCGGAAAACAGTAGATGGACATCATGGACCAAGATTTTAAAAATTTTTATCGGCAGCCTGAAGGAGAAAGTGTTTTGATGTGTTTCTAGGCTACGTGCGGTGGTTGGCAGCCATTGACAGGTAGCACCCCAAATTAATATCTTGTTGGCCCAGAATATTTACGACATAAGAGCGCCTTGGATTAAACCAGAGAGTTGTGACCTTTCTCTTGTTTGTAATTGTCTATAAGCAACTAGAATTTAAACACAAAAATTTGAAGATTTTTACAAGATTGGGCATTTGAAAGATACATCAATCCTTCAATGTCTATTTTGCAATGATTGCGTCAAAGCTTCAAATTTCTTGCCAAAGTGCGTGTATTTGTCAAAGTTCGGGACCGTAAGGGTTTGAAGAGCAGAGTGTTATGCAGATATTTAAGAAACTAGCTTTATAATCGTGTTGTCTGGATTCTCTGACCTGGTTTTTTCTATAATGGAAATGCAATTGTTTAAAATACTCTCAATTCATTTTCACATTTTAATTGATAATTACTTGATTTCTCAGCCCTCTTGCCTGGTTATCCTATTGATCCAGCAATAAGAGTCTTGGTACCCTAGCATTAAAAGTTTCGTTTCCAAGGATCATCTAGCTTCCAAGTTTCGTTCACTTCACAAACTTGTGGTTTCCATTCAATCAATCTGTGTTTCGAGTTGCAGGGGGCGACATGAGGTCGCTAGGCATTGATAGGAAAGGAGTCTATTCAAACAAAGTCAACTTGGATATACAAGAATCAGAACGGACTGGTGATACCATGGTGAATAAATCATTCTCAGGTTGGCTGAATTGCAAATTGAAATGTCAGCTGATGAGTATTGCTGAGTTGTTCGTTGTTATAACAACGCTAGAACCAATTTGGTTACCAGTTTTCCAAAACGTTTTTTTATCTTCTTTTTTCATTGCTATAATGTGTCCATTGGCTTCTAGCTCTGAGATAAAAACAGGATTAAAACTTGTTCTAAACATTCATATATATTGTACCCCAGCAAAATATAAGAGCGTGGGGAGGTACTGTCATCGAATCATATTTTTTGTTAGCATATTTTTATTTAGACTACGGAAAGTGGCCATGACCCTGAAAATTTCTTTCAGGAAACACTTCCATTTAGGCACATGCAAAACTTTTTTGAAAGGCTCACTACGAAGTGGACAATATATTTTGAATAGAAACATAGATACCAGTTTCTAATATATTTTGAATTTTTTTATAGATAAAAAGAGTAAGAACAGGGGGGAGAGGTGCAATGTACATCGATTGTAAATCTTTTGATTCTAAAATTTAAGATTGCGGTTCTTTGAAATACAGAAATTGATGTTGAGTTGCTGCATTTTTTCTCGTACAGTAGCAACTTGTCTTGGATTTGGTATAAGATATTTATATAAGATAAGATATTGGCATATTCGATGTTCGCAGTATGTGAAAAGGTATGAAGTTATCCCCCGAAAAAGCTTGTTTGTCACGATGAAGGGAAAATTGAACGGAAGTGAGGCACCATCTTCTTACCTGGATACGAGGTAAGGTCCTGCGCAAACTCAAATCGCCATCACAAAGTTACCCGAGGACGTGTTGTGATTCCGACACGGAAAAATTAATCGTACTGTTATTTAGAGATAATAACTGGAACAAAAAATGGATAAAAGAACAATAAAAATATATTAAAACAGTCCCAGACGGAGAAGGTGAGAAAATTATCGAAAAGTTGTGTTTATGAATTAAGTATAATGTCTTATGAGATGTGCGCGGTTCACTCAGGCCGATATACCACAATTGCTTTCGTATGACAGAACATTCTGTTCAAGTTAAAATGATCCTTTCGTGTTTTAATTAGTATCTGTTTTACAATTTATTTTTAAAAATCTTTAAAGAAATGGCAGCTAATAAGGTCAAAGGTATTATTTCTGTTAACATTCTACACTCGACTCGCGTTTACGTGACATCTAAAGCTGCTGATAAATTCCTTGCTAATAATTTGCATATCTAGTATATCAAAATCCCCAATTAGAAATTCGAGCTACGGGTATATGCCAGCAGCGTAATCTGATATGGGACTATGGGTAGTTATTTTGTTATTAAAATTTGTTGAGGAAAAACATCTGATATGTGTGGGTCTTCTAGGGTAATTATTTTATTATTAAAATTTGGGGAGAAACATGCTGATCAGCTGGAAGAATCACGTTGTTTTGATCAAATCATCAAGTTTTGCTTTCACTGACAATTAACCTAAGTAAAACTAGTCTTTATAAAAACTAGTAAACTGGTCTGGAAGAGCAAAGTTCATCTAGGATTTGAGAGAACTGCTTTCTTTGTTTCTCAGCAATGTTTATTTTGTTTCCAAAAATTGATGCGTCAGTGGAAAGCAAAGACCTATACTGTTGTCAATCATAGAAAACATTTATATTATGCTCGCTAGAAAATACTGTTCAGAGTACTACAGACTTTAATAGCTAAGCTAAGAAAGAATGTTTTACAAAAAATTAACTCCAGTAACTCTCTTGAAAGTTTTTGAACTTTTAAATTCCTCAGCAAGTTAGAATTTTTTTTGAATTTTTAAAAATGTAGAACTTTGTGTGCTAGATTATTGCTATTGAAATGGATTTTTTGATAACATATATGTATACCTTCTTGTTTGGTTAGAATAAGTGTTTTGTTACAGAGGGCCCTCTATTCTTGATAAGCTTAGCATTGATAAGCCCCTCCATAATAACTTATCCCGCATTAATTTGTCTTTCTATAAAATGTAACTTATCTTTTACTTTCTATTTTATTTGAAAATTATGGGCTATATTTTGCAATGGTATCATTGTTCTGTTTCTAGAATTTTTGTTTTGTTTTATTTTGCTATACTTTTTGTTAGTTATTTCTAGTAAGTTTTTATATTGAAAAGTAAAGGCCAGGCCAAAGATAAATCAGATTGGTATGATATGGGTAAGCAGTACCATCTGAAACTGAAACTGAATTTCAAATACAGTAGCAGGTGTGAAATGACAAGGTTATATATCAAATAAACTGATTAGGCCTAATTTGATATCTTGTTTTGTTGGTAATCTTTGTATGAGGATAATGACAAGTTTCTTTTATACAGTGCTCTGAACAGAAATTAAGGTATAGACTCACTGAGGTCTAGGCTCACAATTTTCTAAGAATTATATTGGATGCTGTGTTTTAACAAAGAAATATTTCTTGTTAGATATGTGTTCTCGCCAGTTCTGTACATATTTTTTTTATTTAATTGTTGATTTTTCCAATACAGAGGGAGTGAAAAATCTTGGGGAATGGAGTGGCTCTCTTACTCAAGAAACAACCAGGAAATGGTTGATAAGTTCACACGTCTGGGGATAATTGAATCTAGTGAAGTTGAGAGAGCTTTTAGATGTGTCTCCAGAGCTGCCTTTGTCCCAGATGACCTTATTGAAGATGCATTTAAAGATACACCTCTTCGAGGCAGCCATCATGTGCATCTGTCAGCCCCACACATGTATGCAGCAATATTTGAAGAGCTTGAACTTGATGTTGGTAAGTCACATCTGTTTTTGAATTTGGTATTGCTGTCATCAGAATGATAGTTAAGCTTTTTTTCAATAGTCAGTCAATGATTATTTAAAAAGACAACTACATATATATTTATAATTTAGGCATTTGATAATGTAGATATGTCAGTCATTTGTGAATTATAAACCTTTTAGTTGCTATATGTTTCTGTTCAATGAAAATCATCCATCAAATCCAGGTTTTTCTACATTTTTAAACCAATTGTTTGCTGCCATTTTCTTTCTTGCTGCGCTGTATAATCAGGGCTATAGAAAGTCGGGACCAATTTGATGGTTATGCCAATTTTTATAAACTCACTTATCATCTATGTTTTATGTGCTTTGCATTTCTTATTGATTCTTACAGAACTATAGTGGATAATATTTAGAATACTGACAAAATTGAAAAATAGAACACAATGCATATATATTTTAAGAAAAATTTTAGATTAGTAAGTGTTTATGCAGTTAATTTTAAACTAATATATTTTTTTAAGAGACAACTCTTTGGTAGGCTTATTTCTTTGTTTCTATACAAATTTATTTTTTATTAGTTGAAGTTTACATCTATATATTTTTTCACAAACAGGTATGTCATTCTTGAATGTTGGCAGTGGAACTGGGTATTTTTCAACTTTGGCTGGATACATAGTTAAAAAGGATGGCATCAACCATGGTATTGAGCTACACGAGGACCTTGTCAATTTTGCCAATGAAAGGGTGACAAACTTTCTACAAAATGGCCCCCCTGATGCAAAAGATATTTGCCCACCTGTGTTTATATGTGGAAATGCTTGTAGGCTTGATGCTGAACAAATGAAATATGATAGGCAAGTATAATCCCTTTTTGTGGCATTGTAAATTATTCCTGTAGCTCATAATACAGTTTTAACTGTCTCTCAAAGTTTTAAATGCCAGAGTCAAATGCACAGCAATTTTCCTTATGAAATAAAAGCCAAAGGAAACTGATTATCGAATGGATCAAGCCCAGTTGCTTCCACACAATGGAAGCATTGTTGCTGTTATCAATGACATGAAATGTTCTTGAACATTTTATGTTTATCATCTTTGAATTGTGTCTTTGAATTTTGATTGTCAGATCATTCTCATTTTTTCTGATTCCATCTTTTAAAACAACATGTCATGCCAAAAACCTTTTGTCTCAAAGCGAATATTAAGATAGAGTCCCCATTTGAGTTGGAATCCACATTTTTCTGTTTGACTGGAAGAAAATATCTTCCGTTTGTCAAGGCCCCTGACAGCAGGAGAGGTGGGGTGGTCATGACCCCTCATTTTTTGCATAACAAGAAAACTTTTTTGCAAAATATTTTGTTATGATTTGTAAATTTGCCCTTGGTATCCTCACTTTCCAACTTGAGTCCGAGCTTATGTTTATAATAGTCCAAATACATATCCAAATATGAAAAAACCAAATATACAGGTTAAAAGTTGATTGGAAATGTAAGTTTCATGTTTTTGTCTTTTAAAGGCTTTATTGTGGAGCTGCTTGTTCACAGTCGATTGTCAAGTTCTTTCTCAAAATGGTCAAAGTTGGCGGATTTTTAATTGCACCAGTTGGATTCAGGGTAAAACACTTGTTTCTGTCTATGTTTTTTTCATGGGATATAATGAACCATATGACTTCTTCGAATTTGCAGGTCAACTTTATTTTAAAACTAGAGTGAAAATGCTTGTTTCAATGTAAACCATGTAAGTACCCTATTTTTAGCAAATTCCCATTAACAAATCAGGCAAAAAGTGGTGAGAATTTCCACCCTCAAAACCAAGTTTTTTGTTGATGTTGCTGGTAACTTCGGTAGGCAGGAGGAGAGTACCTAGCCTGCATATGTGTGTTTTACACAGTAGGTGTCTTTGGGATTGCAACTTGGGTTAGGGTTAGTGTTAGGGCTAGGGTTAGGGTTAGGGTTAGGGTTAGGGTTAGGGTTAGGGTAAGGGTAAGGGTTAGTGCATGTTGTGCAAAGCAAAGCATGTTTTTGTGTAGGGGTGAATGTCCACCAGTGCTACTGTTCATAATTGAGGGAAAATATAACTTGAGAGGTAATTGGAAAGAGATGTAATGCTAGGATATTGTGTTTTGATGCTCTTTATAGTTTCTGCCGACTAAATTCTTGAATACATTAGCAAATGATTTTGTTCAAATCAGACAAATTTTCTGCACATTTAATGCTAGATAAAAGTTAGGGATCTGAATGTCGTGTATTTTATCACACTCTATATTTTTTCATAGTGGTAAATTAATTTCACTTGCAATCTTTTCTGGTAATTTTTTGGGCCTTATCCGCAAGCAACTTAATTTAAACAAAGAGAGGTTGAATTGCTGAAGCATACCCTGAAATACATAACAAACACAAGTCATATGAATCGTACTGTTGATCATCATTAAGTTTGTACGGGATCTCCATGCACCCATGTCAGTACATATGGGTAATCGGTGATTTTTAATCTTTATTTTGACTGTTGAGTTATGTTCTATCCACACATAATGCGCGTTTTTGACCTTGTGTACGGCGAAACCTTAATTCCAAACACCCTCAAACCACAGATAATTTCCCAAAATTTTTTCCATGCTTTTAAAGCCTGTAGAAGTAATCTCCAAGTGACATCTCCCTTATAAGGATCATATTTCGTCCACATATAAACAAGACATTTTCTTGAACATATTCCGATGGCCCATTCTGAACAAAATAAGCGTTAGCATGCGAATTAAATGGCTACACTTTTCAATGCCATCGCAGAGTCTTAAAATACATTATGATCCTCTATTTTCATTTTTGCCTAGCTTTTGAAACTAAAGCGTGTTTCACTCAAAGAAGGGCGGCAATCAGTGATTAATGACGTCTCATTTGCTCCACTCGTCCTTGCTACTCCAGAAGAGATGAAATTACCAAAGCTGCACTTTCCCAACACAAGTGACAAGAAAATAAAAAAGGTTTGATTGTGTTTTTAATATCGCAATTAGACAACAGACTACACTGTAAACTGGTCTGTTGCAGATTGTTGGTTGATAATTTGTGATATAGGGGTCGAAGGAGGGGGGTCTAAGGAGGGCGGTCGCCCCCAATATTTTGGAAGACGTAGTGTTATGAAAAAATAGACTTGCCCCCAATATTTGATCAATCCCCCCCTCCCCCAGCAACGTGTCTACAATATTTCCGTCACTGCCCTTTGATAGAAAGGTCATATTTTTAGCAATTTTTTAATTTGAATGTGAAGGATCAAAACCTGGAGTTAGTTAGATATGATATCGTAAAGGTTGCATATCAATGCGTAGAAATAATCTTTACTTATATTTACTTCAGCCTACAAAATTCTAATATGACGTCACATCCTACATTGAAATATCATTATGAACAGCATTATTGTGTTTCAGTTTCAACTTTGCAGGCAAATGACTCTGCATGAGAATACTGTGACCCTGCCATAGCCTAACATGTGAATCAAGCAACTTTTTTTGTTATAACAGATAATGTCACAGGAATATTGTCAGTTTTTCTTTACTCCAACCAAGTCTCTTTCTGTTTGGATTTTTCCACCAAGGCTCAAATCTTTCGATTTCATTCTAGTGCTAGTCTTTTATAATACAACAAACAATTTCATGTTTTACTCATTTTAGAGCTCTATTGTTTGTGACGTCAATTTTCCAGTCAGCAAAACTCCTGGGAGGAAGTTGCTGGCGAAGCTCCGAGCGTTCCAGGAGGCAATGGGTAAGTGAATATGGTTTATGATAGAATGAATCGCTGAGAGTCACTAAAGCTAAATGTTAAGAAGACATAGGTTAACACAAAACATAGATTAATCGACCATTTTTCAACCAGTGTCTATGAATTAGCCCTTCTTCCTTTGGAAAATGCCAGAAAGGTCTTCAAATTTTCCTCAATGAACAGAAGAGTAATTCTAGATCTTGGCGTCTTTCTTTAATTTCTCAAGTTACCACTGGCTGTCCTCATTTCCTTTTTGGTCGTGCGTCTAATCTACTATGTTTTTTACGAAACTTAACCTTTTCGTGTCACGATTTGATTCAGGTTACTGCTTGAAATACATTAGATTTCCAAATAAAAAGGCCTTCAACTGCCAATTTTCCCAATTAATTATATATTGAGTTTTTATTTTAGCGTGTCTACAAACTGGAAGACCGTTGCCAATGCCATACTGTTACGTGCCTTGTTTTGACGACCTTGCAAGGTCAAAGGCTAGGGCAAAGAGGGCTAAAGGTCACGGCTCTTTTCAAGTACCAGCAACTGCCACATCCTCAGAGCAAGAGCATGACGCAGTCGACACACAGATCGACTTTTTCACTAAAGATCAAGTTGTTGCAGGATCGCTCGGAATGGATGTGTCACTGGGTGGACCACAGGTAATACAGTAGTATTTTTGCTGGTTGATAATTTAAGTGAATATATACAGGGGGTGGTGGTAGTTGTCGGTTTGCGAGAAAAAGCAGGGCTGCCGAGAAATTTTGGAGGCCCCCCGGGGAAAAACCAGAAGACTAGGCCCCAAGAAAATTTGTGCGACCACATCCTTTAGATTAACTTAAATTGGTTCGTTAGTTCAAAATGTTCTACTATTTGCAAGCATAACTTTGGTACTTTTGATTAATTCCATTTTAAAACCGGATTCCATTACTTTATGAAGCCCCTCTATTTCAGCTCTAAGTTATTCTTCGCACAATAAATTGGAGTTAAATCGTCTATGTGTCGCACTCGCAAGGCCCAACCTATCTGACCTAGAGACATGTTGCAACTCTAACCTACTGAAGGAGAAAGTAGAAAAGATTTTTACTTAAGCTCCAAGGGTTTTTATCGATAACTAATGGGTCTGTTAAACATGGGGGTACTAAATTGACACCACTTCTCCAGACAATATTCAGTCTTCTCCATCTAATAAAATATACTTTTCCATGGTCTGTTGTGTAGAGATCTGTACACAACCACATGACACCTTCATGCTTCGGCGAGAAGAACAGGACAGGTCAGTCCTGAGTCGCAACTCCAAGCTTTACGCTTAACGCGATTATGATGCATGCAACTGCTCTTCACCCTTGTGAACAAGTTTTGCCAGATGATTCGAAAAAGCAGGAAACAGGGGCGGATTTTAGCTACAAGAATTCTTTTTTTGTTAGATAAACTGAATTTTGGTTGAGACGGTTCAAACGTGCCTGGGAAACCGTTGAAACGCCACTTTTGAAAATGAAGTTTTTTACTTCAAGATTAAGAGGATATGAAGAGAACTGCACTGAATTTCTGCATAAATTTTATTTCTACCAAAAACTGACAGGTTTTTACCAAATCAGAGCATAATTTCATCAGGGGGATGTCGCACCTCCCACAGTCCCCGGTAAATCTAATGGTGGACACTTGGTCAAGTAACGTTTTCCCATTACTATAAAACAAAATACCATTGTCTTCTTAAATAATTGGGGGCAACCCCCCTCAGCTGTCTGTCACTGGGCAAATCTGCTACCATGACTGTTGTACGCCATGCTAGAATATTAATCCTTGACTTCTGCTCTCTTTTAGGAAGAGTCATCTAGACGGTCCGACGCATGTGCATCGGGGTGCAGGCAGCGATCTGAATTCGATTATGAGCGACTTTCAGCAGACAAAACCTGGCTTGAAGTCGTTGAGCATTATTACTCAGTTTGTGCTACTACTGAAACCAGGAAAAATGAATGCACAAACATCAAAATGGAGCGAACAGATGAGCAACTGACATTCAAAAAATACGCGAAACAAATGGGCCTAATACCGTCTCGTAGCCGCAAGAGAGTAAGTGTTGGTGAGTCGAAGGGGGATGCCCCTGTTTTTGAAGAAGTAGCCAATGATATTGTCGAGAATCTCCTTGAAGAGGTAATATGTCAAGTTGATGATAACGACCTTGCTGAAGATTTCCTGGCTGCTGTTACGGGAACTGGACCCTATTCGAACGGAGATGTACGACGTAGAAGCTCTGTTGCGAGGGCGATAATTCTCGATAATTTGCCTCGTTTACGAGCTTTCGCCGGGGAATCTGGAGGGTTGTCGCAGACTTTGCAGGGGCTGATACGCAATTTCAATTCATCTGAAGACAATACAAAGGAGCCAAGCGAGCGATCGCATGACAACGCCGAAATGTTGGACTGTAAAGATTCGACGCCACGTGATGCGTGTTTACGAAACGTACATACGTTTGTCAACAGCGTTATAGCCGATATCGATAAACAAATTCTTCACGACATCGTTCAGGACAGTGACATTGGAAACTGCTTGGAAACGGAAGAGATTCCAGATTTACCAGTTGAGGTTAGGCTGAGTTATTCTCAAAGTGCAGAAAACGAAGCAAATAATGTACCCGATTGCAGCAGCGGGGCCCTATCAGCATCGAGTGATCTTGATCGAGTTGTTCCGGGTCTGCCTGACCCAATATCAGCAAGTTCCAAAAAAGAATGCTTTCTAGATACCAGCGACAAAGCAAAAACTAGCGAGGCTTGTTTACAAAGCTGTAATTCTGAATTGGGAAGTAATGGCTCTCTTTTTAAAGGTCCATATTCTTCTAGCAAAGGAGAGGAAGCAAATACTTTGAATCTCAACTCCAGCATAGTATATGTTAAGCGAGAAACCTCGGGCTATTTCGATTCTAAGGATACTGCTGCAAGCTGCGAAAGGTCTGTTACTAGTGACCATAACAAGCTTTTGTCTTCTTTCGTTGTCGAGGAGCAGAAACCTCGGCCTAACGCAGATAGACCCTTATTATTGGAACAGAAAAGTGCACTTATGAAAATGAAGGCTCCCCTAGAGTCCTTCACTGAATTGTCAAAACTTTGTGATGTTAGTCGACCAAATGTGGAGGAGGTAAACACACCTGTTTCTAATGCCAAAGCATCAAAATCGTTTGGCATCCATGAAAACCCGTTTCGAGACAAGTTTGGATACCATGGTAAAAATGATGGCGATTTTTCATCCAGTGATACTTCTTCTTGCTGTTGTTCCAAATTTCAGTTAAACTTTTGTTTAGAAAAATCATCTGAAAGTACTCCAAATAAATGTCCAGCCCATATCAGGCCGTTGTCGTCTTGCAATATGGGATTTAGCAACGATTCCACAGATAGCATCCCTTACTCGTGCTGTCCTTCCTCGTGTGGTGAAATGCAATGTAACGTTCACAGCATGGGATATTCGTTAGGTAGCAGTCCAGAAAAACAGTGCATGCATTTCAGTGTATTTGGCTCAGAAAGTAGTAACTACAGTAGTGAATTACTGGATGCCTCGGATTCAGTTTCAGCGTCCTTTAATTCACATGTGGATGTGTTTGGAGAGCCAACAGGGTGCTCTAATCGAGACCGAGGCTGTAGCCCTAGTGCTGGGAATGGCTCATCTACTAGAAGCAGTGTCTGCTTAGACGGGAAATTTCAAGGTGGCTTTGAAAGGGGAGAGGTCTGTGGTGCCTCTTCTAGCTTACTGCTCCGTAGAAGCTCAGATTTGAAGTCTGCGGAGGCACACCAGGAGGTTCCATGTGCGTCTCCTAGAACAGACAGTGTGAATGACAGTATTGGTGATAATGTAGCATTGAATTTATCAACTATAGATAAAAGCTCTGTTAGCAAGGACAGTTGTCTGGCAACAGGCTCAGAATTAGACACAAACTGCTCGCTTTTTGCTAGTACTCCTTTGCACAAAAGGTACTCAAATGGGCCTGAGAGTATACCCTACGCACCTGATCAGTCCACCACCGATTTGCAAAATAATGAAACACAAATCAGCACCAATGAAACACACTCGGTTTCAACAGACTCAGTCGAAACAGACGCCAAAAGCAATACAGCGACGGAGCAGGCAAAAGGACTAGGACTAGATTCGTTTTTTATGACGTCATATACACCGTCGTTCAAGAAGAAGCGGAAGCCAAGGAAGTCTTTTACAAGCGTCAAAATGGACGTATCATCAAGCAAAGTGTTGCGTTGTTTGCCAGGAAAAGAATGGGGACTGCAACATGACAAAGAGTTGATTCTTTATTTGTCACGAAAGGAGAAAGCATCCAGTCACGTGGCCTTTGTAAGTATAAACTGCTTTTGTAACTAATACTTTTTTGATGCTTTTTGTAACAATTTCAGAATTACATGTAGACGTTTTGTGTGCCCTTATGAAAGCTGTCAAATGCAAGTGCTTAGCAACAAGTATTATCGTGACAAAATTTGTAAGTGTTTTGAATGGTCTTTAACAAAGCTAAAATTTATTATTAAAGTCACTTGTAAGATGTGATTCTGATAGTTTACCCTCTGTAAATGGAAATGACATTTGTTGCAATTGCAAGTTTCATTATATTTTATTATGTAATTTTGTTGAATTTTTAAGTAAAATTGGGTAGTGTTTTGTGGCCCCATTTGTAGCTAAATGTATTATTGTATGAATTGCTTTCCTATGTTTATCGGCGAGTTGTTATCCATCCTCATTACCAGGGGTAACCTACTGAGCTGTTTACAGGATTTTAATTATGATTGTTTAAGCCAAATGTGACATAAAAGTGGCTTTTCACCAGATTATGCAACTAACTAAAGCCTATAAAGGTTTTCAGTGCTGTGCTCATTTGTTAAATGATATATGGATGCTGCCCGAAGCTGTATGTGTTATAAACAAAACGTTGCGGGTTCGAGGTTTAGGTGGCTCTAGGATGCAAAGTTCATACACGTGTGTTTATTTAGTTAAACGTATAGTTATAGGATAATATTAAAGATTGCCTGCTTGAAGACGATATCCATATTGCATTGAAATAGACCTGTTTTTGAAACAGTAAATTTCTACATAATTTTATAAGAATGTGTTGTGAGAAGTAAATTGTGATTAGGTTAGGGGCCATCCTGGCTTAGGTATCAATATTATATATTGCAGTGGTATCATCTGGTATGGCATTAAGTAGAGAAATGCTCAAATCTGTCGTTCTTTTTGTTACTTTTAGCAGTTATTAAAGTCAGTTATAATCGAAAAATGAATCATTCGTTGCTAATATCATTTTAATGCCATGTATTGTGTAAGTAGGCAATATTTTCACTACAGCTAATCAAATAACTTCTTTGTTCAATTTACAGAGCAACTGCTGCCCAAATATCATCAACCCAAAATGCTTTTCGAACACTGACCTCATTCAGTACAAGCGAATTTGCTCCTACCCAGCGGATGTCTTAGTACGACGTGGCATAGTTCTCAGACGCCTCGCAGAGGTTCTTGATTCCGTCATGAGTGTCCTAGTGGGACCGTCCTTGTTACGAGACCAATTCAAAACTCCTAACGACGAAGAGTACCCCCTGAAGTCATTGAGCGAAGCTTCGTTTGAGTCAACGGGAATACCGTTTGACTTCAAATTCGGAGAGGAAAAAGATGACGGGGGTGGCAAGTCGAACGAGAACAGCAACGGGACGCATAGTATTAAGGCGAAAAATTCAACTAAAGGTGAGGAGCATTTCATTTGTTTTCGTATCTTAGAATTAGAATATTCCTGGAATTAAGAAGTCATTCAATGGAGAGTGAATAGAGCAACTGTGCTCTTAAAAGGAATGGTAAGTACCTGAGACCAAGGTATCACATAATTGCTTTTATTTTGATCATTGCGAAATGTTATGAATCTTTCTTAATACCAAATACTGACTTCTTTCCCTATCTTCTTACCGCTGCTTATTGTTTTGAGCACACTTCTTACAAGAGCATCACTCCCCTAAATCCCTTCTTTGTTGTACCACGCAAAAACCCTTGTTTGTTGATAGAACTATCCCCTTAAATGATACGAGAAGTAACATATTGATTCGTGAAATTTCCCCAGCTTTCGGAAAGAAACACTTCGCTTGTCATGTACTTGACTATATATACCTTCCTAGTATCAGCAAATACTTGATTTTAAAGCTTTTTAAATCAAAGTCTGCAAATCAAAATAAGAGGGAGCTTTATAACTTTTGAGGCGTATAATTTTTTGGCAAAGGTTCTTAATAGATTTTCAGAACTGGCCAAAAACTTTTTTCAAAATAGATATTTTTTATCGCTAAAATTTAAAAACTGAGCTCATAGTCAGAAATATAATGGCTATTTTACAATATCTTTCAAAATGCAAGCTACAGTTCTTTGAAGTTACAGTCAAATCCAGTTTGAGAATTCCTAATTGAAACTTTGTTTTGTTTTTGTGGAACTGTTTATCGCAATACTTTCATTCAGCAGAGTATTTGTCTGTCCCATAACAAGTTCCCAGAAAGAATGCTATTTTTTGCAGCCATGGTCTGTTGAGAGTCGATTCTATTCAACTCTCACCATACCCTTCCCGGCTTCTTGATGCACCACGAATAATTATCCATCCTTTACTCCGTTAATTTCTCTACTATCAGCTGCTTTCGTTCCTTGCTGTATTGAATAGTAGCTGCTAACAACACTGGTTTTATAGTGATGTTTTGGCGATTTTTGATCAGTTATATGTCTTCTTCATTTAAGATTTAATGGAGACGATGACAAACATGATGTCACAAGAGCTAGAAAACATCAGAAAGCAGAAAGAAATTGTTCGTGCCAAATTGAACCTTTATGATAACTTGAACGCTGAGTATAACGAGCAGCTCAGGCTGATTAAAGAACAGGTAAATGAACCAAAGATGTGACGCAATTCAAATGTATTATAAAAAAATTATTCAGTCTAGGGCACACAAGGCCGACGTAAATGTTGCCGACGTAGTTGCTGGGTATTTAAGCCAGAAGCATTTGATCAATTTTGATATTGGTTTTTGTATAACGTGAGCTGTAAGGTGTACATAGAAGTGAGATATCTACCTTTTAAATTTCAAGCTCTTATTGTTGTTTAAAAAATCCCTTACCTGATATCGATTAATACTTGTCATGAATTACTGCTAAATAATAGCAGGATAATATTTGTCATGAATTAATAGCTGGATAATTAGAAATAGATGACAGTAAAGTTTTGTTATAGAAGATAGCACCACAATTCAGCCAGGTAAAGTTTTCTAGGAATAATGATTTCTCTTGTTTGCTAGGTTAACAACCACATAATTCACGGTTATGCATCAGTTTAAAGGGTACTTTGTTTCTTGTCTGTTATGTATTGCCATTTTTTCCTTGTTAAATATTGTCACTAACCAATCTTTAAATTTACGGCTTGACCTTCTTAGGTTGGCCTTGTGGAGGAGCAGCATCAGCTTTTACAAACTAGACTGCGAATGAAAGGTGCGGAGGAGGATATGAGCCAGACTTTGGTACAAACAGAAAAAATGATACAAGAGCGGAAGATCCACAAAAAGCAGTTGACAGAGCAGCTGGAGGCAATAAAAAAGGAGCGAGCAGTGAAGCTTGCGGAGCATGAGTCTCTGCTAGAGATTTACCGGCAACTGACAGGTCTTGAAAATGGCCTTGTGGAGGAGCGTAATTCATCACTCAAGATGGGCACGCGTTATCTGGAGAATGCAAACGGAAAGCTAAATCAGTTTGCTAAGTGTGTGAAGCAATCAAACGAAATTGTGAATCAACTAACAGCTTTGAATGAAGGAGGCTCCAAAGAAATGGCTAGTATGACGTCATCCGATATTGTAAGCGATGAAGTAGCAGATACTGGGAAAACAGCACCCGATTGCAGAAAATATCGGTAGGTTTTTTTAAATGGTGTAACATTCTTTGTTTACCTGAAACTTTCAAAGAGTTGTTGTTGAGGAGATGCAGCTCGCCACAAACTGGTAGTAATTGCGGACCGACCGGTTTTCACCTTCATGTTGTGCTAAATTTTATCGCTGCTGTGCTGGAGCAGTGGTTTTATGTAATAGTAAAAGATTTTATATCTCTGATTGTAAAGAACGATTGCTGTTGATGGCATGCAATGCTGTCACAGGACGTGGCACTTGGGTAAACCACCAATTTATGGGTAGGGGAAACAACAATGATGATGAAAAAATGACTTTAAAAATAAAGACCATTAACCATTAAGAGAGGATGACGATTGCTGTTAACCACTCAAATAGCTTGATACTGTCACAAATTGTCAATTAGCATTTATATTTAGCCTGATTTCTGAAGACCCAAAGGTAAAATATAATGTTTACCATTCTAGGTATCACCCACATCTTCTGCTCGCCAAGAGCCGTTTTCTATTCCCCCTGACTTCAAAGAGACTTACCATCATCAAAGATTTGTTGAGAATGTCAGAGACTGACGCATTGCATCCCTGTTTCGTTGCACGAATTGACAGACGTGTACCTTTGAAAGAGAGACACAAGTATCCCCCGTCCAACACCGTATTCATGCAATTATACAATACTCTAAAGAACAAAGAACTGAATTTTAGGTATGTAAAAATTTTCATTCTTCATGTCAACGGTATCCTGTTGGGTGATGTGACGTAACAGACCTTTCGCAATGAAAAAAACCAAATAGGAGCGAAGGTTCCACTGGTTCATTTGTAGTAAAATAGGAACAAAGGTCCATTGGTATTTTTGTAGTAAAATACTACTATTTGTATAATAGACTAGAACACGACTAGAGTATTCTATACAGCTTGGGGTATTCCTTTAAGATTCATTATGCATTTGTTTGTTATGTGCTCTGTATCTCTTATTATTATGCTGCATTTAAGACCATAATTGCTAGTATAACAACCGGGCACTTTTACAACCGGAGCGTATCGAATAATGTTGCATGTCCGGATAGGAAGACTGGATATAAGGGTTGGTATGCCGTTTAAGCTATAGGCACCTAACCAGGATCATATGGTAAGAGGTTACTCCGGTCGTTCTCTACTGTGACGAATTTACATGGAATGAATTTGTATGTGAGCACACTAAACTGGTCAGATAACAGCGATATAAAAGATGCAAAAGAACTTAAGTTTTAATGGTTTTAACCAATTTATTCCAGTTCTTTAAATCAACGTTTTGTAATAGCGTGGCTATTATTCTCTGTAGAAAATGTTCAAGCAAGGCTGAATGATCCGAAACTTATGCTCGTATCTATTTGTTTAGTTCACATAATGGAATCATGAAAACAAGTAAATGCTTGATGAAAGTATTTGATTGAGATTCTTTCATTAAAAGCTTCTTTTTTATCTTAGAAATGTGAAACGAAATTTTGAAAAGCTATGGGAAGTAAAATTTATTGGCGAAGGAATAATTGATCAGGTGAGATGTTTTGCCATTTTATTTCTAGAACAAAGTCTTTGCTATGAAATGTTTCTAAAAAGCTTGTATCGAGCTTCAACCCTCATTTGCCACATTTAATTGCTTTTTACTCTGTTCATGCTCGTCAGCTTTGAAGTATTTTTGAGACGACGTGAAAGAAAACGTGCTGAATGTTTATTTATACCTGGCCTATAATTGAGCTTAGAGGAAAAGCCATTGAAGCACATCAACATGCATTCAACTTGACTGGTGACAAGGCAAGGGCTGACTGGAATGCAGTTCTAGCAATAAATTTAGGGTTACTTTATGGGCGAAAAAACCTCATCTTATATTCAAAGCTTTTCATTTGATGCTTTTTTTTGAACGTCATTATTGCATTTCTGCATACACTTTTTCTTTGTCTTCCATGATATGTCTTTTGTTTCGTTGAGTACGAGTTGTTATCGTGTTATCTTCTCGGAATATTTTACACGCTACTATCAATCTTTGCAATTACGAATTTAACAGCCAACTCAATAATCCGCGGTGTGATTTGGAACCTTTGCTTCAAGGACTCCAACAATTTATAATTTTTATCTGTAATACCTTATCGAGAGAGATTTTAGTGAGAAAGGCTTTAGCGAGAGAGTTTTCCTGTGTTTTTAGAAGTTGTATTCCAAACCTTACACTTAGAACAGAAAGTTTTTTTGGGATCTGAGTTACATATATTTAAGGCTATTCAACTGAAATCAATATGGGAGTGTTCATATTTCGAAGAGAAATTTAATTGCTAAGGAAGATTTCGTCAGCTAGAATGATTGATCAGGAATCCAACAGAAAAATAATTATAAAGCACAGGTAATCTGAATCCAGTAAATATATGGGACGTAAATCATCTATCAACCAGTTTCTTCCCAACCATTTATTCGGCCAACATGCATTTCAAATGTTGCCTATCTCAAAGACATTTTTTGCTGATGTCAAATGAATCGAAAAAGGGGAAGCTTTCAATTCCTGAATACTTTATCATAACTTTTTTAATTCCTTAGGGTGGCGGATTTCGTGATAGCTTGGCGGAGATCGCAGATGAACTTTGCCCAGCCTCGCCAGAAATAAAAGAGTGTCTCCAGTTATTCATTAAAAGCCCCAATCAGCAGGTAGGATAAATCTTTTTGTCGTTGAAAATAACAAATGTTAATCTCATCATTGCTTCAATATTTCGATATTACAATTTAACGTCAGTTTTGACGAACTGTTCTCGACAGAGCTGCAAAAAATATTTTCCTTTCTGGAAACCTTGGAGACAGGACAAAAATTTTTCGGTGAGGTGAAAGTATTGTGTACTGAAGCTCTACAAATAGTAGGCACAAATTTTTACTCAAGGGCTTCTAATTTATTTGGTCTAGATAAAATTCTCATTAAAATATTGTAATTTGGTTGTTTATTGCATTTTTTTGGTCTTTATGATTTGTTAACCAAATGGCGATATGTTTGGTTTGTTGGCTGGCAGAAAACCTCAACATAGGTGGTGCTTTCCACAATTATTTGGTGTTTGGAACAGGGGGGTAGCAAGAGGTTAGGCAGGGGGCCTGGGTCATTAATGAATGGTGACGTCTCATATTTTGTGATATTTGACAAATGAATTATATAGTTTTTGTAAAGGTTTAAAAACGCGACAATTTTTTATTTGATGCAAGCTACAACCTTCAGACATTAAGCCCGCATTTGTGTAAACTTTGATCTGCCAAGCCAAAAATTTTTTTTGGAATCTAGTTCCCAGGATCCGATACTTTTGCAGCTCTGGTTCTCGAATTACTTCCTACAAGTTTCTGTCATTATTTTTCCTATCTGCTTTAATTTCTTCGTTGTTAAGTCGATTTTTAAGGATTTTTTATATCAATCACTTCAGGTATTGCGAGCCTAACTGTTTGCTAATGCAGTGCTACAAATCTCTTTATCCGTTAGAAGACTTAAATTCAGAAAATTCCTTCATTTCAGAACGAGACCGGTGATCACAGGGATGCATACCTACCCAACCCATCTTGCAAGGATTTTCACTTATACACGTGGATAGGCAAACTGATAGGGGCAGCATTTCGAACAGACGAAACACTTCCATTGGCCTTCCCTCCGTTTATCTGGAAGCTGTTGATTGGAGAGGACGTCACGTGGGCTAACGACTACATTGGAGTTGACCAGGCGATTGTTCGAGTGACTGGTATGGAGTTTTATAATTACCTATAGCAGCCCCATTTTTATGACAGCCCTTTTTTCGATAGGACACTCCTTTTTGACACCAAGGTTTATAAATCAATTTCTATGTATATTCTTTTGGGCTTAATCTTAAGAGGTCCTATCGAAACGTATAAACAATGTTATTGTTTATTCCAACCAGATAATTTTTGCGAATTTTGTCCGCACTATTTGATGAATCCATACTATTGTACTATTGTACAAATTACTACAGATCAGTTTTTTTCATGCAGTCCTTTTAAGATTTGCCTTTATAATAAAATGCCTTCCACCTATTGCAAGAGCTCTAAATATTCTTCACAAAACCCTTCTAATTTCTGTTATCGTGAGCAAACAATAAACCTCATTATTACATGAGTCAAACTCACAAATAGTCATCATATATCTCGATCTGTAGCCTTTCAAAATCACAAAATCATATTTCAAAATCAGTTATATAAATCATATTTGAAGTAGAAATCTAAAAGGCTATTTTTACTTGAGAGCTACAGTAATAGTAAATAATGTTTGCTGGTCCATAATACAATACCCCTTGTAATATATGTACAGCTTTGATAACGCTCAACTGAGAAACAATGGATTTATTAATTCTTAGCTTTTGTATGATTTGTGTTACTGGTTGTTACTAGTAGTTACTACTCGAAACTGTCTTGGCTAACTTATCTTGCTTCAGCCTTAGTTCTCATTATTTGCTGGACAAACGAATAAAGCCTGGTTTTGTTGTTGTAGATGGTATTGAATTGCTTGATGAAGAGTCATATAAAGAAATTTATAAACCCGAGCAGTTTTTTTCGGTGCATTTAAGTAATGGTGCCGTGAAAGACTTGATTGCAAATGGATTAGAAAAGATTGTTGAACCGAAGGATAGAAGCAAATATGCTACGCTTGTTAGAAAAGCAAGAATGCTGGAATCTGTGAAACAGGTGAGGATATTTTACTATCCAGTTCATCTAAATAGGCCTTTTATATAGGGGGTCATTTGGTTTCGGCGTGATCACTGTAGTTTCATGTGATATCGGCATCCGTTGTTGACAACTTGCTATTGACGAAAGCTGTTTTGTTTATCAGTACGAGGCAACTTCATGTGACCAGTTCCAGGTCAACCAATAGCATTGCAGCACGAGTCATGACTCTGCATTTTTGGGTATACCCTCTCCTTTTATCACGACCCAATATCATTAAGAAGACTGTTGTGGATTTCGTGCTTTAAATGCGTGTCTGGGCAGGATTTGAGGCAATGCATGGCGAAATTTCTTGAGATCGTGTCTGAAAGCAAAATACATGAAAGAAGTACATTGTTATAAATAATACCGATAAAGAGCATCATGAATGCCTTGACTGCAGCTAGATAGATAAAAAAGGTCACCTGTAACAAATGTGCGCAAGAAACGAACGCGTAAAGAGAGGACAATAGAGGGAAAGACAGTTAAATAGCCATAAGACGTAATTTGATACGTAAAGCAGAAATAAAAACAGAATGTCAAATCTTCTCGATATTCTTTGCCTTGCCTTAACCTCGCGGTTATGTTATAGCCAAATAACCTGCAACGTCGCTTTTCTAGGTCAAAGCGATGCGAAATGGACTGATCACAGTTGTTCCAGACGCACTGCTATCGTGTTTGACATGGCAGGACTTTGAGCGCGGTGTCTGCGGATCACCAGATATCACTGTCGCTGACCTCAAGGCAAACTGTAAGTGCCTTTTCCATTTTTGTATTTTCGAGGGATTAGTAAGTGTGTCCGCTATAGGAGGTCTGATTGCGGCCTAATGCGCCCTTTTTGCTCTGATATTCGTTTAACCGCATCCGACGTTCGTTGATCGTGATATTTTTTGCCATAACTGCCATTGCAGCGATCCAGTTAATCGTTAATCCCATTCAAATTAGGCCAATTCTGCGCAATCACAAAATTAATACTTGTTCTTTACAAACTGCAACACTTCATAGTGAAAATTTTGGAATTTTGCCAAAATCAATAGTGTAAAACGTTACCCTTTGCAATTTCTTATATCATAAGTTTTAAAACTAAAATAATCTCCATTTAAACAGCACATAGCCTTGCATTTTTAGAAAAAAAATTGACGAAAAACATTAATGTATCAAAATTGTATCATACTTACTGTTAATCCGCAGTGCACAATCTGCTTTGGGTTTCTGTGAATGTGTTTTCAGATCACATGATATGACGAGTTTCCAGGCTATCCGCCCAATTACAGTCATTCTTTTCTAGTACATTATTTTGTCTGGTCCATACAGCAAAAATAATTATTATGCAGTTGAAAGTGTTTAGTGGTTGAAACAAGCAGAAATTATAATTTAAGTAAAATTTGTTTGTAAAGGGAACCTGTTTTCTAGGCTTCTTTTTCATTTGTTTGATTTGTTTGTACAGTTTACACATACAGATTACACGTAAGTTGCCCGATGATCGCATTAAGCGTGAAACTTGGAGTAGCAACTTAGAACCGTCTTGTTCTATACACCAAAGGCGTGTTCAACTCGGAGTAGCAACTTAGAACCGTCTTGTTCTATACACCAAAGGCGTGTACAACTCGGAGTACCATCTTAGAACTGTCCTCCTCTATACACCAAATAGCCTGTACAGCTCTGCCTATCGAGCATTTTATGACACACTGGTAATCAATATTTTTCTACTTTGCCTGTCATGAGCTTTTCAATTTCTGTTAAGGTCGCTACGAACTCGATCTTTCGCCGGCTGTCGATTGCGTCGCATTCCTATGGGAGGCCCTAGCCTCGTTTACAAGTGAAGAAAGAAGTAGGTTTGTGCGATTTGTAACTGGTAGAAAACGTTTGCCATCGCCGTTTTTCATCTCGCGATCGTTGGCCGACGAGAACAGTCTTCCAACTGCCAGCACCTGTGGAAGTAACTTGTTTCTTCCCAATTACACAAACGCAAAAGTTGCAGCAGAAAAGTTAAGGTGAGAAATAATTCTCTTTTCGTTAATTTTTTAAAGCCATTGTACATAAACATTCAATTACCTTGTTTTTGTAGACTTCGTAAATAATACGATAATATAAAATTTTCTGCCTCATAAGTTTGAAAACTGTCGCAATCTGCATTTGTTTAGCTTTCAGTTTTCGGGGATTTAGAATGTTTCAGATTCATATATTTTTGAGTATATTTGTTAACCATATTTGACTTTAAACAAGGCCATCGTTGACAAAAATCATTTAAGATCCAGTGAACGAGCTATTGTCACTCAATATTTTTGATGCAATTTCACCGGTTTTACAGGTATTTTGATATTAGAGGAACATTCCAATTAAGGTCAGCATAACATTTGAGAATCACTAGGAAGACACTCAACAGAACAAGCGTTTTGGAAATATGCTCTGCAGCGTTGAATGTGAATAAAACCCTAAGACAAACAGACCTTTAAAGAGACCTTAAATTGTCTGATTTTGGTTTGTGAGACAAGCAGTATTAAAGAGTTTTCATTAAGTATGCTGTTGTGAAAATTCATTAAAGTTATCATTCGCATCGTAGATATGCTATCAATAACTGCGTCTCAATCGATACCGACACTAGTCCTTGGTAAATCGAGAGCCTTTACGTTGGCAAACAGCTTGGCGATAAGAAGAATCTGCCTGTTATTGGACCATCGCTATGTTTTGTAGCTATACCAATTTGTCCTTTTGTGGAAAGGCGTTCAGTGCAAAACACTTCGGTAGAAGTATGTGAGTTTTAGAAACAATTTTTTCAATGATTAGTCTTGAGTATAGAACTGCTTGAATTATTTCAAATTCCTAGTTAAATAGTTGTTCTTTTTGCAACTCTTTGATATTTTGTCATAATTAACGATTTACGCTCAGAGTTGTTTACGTTTTGTTAAGAACGAACCCGTCTTGAGATTACAATAGCTAATTTAGACTTCATATTTTAACATATGTTTCGTTACGTCGGCTTTGCTCGTTCAGAATAACAGCAAGTCTTTCACGTTAACATATTCACCTTCTCTTGTTGTTTTAAAAGCTTTCTTATTTAGGTGTAAGATGATATAGGAAAATCTTTGTTGTTAAAGATAAACATTATTTGCCTCCTTGTCCACAACACCAATAACAGCTATGCTAGGCCCCATAAAAACTTGTTGCTTTCCTTCTGTGTTTAACTGATACGGCATGCAATGAAATAATTCTGCGTGCATGTACCAATTCAAAGTTATGATCTGGACTAAGACTTTAGTTCATTAAAATAACAATATTCATTATACAGATAAGTGTATATTCTTTTATTGAGTATTGTGTTTATTCTGCTTTCATTTTGAATGTCAATTCCGAACATCAAAGGATAATAATTTTTGAAATATCTAACTTGTCGTAAATAATCTTGTTACTGTTTCCAACACTGAAATAGAAGACAAGCACTTTTAGAAATTGGGAAAAGGGGGAGGGGGAAACTTTAAAGGAATTGTATAACAGTAAAATAGAAATGAAATCATTTCAGATAGTTTTACAATTGTTGACAATATTAGGAAGCATTTTGACCTCAGCTTAAAGCATTGCAAGATGAATCACAATTTTCGAAAAAATGCCATTTAAGAAGGATCGATATTTGAAAAAAGTAAGGCTGTAGGCTTAAAAATATCGTCAGTTTTTTTTAAAAAATCCTTTCTTCTGAAAACAGGTTAAATTGCTTTTATTGGGTCACATTAAAGAGGACTTCAATTTCGATTCTTAAGGCTATAGACTAGAAAAATTAGGCTTTAGACTAAAAATGCAAGGCTGTATGCTAAAAAATCATCCATTTTTCAAAAAACATTTGTTCTCAAAACAAGTTGACTTGCTTTCAAATAATCAGAAAAAACTAGAATTGCATTTAATTCAGTAAGAATGGTTTTGTTAACAAGAAACAACTTTAAAAAGCGCCTTATAGTAGTCAGAAAGAACTAGAATTTCGTTTATTCAACGGGAAGAAGTTGTTTTTTGGGCGAAGAAGCGACTTTAAAGAGGGGCTGATTTTTGATAGAAAAGTAAGGCTATAGGCTTTGAAAAATCATCGAAATTTTTGAAAAACTTTTTGCTCTCAAAACAAGTTAACTTGCCTTATAATTGTCATAAAGAACTAAAATTCCATTTATTTTGGGGGAAAAGGTTGCTTTTTGGACGAAGAAGCGATTTAGAGAGGGGCTGATTTTTGATCAAAAAGTAAGGCTATAGGCTTAGAAAAATCATTGAAAATTGTGAAAAATTGTTTGCTCTCAAAACAAGTTAACTTCCTTTATAATAGTAATAAGGAACTAAAATTGCATTTATTTCGGGGGAAAAGGTTGTTTTTTGGCCGAAGAAGCGATTTAGAGAGGGGGTGATTTTTGATCAAAAAGTAAGGCTATAGGCTTAGAAAAATCATTGAAAATTGTGAAAAATTGTTTGCTCTCAAAACAAGTTAACTTGCTTTATAATAGTAATAAGGAACTAAAATTGCATTTATTTCGGGGGAAAAGGTTGTTTTTTGGCCGAAGAAGCGATTTAGAGAGGGGGTGATTTTTGATCAAAAAGTAAGGCTATAGGCTTAGAAAAATCATTGAAAATTGTGAAAAATTGTTTGCTCTCAAAACAAGTTAACTTGCTTTATAATAGTAATAAGGAACTAAATTTGCAATTATTTCGGGGGAAAAGGTTGTTTTTTGGCCGAAGAAGCGATTTAGAGAGGGGGTGATTTTGATCAAAAAGTAAGGCTATAGGCTTAGAAAAATCATTGAAAATTGTGAAAAATTGTTTGCTCTCAAAACAAGTTTACTTGCTTTATAATAGTAATAAGGAACTAAATTTGCAATTATTTCGGGGGAAAAGGTTGTTTTTTGGACGAAGAAGCGATTTAGAGAGGGGGTGATTTTTGATCAAAAAGTAAGGCTATAGGCTTAGAAAAATCATTGAAAATTGTGAAAAATTGTTTGCTCTCAAAACTAGTTAACTTGCTTTATAATAGTAATAAGGAACTAAAATTGCATTTATTTCTGGGGAAAAGGTTGTTTTTTGGCCGAAGAAGCGATTTAGAGAGGGGGTGATTTTTGATCAAAAAGTAAGGCTATAGGCTTAGAAAAATCATTGAAAATTGTAAAAAATTGTTTGCTCTCAAAACAAGTTAACTTGCTTTATAATAGTAATAAGGAACTAAAATTGCATTTATTTCAGGGGAAAAGGTTGCTTTTTGGACGAAAGAGCGATTTAGAGAGGGGGTGATTTTTGATAAAAAAGTAAGGCTATAGGCTTAGAAAAATCATTGAAAATTGTGAAAAATTGTTTGCTCTCAAAACTAGTTAACTTGCTTTATAATAGTAATAAGGAACTAAATTTGCAATTATTTCGGGGGAAAAGGTTGTTTTTAGGCCCAAGAAGCGATTTAGAGAGGGGATGATTTTTGAGCAAAAAGTAAGGCTATAGGCTTAGAAAAATCATTGAAAACTGTGAAAAATTGTTTGCTCTCAAAACAAGTTAACTTGCTTTATAATAGTAATAAGGAACTAAAATTGCATTTATTTCGGGGGAAAAGGTTGTTTTTTGGCCGAAGAAGCGATTTAGAGAGGGGGTGATTTTTAATAAAAAAGTAAGGCTATAGGCTTAGACAAATCATTGAAAATTGTGAAAAATTGTTTGCTCTGAAAACAAGTTAACTTGCTTTATAATAGTAATAAGGAACTAAAATTGCTTTTATTTCGGGGGAAAAGGTTGTTTTTTGGCCGAAGAAGCGATTTAGAGAGGGGGTGATTTTTGATTTTTGATCAAAAAGTAAGGCTATAGGCTTTGAAAAATCATTGAAAATTGTGAAAAATTGTTTGCTCTCAAAACAAGTTAACTTGCTTTATAATAGTAATAAGGAACTAAAATTGCATTTATTTCGGGGGAAAAGGTTGCTTTTTGGACGAAGAAGCGATTTAGAGAGGGGCTGATTTTTGATCAAAAAAGTAAGGCTATAGGCTTAGAAAAATCATTGAAATTGTGAAAAATTGTTTGCTCTCAAAACAAGTTAACTTGCTTAATAATAGTAATAAGGAACTAAAATTGCATTTATTTCGGGGGAAAAGGTTGTTTTTTGGACGAAGAAGCGATTTAGAGAGGGACTGATTTTTGATAAAAAAGTAAGGCTACAGGCTTTGAAAAAGCATCGAAATTCTTGAAAATATGTAAAACAGTTAACTTGCCTTATAGGTAAAAGAACTTGCATTTTTTCGGGGAAAAATTGTTTTTTGGACGAAGAGTGATGAGAGAGGGGCTGATTTTTGATAAAAAAGTAAGGCTATAGGCTTATTGAAAATTTGCTCTCAAAACAAGTAAACTTGCTTAAAATAGTAATAAGGAACTAAATTTGCAATTATTTCGGGGGAAAAGGTTGTTTTTTGGCCGAAGAAGCGATTTAGAGAGGGGGTGATTTTGATCAAAAAGTAAGGCTATAGGCTTAGAAAAATCATTGAAAATTGTGAAAAATTGTTTGCTCTCAAAACAAGTTAACTTGCTTTATAATAGTAATAAGGAACTAAAATTGCATTTATTTCGGGGGAAAAGGTTGTTTTTTGGCCGAAGAAGCGATTTAGAGAGGGGTGATTTTTGATCAAAAAGTAAGGCTATAGGCTTAGAAAAATCATTGAAAATTCTTGAAAAATTGTTTCCTCTCAAAACAGTTTAACTTGCTTTATAATAGTAATAAGGAACTAAAATTGCATTTATTTCGGGGGAAAAGGTTGCTTTTTGGACGAAGAAGCGATTTAGAGAGGGGGTGATTTTTGATCAAAAAGTAAGGCTATAGGCTTAGAAAAATCATTGAAAATTGTGAAAAATTGTTTGCTCTCAAAACAGTTAACTTGCTTTATAATAGTAATAAGGAACTAAAATTGCATTTATTTCGGGGAAAAGGTTGCTTTTTTGGACGAAGAAGCGATTTAGAGAGGGGCTGATTTTTGATCAAAAAGTAAGGCTATAGGCTTAGAAAAATCATCGAAAATTGTAAAAAATTGTTTGCTCTCAAAACAAGTTAACTTGCCTTATAATAGTAATAAAGAACTAAAATTGCATTTATTTCGGGGAAAAGGTTGCTTTTTGGACGAAGAGCGATTTAGAGAGGGGGTGATTTTTGATAAAAAAGTAAGGCTATAGGCTTAGAAAAATCATTGAAAATTGTGAAAAATTGTTTGCTCTCAAAACAAGTTAACTTGCTTTATATAGTAATAAGGAACTAAAATTGCATTTATTTCGGGGGAAAAGGCTTTTTTGGACGAAGAAGCGATTTAGAGAGGGGGTGATTTTTGATCAAAAAGTAAGGCTATAGGCTTTGAAAAATCATCGAAAATTGGGGAAAATTTTTTGCTCTCAAAACAAGTGTAACTTGCCTTATAATAGTAATAAAGAACTAAAATTGCATTTATTTCGGGGGAAAAGGTTGCTTTTTGGACGAAGAAGCGATTTAGAGAGGGGCTGATTTTTGATAAAAAAGTAAGGCTATAGGCTTGAAAAATCATCGAAATATGTGAAAATATTTTGCTCTCAAAACAAGTTAACTTGCCTTATAATAGTAATAAAGGAACTAAAATTGCATTTATTTCGGGGGAAAAGGTTGCTTTTTTGGACGAAGAAGCGATTTAGAGAGGGGCTGATTTTTGATAAAAAGTAAGGCTATAGGCTTAGAAAAATCTTTGAATTTTTTTGAAAAACTTTTTACTATCAATACAAGTTATCTTGCCTGATAAGAGTCAGAATAAACTAGAATTGCATTTATTTCGGGGGAAAAAGTTGTTTTTCTGACGAAGAAGTGACTTAAAAGAGGACTGATTTTCCTTATAATGTAATGCTTGAGGCTTAGAAAAATCATCAGTATTTGTTAAAAATGTTTCCTTCTCCAAGCAATTGAACTTGCCTTAAAACAGTCGTAGGGAACAAGAATCACATTTAGCTCTTCGAGAAAAGTTGTTTTTTTATGAAATCTTTAAAAAGAGGCTTAATTTTTATAAAGAACAAAGGCTATAGGCTTTTAAAAATGATCGAAATTTTTGAAAAATTGTTGTTGCAGAAGTAAGTTAGCAATTCGTTAAATGATCAGAAAAAATTGGAATTGCGTTTATTACTATGAAAAGCATTTTTTTGACGAAGAACTGATTTGAAAAAGAGACTGATTTCCGACAAAAAAGTGAGGTATCGATAAATCATTGAATTATTTGAAAAACTTTTTGTTCTAGAAGCAATTTAACATGCCTGTTAATAGTCAGAAGGAACTAGAATTAACTGTATTTATTTCGATAGAAGAAGTTGTTTTCTTTCCAAAAAGCCATTATAAAGAGGATCTAGGTTAAAGGATTCCAGTGTTCTTTTTCTCAAAAAAGTGATATTTCTACTGAAT